GAGGGGTAAGATGATATTCAGCATATGCCATATGGAATACAGGATGCGGCCGCCGCAGTATCTTCATTAATGGGTCTTTTCCAGTAACAGGGGGGTCCAGAAAGAGGCCAAGGCGAACAAATCCAGAGATGAACATCAAAAAAGAAAAAAACAAACAGGATTAAAAGGCAGAGAGCCCCTCATATCGGAACGGCTACCCCTCACTGCTCAGTTTGCCAGGCGGGTAGCCTGATTTCAACCCACATCTAGGAAAGGGAAGACTACGGAGTACACACTGACACAGTAAAGTGGAGAGAAGTAGGTAGCTTGCTGCCACTGTGAGGGGCGCCACACCAACACAACCCACTCACTCTGACCACCCACTCGGGGGGCTGAAGCCACTAGAATGGCTCAATCCCGAAAGCCCATCGAACTCCATACGAGGAGGTCGGATCGAGGCTGTGCAGCGTGCAGGCGTCTTCAGCATTGTAATCCGTAACCTAGTTTGAGTCAAAGTGCTGAGCTGGGGGTTGACTAATCTAAAACCAAACGTCATCTACTGTTGGTTGACTACTACCAGTTGTAAGTACTCCGAGTAAGTGGTGCGAGGCGAAGCGAGTCCTATGTGGAGGACCTCATTACATGATTGTGCTCATATCTTCCGGTCGCGGACCGGATAAGTGAGCGTCATCCGATTAGGTTAGAGAAAAGGGGGAATGAGGAGGACAATCAACGAAACCACCCGTCGGGGCTGCGCGGTATGACGAAGACTCGACGGGTCAATGGGTCAAGAAGTGCAACAAGTGGCAGCAGGTTGACTGGAATTGATGAATGTGAACGGCTTGGTTCCAGGGATCTTCCACAGAGTAACGGAGTCGCAATGAGAAACTCGCATGAGAGATCCCTAACCAAGTCTAGAAGGTTAAAGGAGGGCGATGCCCGCGCCACTCTGGTCTTAAGATGGTTACATACGTACAGTACAAAACATACACAGTAGTACCTCGGCCTGTTTGCTTCTCGCGTCCACCCACGCAGCTGGCACATATCTACTGTTGCTCTTTGCCCCTGGTTGGCATTGACTACTCATCTCGAAGTCTCTGACTGCTGCAGGAGCGTCTATTCAGTAAGAGACAACTAAGGCCATCATGGATTAAGACTGGTCTTATACATCTCTTCACAGTTTCTTAATGCATTCAATGTTCACATTCGCAGACCGACCATCGCTTGCTGATCAAAGCCAAGCGTACAGTACAGAACTGTGACGAGAAGAAAACGGGAAGCAATTGGGATCTTTTAATAGGAACGGTGTGGCTGCGACTGACCGTGAGAACCATACGGTGACAATACCAGGTCGGCCAACTCAGAGGCCTTGCGAACGGGGAGCTAACTACTAAACTTACCTAGTATCAGCTTAGCACCAGCAAATATTCACTTACTATTACGTACTGTGACTACAGAATTTACTCAGTAACTGGTAAGTTGTAGGTACAGTACAGTACAGCTCGATGGCGGACTCCGAGATAGTAAGGTCGAATGGGAGAAATCGGGAGTTCCTCTCATTTCTTCCCCATTCCGGTATGAGTGGGAAAAGTCCGTCAGCAACAGCACCTTGGTAAGGTAACCTTGCAAAGCGCGCAGTCTTCTTGCAATATGAAGTATGCAATTGTCCTCTAAAAAGCCCAGGGTTGGCTCACTAAGAATATCAGCATGGTGGTCTCCAGTGAAGGGCTAACCGGCCGCAACTTCAGAAGGAAGCAAAGCAAAGCAAATAAAGGAAAATCAATAAAAAAAAATTAAAATGATGTTCAGAGAAAACAAGAAGACGAGAAGCAGGAGAAGGAAAAGGCAAACCCAACTGCCCACTCCTACGCCGGTCCGTACTGCCTACTTGGTTCCGTTCCTACTTACCTACTGTATGGTGTACTTGAAAGTTTGCCGATTGGCTTGGTTACTTGCTTACTTACTGTACGGAGTACTTAGGTACTTAGCTTTACTACGAAGTAACTACTAAGTTACCACCTGCCCTCTTACTTGACCATTTTCTCCCTTCCCCTAGAATAATCGAATACTCACTATTTCAACCTCGCCCCCCCGTAGTCACGCTTGCTTTCCATCCTCTCACTTTCTTCTACTCCTACTACTATCTTCCTTCCATACAGCGTGTGAATCTTTTTGCAGATGGTAAAATTGTCTACCACTACTTTGCTCCCGTACCTTCAACTCTCATGATATATAACCTCCTTCCAATATTTCTGGTCACACACCCTTGGTTCTTGATTGATTGATCTCATTTGGGCTTTTCTCTCTGTACTAGCAACTATCCTGGCTGTGTGGTGTTCCTTTGAGAATTGCTGCGGCTTATTTCATTATTATTCAGATTTCGGGGTTCCAGTTCCTTCTGGGTAATTTACAAATCACCTCTGCGCTGTTTTTTGCGACTTCTCCCACCACCCGGGCCCGCCAGCCAGTCAGTCACTTTCGTCACACCGTCTGAGACCAAAAACTCATCGCCTCAGGCCACTAAGCCCGTTACCACTACCGGCTGGGGCCACCGCAACATTTTTTTTACTCGTCTCCCTCCCTCCCCTCTCCTCCCTAGTCCCCTCCATTCCTCTCCAGCTTTCCTTTCCACATCCAATTCCCTCACAAAGTCATCTTTGGCCTTTAAACAGCTTCGTGCTGTAGGCTTTTCAGCTCCCTCCCTTCATCGCGGGGGCAATATTGCTCCTCTTCTGCTCCGCCGTTTCATAAAATCTCATACTACCGCACATGACTCCGCAGTCGATTTCACCTGTACCTTCCGCAATCTCTTCCGCCGCAACGTCACAAATTTTTCACGACTTTGGAGATGGAGAGCCCCAGGTAACACGTGCTCTAGCGGGCATAAATCTGTCCGACATGAACGGGGACGCCCTCCCCGCCTCTCCTGGGCCGGTCAAGGCGCCCAAACCCACCATGGCCAACCGCATCTCTCGTATGTTCTCGAACACTGGCAAGTCGACTCCCAAGGAGTCGGATTCGAATCGCGATTTCTCGGACAGCAGCTCGGATAGCATCAAAGCATCCTCCAATGGCAGCACAAAACCTTCCAAACCCTCGTCCAGACCTCCCTCAAAACCGTCGTCAAGAGCGCCTTCCCGTCAAACGTCCACCAGAGAGGACAACAACGAACGTAAAACCAAATCCAGCAGTGGCAAGGATCAAAAGGAGGCTCCTGTTGCTCATCGGCGCTTTGAAGTACCCGGTGATGGTACTCACTTGCATCACCTAAAGAGCGCCAGACGGCAGGAGAAGCTGACCGACTTGCTCCGCGACATGCTGGGTGGCGGAAGGAAGAAGGAAGACCATGTCGAGGAGCAGCAATTGTCTTTAATGTCCACTTGGATCGACCAATTCAAGACGGAACGCGACAAGTTGGCTGCAGACAAAAAGGGTGGCCCCAATGCGACGGCTTCGCTAGTTGACAAATACGGCAAATGCCAGGAAATTGTCGGTCGCGGTGCGTTTGGAATCGTCCGCATTTCTCATAAGGTAGATCCCAAAGACTCCAGAGTTGAGCAGCTCTACGCCGTCAAGGAGTTCCGCCGTCGGCCTCAAGAAACGACGAAAAAATATCAGAAGCGATTAACGTCGGAATTCTGCATCTCATCATCTCTTCGACATCCAAATGTTATTCATACCCTCGATCTTCTGCAGGACGCGAAAGGCGATTATTGTGAAGTTATGGAGTATTGCGCGGGCGGTGATCTCTACACACTGGTTCTGGCTGCGGGCAAATTGGAAGTCGCCGAAGCTGATTGCTTTTTCAAACAACTCATGCGTGGCGTTGAATACATGCATGAGATGGGCGTCGCCCACCGTGACCTGAAACCCGAGAACCTTTTGCTGACTACCCACGGAGCCCTCAAGATCACGGATTTCGGAAACGGCGAGTGTTTCCGTATGGCTTGGGAGAAAGAGGCCCATATGACTGCCGGGCTCTGTGGTTCAGCCCCTTACATCGCACCCGAGGAGTACATTGAGAAAGAATTTGACCCCAGAGCGGTTGACCTGTGGGCAACCGGCGTGATCTACATGGCCATGCGAACTGGGCGACACCTCTGGAGGGTCGCCCGTAAGGACGAGGATGAATTTTACCAGCGGTACTTGGAAGGTCGCAAACATGAAGATGGCTATGCCCCCATCGAAACATTGCATCGGGTAAGTACACCTTCAAACTTCTATCCGCAAACATGTAGACTGACACAGCCATGTAGGCACGTTGCCGGAATGTGATCTACTCTATTCTGGACCCCAATCCTTCTCGCCGGATCAATGCCTCGCAAGTGCTCAAATCCGAATGGGTCCGCGAAATCAAGCTATGTAAGGCTGGCGAGGAAGGGTTCTGAAAGAGCAAGAAAGGGTCTATCAACACCGCTAGGCTCACCTGGAAAACACCGGGGATCATTATTTCGTAAGGCATCCGTGGTCTCAGCGGGTTCGGTCTTGCGGTGCTCGGGACTGTGTATCCCTTGTCCAGAAGTCTGTCTCCTGTTCGGTGTGTGCGTGTGCCAAAAACAAAACCATAGACCCGGGTGGTTCATGTGTTTCTGCCGTTCTACGGGCGGATTCTCTATTCGTTTCGCCTGCTTCTTTCGCGGTTCGTCTTGCGACTGATACCATAGAAGGGGGCCCTTTTGATTTTGAAGCTATCGTGACGGCGCATGTCTCTGTCTTTACCACTACTTTATTTTTCTGCCTACTAGCTTCTGGGTTTAGCTTGGTCTTCATGTTTCCATGTCAATGCAACGAACAGTCATGACCTATGAGCCGCCTTTTCTTCATGCGGACAGTTTCCTATTTTCTTCCAAAGTGCTTGATGCAACCAACCTATATTTTTTGTCACGGCTCGGCTTTTCCTGGCCCACCTTCTACGGCCATAACCTGCCTCTCTGCTTGATTTCTGTTGATTTCTACAGAATCCGACTTCTTTTCTATTCATTCTGTCTTTCTCTTCTTTTATACCGCCATTGTGGAGTTTCTTTTGTTATGGTGATTCTATCTCAAGATCGGTTGGACCGTCGTTCTTTCACCTCAGCTAGGGTCTTAGCGAGTTTTTTTCAGATGGATTTTGATCTATCCAGCTCAAATCCTTGTCTTATGCTTGGGGAAATTTTACTTATCCGTCGGTTGTTCTTGATGGAATGGTCGCGAAACTGAGGATTGTATCATTACCATCGTGAGACCGGAGGACAGGGCGTGTGGTTACTGGGATACCCTGGAGCAGTCGTCGTTGTTTCATCTTCGAACTCTTTACTGGAAGTGCTTGTTCAGCATACGATCTTGTGGATATTGGCTATATTACACAGCGGCGATTGTCGCTTTTCAACGCTCGACGCTATCCGCAAGTCGATATCATCATGGCCATGTGTATTAATCATAGAATGCTCCACTGTGTACGCGACGACGAGGTCCAGCCCCCGGGCATACGATGCAAGCACATATGCAGGGAGGAACGCGCCCGGGCAAACGAGCCAGATCAAGCTTGCTTGGCGCATCCTGCGGTCAATTTGCTCAATACACAGTATGAGTGGAGGCCGATAACTCAGCTAGGTTGCTTGGGTCGGCTCACTTTTTAATAATCATCTCTGCATGGTCAGGTTGCGTTGGGAAAATGTCGAGCTGGCAACTGCAGCCAGTCCTACTCCGTACTCCTATACAATGCAGCTGGAACGTCCGCTGAAGGTGCCTAAGGTAGAGGCAGCACCATTTATTTATTCTTCCTCACTCTCTCTTGGCGGAGGGGACGAACCTTAAACCTCTTATCTTACGGTCATTCATCGCATTGCCTCTTCTTGGATCGATCGAGGACGCTCGTGGACCCACCAACGCTGCAAGGCTGAGGCTAGTCCGGTAACTACAGCCCAGCTTCTTACGAAGTACTCCGTACTGCAAGTAGGGTCTTGGCAACGATACAAATCACTATGGTGCAGAGAAGGTATTAAGTACCAAGTATCCGGAGCTCATATTTGTCGGGATTCCAGCCGGCGTATAGCCCTTCGGGGTACAGAGCCGCGGACTATTCTAGATTTATGTTGAAGTTTATATGGCAGATAGCATCATGATCTAGCTCCTCTTTCCTTGCAGTTCGAGGTATGTATGTGTGACCCGGTCAATGTTCCTCACTGAACTGGTTATGTGGAACTACTGTACGTACGGGATGTATGGATACGGAGCGCACTGTAGACATTCTGAATGAGAATACATACATCTACTAACATTGTGCGGCTTCGTTTCACTGAGATAATCCGTGTACTTGTAGAAGTCAAGGGGTAGTCCCTGCTATGCTGGGTTTTGTTCGGAATCTGGAGTCCTGTACGTACACTACAGGACATGCATACGGAGTCACTCAGTGACATCACTTCCAAGTCGATTTGTTCTTCGAACAAGACTCCCAGGTTATTCATTATGGAGAAGGGCAGGCTGCGATGTTACCCGATATCGGTGAAACTTACATGACGTATGCTAGACTAGTGGTTGGTGTATAGTTAGTACAGTACAATAAAGTACAGAGCATAAAAAATTCATCCGTCCGCGGCTTCCGGGTAATTTCTTAACCATGGCCATGTATTCAAGGTGTATGGAGTACTGCAGGTACTGTATGTATCTTCTGCGGGGCCGTAACTAGTACAATACTAGCAAAGCACCGCCACACAGAGTCTGCACGGCCACAGTGATGGTCTCTCCAGCACTTCATCATCGCCTTTGCCTTGGCCCGCATTAGGCATCTTCATATCTGCTGCATCCGGAAGAGGTTCTTTTGCGTAGCAGTACGGACAACAACGGTTCGCGCTCAGTTTGGTTAGCACTCTGTGGACTCTTTGCTTGAGTGGTTATTTCTTGTGGCATATCCCATCCACCTCTCTTATCTCGGAAAGATTCGAACTGCCTGGTCACGACCGAACCCGACTGGAGGACTATCGTCATAATGTCCTGGGCTGGTGCGCAACCCTGCTCTCATGCTTCTTACGTTGTTGCAGCATCGCCCGAGACTCTTTTGTTCTGATACTGTAGGGCTCTCAAGGATTTAAGAAAAATGTCAACCGCGCCACGACGCAGGTGATGATGAAGACGGGTATGTCGGTTGCCTGCGTACCCCGCGATGATATGTCTTCTGCCCCATTCGCTCAGTCTTGACGAGCGACGGCTGACTCGAACTACCTCATGCGAATCAGGACATGTGGAACGGACCAACGATCGCGATTATGAAATTGAGGAAAGGTAAGCACTCCGTTGGGAGGACTGATGATTAGTACTTGTTCCGGGTGACTGAGAGCCTCTTGGTAAGACGCTATCGGACTATGGAGGCTGCTGCGAACAGGCTACAGAAGGAGGCTAAGGGCTATCTGGATTCGCTACGAGGTATGCAATCCCCATTTCCATGGTCGTTTTTGATCTTTGAGAGCCCGGGGAATAATTTACTGATGCGCGGCCTTTTTCGTAGCGATGACTGCGTCTCAGATGCGAATTGCCGAGACAATTGATGCTTTTTACGGCGATGCGGGGACACGCGATGGCGTCAGTCGAAGTTACAAGCAAGCGGTTGAAGACCTGGATGCTGAGACGATCAAAGCCTTGGATGGACCTTACCGGTATTTCCCCCCCTTTAGACTGCTGCTGGTGCTTATCAACAATACTGAATGGGCTGCTACAGGTCAACTGTGCTGGAACCGATCTCGAGATTCTGCGCCTACTTCCCGGATATCAATGAGTGCATCAAGAAGCGCAACCACAAACTCCTCGATTACGATTCGATGCGGGCGAAGGTGAAGAAACTAGTCGAGAAGCCTGACAAGGACGCGACGAAACTGCCCCGCACTGAGCGCGAGATGGAAATCGCCAAGCAGGCATATGAGCAACTCAACGAGCAACTTTTCACCGAACTACCTCAACTGATTGATCTTCGGGTTCCGTACCTGGACCCCAGCTTTGAAGCCCTTGTCAAAATTCAGCTGCGCTTTTGTGCCGAGGCATACTCGCGTATGGCTCAAGTACAGCAGTACCTGGATGCAGAGACGCGGGATCAGTACGCTCGGGGCGATTTAGACAACCGTGTGGAAGAAGTGTTGCAGGAGATCCGGGATCTGAGCATAGCGGGCACTGTGTGAAGGTTCAAACAAAGGATCTCGTTTTTCCATTTCCTTTTCTTCTTTCCATCTTCGCTGAAGAGGGGCGGCGTTTTCCACTATTTGCTTTCCTCCGCGAACTGCGCCGTCGCTATCATCATTTACTCCCGTGGGCCATCATTCCTTCCTCGATGATTCTCTTTAATACTTGATTTGCTGGTTGCATAAGGCGAAGGTCTTTGGAAAGGAGGAGTACTAGTTCACGCTTCCAGCCTCTTAGCTAGACGGCCCATTGTGTATGATCTAATTACACTCTGGTTTCCTTACATATTAGGACCTTAAATTGCATCACATGGGTAGCTGTAGAGCACGCGGCTAGTTTCATGACCTCAGCATGAGTCTTGATTTCTCGTTCTCGCCGCTATTATCTTTTCTAGCCGTTCGCGGCTCACTTGAGCTCGTCGTCCGCCCGGTAAAATTCGTCGGCCAGGAGATCCATGACAGGACCTGCAGCAGCAGCAATGGCATCCAGCTCCATCTGGCTCATCTTCCCGAGGACATAATTGGAGACAGCCTCAGAAGTTCTTTCCTTAGGCCGACCTATCCCCACTCCGACGCGCATCACCCTCGGACTGCTTGCCGACTTGATCGGATAGTATTTCTTCCAGCGCAGGACGTCGAAGATATTCTGAAGGCCGTTATGACCTCGCAGGCTGGCCTCATTCGGCCCACCACGTCGGACTTTCACCTTGCCCAGCGGGGCCTCCAGTTCATCGTGAAGGATCACAAGTGTCGGCTTAAACTCGCGCACGTTGCTAGGGTCGGTGCCCCTGCGTTGCCATTCTGGATCGTCCAGGCCGGTGGGCCAATATTCGGGGAATATCGAGAATTTGGACTTTGAATCAGCTACACAGCTCCTGGTATTATTCATCCATTTGCCGAAAGCCGGAACGACTTTGCGGCCGGACTCATTCATCATGGCGGGTGACTCGAAGGTCTCGTAGAAAAGCGGCTGCGACCCCGGAGCGGTGTGGGGGACGCGAGCGCGCAGGAGCGGGAGAAGCGCATCGAGAAGAATGTGGCCGGCGCTGTGGCGGGTCTGGCGATAGAAATGCGGTTTTCGATTTCCGATGGAGGCAATGAACAGGAAGCGCCGGGGGACGTTTATCTGGGGTCCAGCAGCCGCTGTGGTCCAAGCGGGAGATATTGACATGGCTTGTGAGAGAGCTTTACGGAGTACTCTGGTGGGAATGTTTGTTGCTTGTTCGCAATCTGCGTCGGAGAAATCTTTTCGGTTGATCGGGATTCGAAGGAGCCGAACTATAACTACCTTACTCCGTAGTATGCACAACCCAGGATCAAATCTTAGTTCTGCGCTTCTGTTGATGCATACACACAGTTGGTCTCTCCAGTTCACTACAGCGCAATCCTGCCCATGCTATAATTTCTTTCATTCGACGGGATTGATAATTCATGCTTCTATGCACAAGGAAACAGAGGTAGAATAATATCTCAATCAAATATGAACAGGAAAGCAAGCCCAAACCCCATGCTTTTTGAGTAAAGCTAACATCGCAACGCCTATTCGAAACCCCCATGCAATCAAAACAAGGCTAGATTTTTGGTTGACAAACAATGGAAAGAAATGTATCATAGTTGGAACTTGGTACGGGTCTTCTCCATGCCACCCTTCCATTCCCACTCCTGGCCACTAGCCCGTTGGATACCCTTATCAATACGGCGCAGCTTGAGTGTGAAGCGGGGTCCCAGTTCCTGCATACCAGCCCGAATGCCCTCGGCACCCTTCATCTCTTTGCCATCCGCACCAACCACGGCCTTTTCGGTCTCTCGCTTCTCGCGGAAGACGTAGCGGTGGCGGCGAAAGAAGAGATAATCGCGACTATTCAAAACGGTGACGACTTGTCGGCCTTGGATCTCCGGCTGGGCAGGGAACAAGGTACGGAACAAATGGGCTGTCAACAAACCCAGAGGGGTACGGAAGTTGTTGAGAATAAGCTCGGGCCAATGCTCGGTAGCATTGCCGTGTCCAGGAATGCGCTTGCCTTCGACCCAATTGGTCATGGAGAAATGAAACATGGGGCCATTTGGCAAATGAACGATGTCCAGACCGGTGGGCTTCTTTTGATCCTCGCGTAAAATGACCAGCGCGGTGTAGTTCCGATTGGAGGCGAATTTAGCAATCTCGCGGATGGAGAACTGATGAGCAAAACGGTGGCGTGTGCGGCGGACGTAGTGCGAGTTAGGGAAAAGGTCCGTGAGTAGCTCGGCCTCGTGATGGAGAGTCGAATTGAGAGAAGTGGTGATGAGGATCTTGGGAGAGGGGTTTTCGAGGTTGAACAGCGAGGGGAATTTGGCGGCCAGCGCATCGGGAACGAGGCTGAGATTAGTGCTCTTAGTCGATTGCGAGGGGCTGGTCGCTCGCTCGGTTGCAGAAGGCAGAGATGGCTTGTCGCGCCGTCCACGAGAATCGTCCTCCTTCTCATGTTCGTCGCTCTCTACATCATCATCCTCGTCACTGCTAGCAAGCATACTATCCACATCGTCGTCGTCGTCTGCATCCGAATGTTCCTCCTCTGCGCTGTCACCACCCTGCGACCTTTCATCGGTCAACTTGTCGGAAGCTTTCAAGGACCGATCCAGCTCGTCCTTTTCCTCTTGCTTGCGTCGCTTGATGCGCTCCACATCAAGACTCAAACCCAAGCCATCCTCGACGTCACTATCTGCCTCATCCCACACGCGCTTCCGATCAATAGTGAGCGGGATATTGCGCCTCAGGCGCTCCTCCTTCAAGCGAGGGTTCTTGGCCTCTTCCTTCTTGAATGCATACCGTTCGGTGCGGCGAGCGGAATCCTTGGCGCGCTTTCTCTTGATATGGAGCATCTGGCGGCGAAGTTTGTTGCGCGGTTTGATCTCCATGCTGGCATTGGGCGGAGGCCGGGCAAGGGCCTTTCTGGAGCCCATCCTGGCGGTTTTGTTGAAGGGACGGGGACAGGTGGGGATAAAGAAGTGTCTTGACGAATTTGCTTATAATTGAAGCTCAACAACTGTAGCGGAAAAAAAGAATAGGAACGGAAGATGGAACAATCCTCTCCGGCGGTGAGGAAGCGGAGCTTACACAGAATACAGTAACTATTCCAGCTGTCTCCGTACAGAGATTAAGGACGACCATACCGAATCAGGAAATGAAAGTTTTGATCGCGGCGGGTTTTTCCTCTTTTGCAGCCAGCGAAACAAACTGAACCTTCCGTACTCCGTAACCTGTGGACTGAATCCCAACCCAGAGTCCAATTGATCAAATCCTACTACTCTTTGTTGAATTGAATAGTCCGAGTAGCTCTACCTTGATTCATAAATCCATAATACCACTCACTTGGTGTGGTGGTTGACGTGGCGGATGACTCACTTGCAACATCGCTTTCCACTCTCTGCGCTCTCTCGTCGTCTCGTCATCTCTCCTGCTCTGCTGTTTCGCCCGCTGCCGCTGCCGCTGCCGCCTTCGTCTTTTGATCCCCGCTGCCGCCGCCGCCCACCTAATCTTTCTTCCTTTCATTCCACTGCCCCTCTTCTTCTTGTTTCGACCCCCGCGACTCTCTCCTCCTCCTCCTCATCTTCCTCCTCCCCTTCCTCCCCCCCTTCTTCTTTCTCCTCTCAAAACCAACAGACTTTTTCTTCCAGTTCTTCTCCTACTCCCTCGCTGAAATCTCGTCCCAGCCGCAGTCAGAAGAAAAGGAAAAAAATGGCTACGCTCAATACCAGGACCGGTCAGGTCATTGACCGGAGTGTCTTGGAGTCCATGCTGCGCCGTCGTCTCTTCTACACCCCTTCGTTCGAGATTTACGGCGGCGTCTCCGGTCTCTACGACTACGGCCCACCCGGCTGTGCTGTCCTGAACAACATCGTCGACTTGTGGCGCAAACACTTCGTGCTGGAGGAGGACATGCTTGAGGTCGATTGTACGATGCTCACCCCGCACGATATCCTCAAGACCAGTGGTCACGTCGAAAAGTTTGCCGATTGGATGTGCAAGGATCCCAAGACTGGTGAGATCTTCCGTGCCGATCACCTGGTCGAGGAAGTTCTTGAGAGCCGCCTGAAGGGCGATAAAGAGGCCCGTGGCCAGAAGGTTGAGGTCGACGAGGAAAAGGAAGCTAAGAAGAAGCGTAAGTCCAAGCAGGTTAAGGCTGTGAAGCTTGATGACGCTGTCGTTAAGGAATATGAGGAGGTCCTGGCGCAAATTGACAATTTTGACGGCCCGGCTCTGGAGAAGATTATCGCCAAATACGACATTCGCAACCCGACGACCGATGGCAACCTCCTCCCTCCCGTGGCCTTCAACCTGATGTTCCAGACCTCCATTGGTCCTAGCAGCAACATGCCGGGTTTCCTACGTCCCGAGACCGCCCAGGGTCAGTTTCTCAATTTTCACAAGCTGTTGGATTTCAATCAGCAATCCATGCCTTTCGCATCTGCCTCGATCGGCAAGTCTTTCCGTAATGAAATCTCTCCCCGAGCTGGTCTGCTGCGTGTGCGCGAGTTCTTAATGGCGGAAATCGAACACTTCGTTGATCCCGAGGGCGGCAAAAAGCACTCGCGCTTCGCTGAAGTCAAGGATGTTGAGCTATCTTTGCTGAACCGTGATGTACAGCTGTCTGGGCGCACCCAAACCGAGAAAATGACCATCGGCAAGGCGGTTGAGTCCGGACTCGTGGATAATGAAACCCTGGGTTATTTCCTGGCTCGTATCCAGCTTTTCCTGCTCAAACTGGGCGTTGACTCTAGCAAACTTCGTTTCCGCCAGCACATGGCCAACGAAATGGCTCATTACGCAGCTGACTGCTGGGATGCCGAATTGCAAACCAGCTACGGCTGGATTGAGTGTGTTGGCTGTGCTGACCGCAGCGCATATGACTTGACGGTTCACAAGAATAAGACGGGTGCCCCTCTGGTTGTGCGCGAGCCCCGTGCCGAGCCTTTGAAGATTGAGGAGTGGCAGATCGATTTGGATAAGAAGAAGTTTGGTCCCCGCTTCAAGAAGGATGGTAAGATGGTTGAGGCCGCTATTGAGGCCCTTTCTCAGGATCTGCGAGAGAAACTCTCGTTGGATCTGGCACAGAACGGCAAGGTTGAGGTGCCTGTTGAGGGCGTCGGTTCCGGCTCGGTTGAACTGGACAGTGAGCTGATCAAAATTGAGAAGCGCACGCGAGTGGAGAACGTGCGCGAGTACACCCCTAACGTGATCGAGCCGTCCTTCGGTATTGGCCGTATCTTGTACAGCATGATGGAGCACGTCTATTGGTCTCGTGAAGGTGATGAAGCTCGTGGTGTAAGTTTATCTTCCTCCTCCGTTTTGATTGTAATTGGCAGATGCATCGGACTAACTTAACTCAATTCGCTGTCTAGGTCCTGTCCTTTCCTCCGACGATTGCTCCCACCAAGGTGTTGATTGTCCCTCTCTCGACACACAGCTCCTTTGCACCCCTTAGCCAGCAGCTGATGATGTCTTTGCGCCGAATGGGTATTTCCAACCGAGTTGATGACTCTTCTGCCAGCATCGGTAAGCGCTATGCACGCAATGATGAGCTGGGTACTCCCTTCGGCATCACTGTCGATTTCCAGTCCGTCAAGGATAACACCTTCACTCTTCGTGATCGTGATTCGACGAAGCAAGTCCGTGCCAGCCAGGCGGAGATCTTGCAGGCTCTCAAGGCGCTCGTCGATGGTGATGAGACTTGGGAGGACGTCCGCAAGCGTCTGCCTGAGTTCACTGGTCAGGAGGTCGATTAGGCAACGCGGAGCTTAGACCATTGATATGCCAGTCATATCTCGTGCGCCTTACTTTAGTAGAGTAGAAAAGAAATCTATCTAATATTGAATTTTCCATGAAATGACCTTTCGAATGGGCGTAATTGTTCTGTAGCGCCAAGAGCGCAAGCCTCCCGTGTCGGGATTCAACGTCATGGCCGGTTAGCGTCCTTCAACTAAACATCCCCATCCACCATCCACATGCCTTTGCATCTTCCCTCTCTGTGCTTTCTCTGCTCTCGTCTTCTATCTCACTTCTTCTGTGTCTTCTAATATCTGCGCTTTTAAGTCACCTCTGCTATTCTCCATTTGATTCCGATTCTTTGCTCTCCTTTTTGCGGGCTCTTTGACTTCTGAGCCTCGCCAAGGATGGCGCCCTCCATTCCTTCCGCTAAGCTGACTCTTTCCTGTCCTCTTTTCGCCGCTGATTTCGATCCACGTAATCCCGGGTTTCTGCTTGTTGCTGGTGGAGGAGGCGAGGGCCGCAGTGGAGTGGGAAACAAAATCGCAAGTCTGCCTTATCCCGCCTTTGCTCATCCCTATGAACCTGCCTGCTAACGACTCTCGTGCTTTCAACAGGTCCTCCTTGATTCCTACAAACGCCAAACACTTTCTCCAGTCGTCGAAATCGATTTGTCGCGCAATGAGGACTCGGTGACCTCCCTCGCAGCTGCACTACCAACTGGGGACTCGATCATTGCCTTAGCTGGCATCAACAGTTCCCTGGAAGAACAGAAAAAAGATAACAACCAACATTTGCGGTCCTTCTGCATCGACTATCCTCCGCGTAAAAGCCTCATAAATGGTGATGCGGATGAGTCAGCGAAGGACAACTCGTCTGCCGCGTCAATCCCTGGAAAAACCACTCCATTATCCCGCGCGTCGCTCTTTCGCACAGTCAAGGGCTCAAAGAGTTCCGACACCTATCAACGACTCCTGCGACTCTCCCCATGGATAGCTGGTGCAAAGTCCCCTCGAGTGGCTGCCATCGCCACCGGTCTGGCGGCGACAGGCGAGATTGTCTTCTTCAGCGCGACCGCTACGCCTGGGCCAACGGAGGTCATCGCTCGTATTCGGCTAAGTAACGATGAGGAGGCTGAGGACATCGATATCATCGACCTAGACGACGAGACGAGCACCTTCCGCTTTGCCTACAGCAACGGGATCGATATCTTCATAGGTCAGATTATTGGAGAAACTCGCTCAAATGCTTCCCCGGATGTGCAGTGTGTTTACACGACACCAGTCCCGGAGAGGGGCCCTCGAATTCGGCCCAAGATCAGGGCGTTGCGCTTCCTCTCGCCGACCAGTCTACTCCTTCTACAGAACGCGCCTGACCGCAAAGGCTCTGAGTTGATGGTCCTTGATTTCCAAACTGCGCTGGCCCCGACACTAAGGGAGAAAAATTCGGGGCAGCATATAACTACCGGGAAAGCTACTATTCCCCGGCGTAGAAAGCTCCGCAGGAGCATCAAGATCGGTTTGGGCTTAGATATCTGCCTCCTAGGCTCTGGCGGCAATGATCCGGTCAATCAGCAGCAGCAGGCCGTTATCGCAGTCTCTGGCAGCGATCAATCCATCGAGCTTCTGACGCTCGAATTTAATCCGCACAGCGGCCGAGGCGGCTATGGCCCTCTACTTCGCTATACTACTCTCCCCGACGTGCATCCTTTTTCCATGACCAAGCTCTGCTTTGCACCCTTCCATCCACCCCCGCATCCCGTGTCGCCCGCAACTACTCCGCAGTACGTAAGGCTGGCCTCCGTCAGTATGGGCAACACTGTCGTCGTCCACACCCTCCCACTTTGCCCCTGCCCTCCGGCTAGCCGCTATCCTCGCTACGTCTTGTCTATGCCCGGTAACCCCGAGCTCTGGGCCAATTTCTCGAGCGGGTTCGCTGCCCTCTTCTCCATCCTCATTGTTTGCGTCGTTCTGCAGGCTTTTACCGAAATTCGGGGAGCAATGCCCCCCTATCTCGGTGCTGCTGACTGGCTCCCCCCGCATATTCGCGACGCTGTGGCTCGTCCATATTACCCTCCTCCTTCTCCCCTTCCTCCATCTTCTTTTCCTCCTGCGGACCTTTCTACCGCATCTCCGGAATCAGCTGTGGTAGCCAGGGTCCCCACAAACAACAAAAAAAGCAAAAAGCCGGGGCTATGCGTATCCTCAAATCCCACGCCCATCTCTCTTCTCTCATCTTCATTCATTTCCTGCGACCCAGACACGAATTCTCTGCTGTTAAGTTCCACTCCCGCAGATACTGTATCATCCTACCGCCGCTGGAAAGACATTGAAGTGACCGACCGCGCTCGATGGATCCATGAGCTCACACAAGCATGCTACAGCCCGGTGTCCGAGTCGGAATTGGAATCCGACTCCGCGTCAGATGATGGGAGAGTGCTATTTGGAGATCTGTGTCCTACTAGACCAGATGAAGTCCTGCCTTGAATCTTTTAGATTTCTTTGCGGGGGTTCCTGACTTCTTCGCGACCTAGGGTCATCAAGTGCCACCCTTAGCCGGAGACGCAGGGGCGAAAGTGAGATTAATGCTGTCTGTTTTGGATCTGAACCTGATGGATGCGACTAACGAATATGACGGAAACATAATTGACGGTGGGTATATCGATAGGGTCGGAGAGGATGTTTTGTTCGTTCGCTGGATGCAAGAATGGTTCAATACGTACAGCACCATTGCTCCAGTTACCTGAGCATGCTCTTTCCAACTGAGCCCATCGACCTGTGAGCTGCCTTGTTATGTTACATAGTCGATCCACTACTTACTCACCATGCTATTTCGAGATTGTCCCATTACTGTATGCTAAGGAAGTTAGTTGGCTACGTACGAACCCGACCTTGGTTTCCGAGAAGAAAACATGAAGAGGGTATAGAATTGATTTTGTTGAGGTCTATGTTCGTCCGCTGGTTTCGGAATCGCATGGGAGACGACCGCATACCTGCAGTATAGCATCAATCTTCATGCTTCGCTCTTCTCCCTTCGCATGCCAACCATTCATGGATGATTAAGCTATAGTATCATGGATTCATGGACTGACATAAACATGCGGGAAAGAGGAATCAACAGAAAGTAACGGGCAACCTCTCTTGGACTTTGATTGTCCATCCTTCGTTCTTGTCAGCGACTGTTCAGTCCTTTTTTTTAAAGACCGCTTCTGTTAAAGCGCAATCGATTTCCGTTTCTCGAAGCAGTCGGAAACCGTATAGACTATCCCTCGCACCGTGCTGTTTTACGCTCGTTGCACTGCTTTTAGCGGGGACAAGCACAGCAAAGACGGCTCACACAGCACCACGCAGCGGCAAGCGGGCGGGCCGCAAAATAAGGATTATGCACGAATGTAAAATGTATAAGAAGAAAAGCGAGGGCCGGAGAAGAAGGCCGAGAAAATCGATTTTCAGAACGCCGAGGTATCCATGCCAAGTCCGCGCGCAAGACAAAGCAATGTGTGTGGATATCACGAGAAGAGATCGGATCGCAAAATGATTCGTCAAAGAGTAGTAGAATCGGCCGGAGTCGAGTAAATGTAACCCATATGTGGAGGGACAAGATCGAATTTAAATCATCAAAAGATACCGAGTGCGCACTGTAGCATGTTACGTCCAGCGCTGGGATCTCTTCCGTCATCGCTTACTGCCCGCTGTTCTTTTTCCAGCGCAGCAGCTCTGCAAGACTAGCCAGGCTGCATCCCATCTTGAGGAATTCATGTGCCAACAACTCATCCGCCGTAGCACGACTGCGGACGTCCACGCAGAGGCAGACGCTGAGGAAGGACTTGAGCTCTTTGCTGAGCTTTTCGGGCTTCTTCAGACGAGGAGTGCCGTTGGTAGCGATGAGATATAATGCTTTGAGGGGCTCCTCATTCAGATATGGAGGCTCGGACTCAATCATCTCAATAGCCATGATGCCCAACGACCAACAATCGACCTTAGGTCCGTATTCTTTCTGCTTAACAACCTCGGGGGCCATCCAGTACGGCGTACCAACCATGGTAGCTCGCTTGCTCTTCGACTCTGTGAGCTTAGCACAGAAACCAAAATCGGCTGTGATGAACCATAAATGAATCAGCTATAAACGAACTACTAGTGGACCATTAACGGGAAGATCGGTCGGCACTCACTAATCTTGACATGGCCAGCTCGGTCCAGGAGCACGTTGTCACTCTTGATATCACGATGGATGATGTTCTGGCTATGTAGGTGAGCCAAGCCTTTGCAGGTCTAGCAATAATCAGGGTCAGTTTTCTTATAGACGTGGAGGGGTCAAGACGTACCTCTAAACAAATGGTAGCGATCTGGTCTTCCTGGATTACCGGGTTGTTATCAATCACATCGGTCAAAGCACCTCCCTCCATGAATTCCATGACCACCCATAATTCGTTGCTCTGCTCTTGCAAGAAGGAGTCAAGGAAGTTCACAATGTTCGAGTGCTGGCTGTCTTTCATGACGATGATCTCGTTTACAATCAGCTCCTTACGCGGCTGGCTGCGCAAATCCATTTGCTTGATGGCCACTTGAGTGCGCGGCCCATATTGGCGGTACAGCTCCCGAGCGATTGGAGACGTGGCATGCTCCTTGACGCGAGCCACATACACAGAGCCAGAGGCGCCTTGTCCGATCTTACGCTGCTTACTGTAGGACTCATTTGGATTGTCCTTCGAGACAACGGACCGCAACCGATCCATAACCTCATTCTCGCTCATAGCCGACATGCGCACCTCCCTCTGCCGGGGCTCCGCCTTTTTCGTCAAAGCCGCTTCGGCTTGACGGACTCCGTCTGGCACATTTGTCTTGCCTGTCGCCTGCTTGTTTGCGATATTCAATGGCTTGACCGGCTGCACTGGCGCAGGCAGCTTACTAGGGGGCGGGCCTTGAGCCTGCTGCGTTTTGGGACCGCTATTCGGGGTTCGTGCAGGTTGAGTCTGGGCCGGAAACCTTGAGCTAGGCGAGGCTTGCTCTGTCCGGCCATTGCTGTAGTCTCCAGGTCGTTGGCCAGCCGTAGGCGGGGAAGGTGCAGAGCGCTGGGCAGTCAGTTGACGCGAAGGATCAGGACGAGTGGAGCCTGGAGCTTGGGGAGCGGGGCGACTGGGCTTGTAGCGATCATCCGGTGATCCATACCCTCCCAATTCCTGCTTCGCCAGGGGTGCGCGAGTCTTAGGCAGGGAAGCATTATACACATCCTGCTCGTATTTGCTTTGCTCCTCCTCTCGCTGTCGCGCCCGACGGGCCTCTTCTTCGACACGGCGTCGCTCCTGATCTGCCAGCTCATTCATTCGCTCCAGTTGCTGCTGCTGCTGCTCCGCGGCACGATCTGACTGCGCAGGCGGCGAGGCTGCCGAGCGGTTGGAGTACGATTGGTTGATATCCAATCGTTGCGCAGGAGCGGGTGGTGGTGGGCGAGGGGGCGCGATGGAATTACCCACGGAGTTATTGCCGTAGGACATAGCCTGCTGGGTCGGGGGCGAAGTTAGGCCGGCGTAGTATTGGGGGTTCTGCTCGCGCATCTGGTCGGAGTAGAACTCAAGTACTTCAATGACGGCCTGGGGGTTATTCTTATAGTCTTCCTTGGTAATAGCGGACGCAGTTAAAAGCTTCTCCCACTCCGGTGGCAACCCGACAAAGGCACCAGTGCGCGGATCGAAGCCTACATGAACACGGTGGCTGAAGTTGGTGGGATTGCCGACACCACCCATTCCCGGACAGCGCTCATAGATTTTATCGATCCAATCGTAAATCTCGTCGTCGCTTTTGACTTCGCAGGTGATGCTCTTGGTGGGCACATCGCGGGTGATCAAGGCCGCTTTGGAACTGGCATCTTTGGGGTTCGCCAGCCGCAGTATCTCAAACGCCATGCGTGTATCCTCCGAGCGTGAAACACCTGTGACCGCAGCCAGTGGGATCGACAGAACAATCTTGCCTGTCTCATTCTTCAGAAAATCGAGACGAAATTCGCGTAGGATCAGATACCGCTGATTCCAAGTCGCCAGAAACTTGTCCTCCTTGCAGCGAACATAGCCTTCTTTGATCACAGCGACTCCACCCTGTCCGGACTGTTCGGTCTTGGTACGTGTGAGCGTAGGTGTGCTTGTATTGGGAAAGAGGGATAGATTGGCAGGCCCGGGAGTGCTAGGAGAATTGAGACTCATTTGACTGAACGAGGTGGCTACGGTCGGGTTGGTGGGCAAGTTGAGCTTTGGCCGATCCGCGGGAGGGCGGGGAGCAGGCCCCGGATTCATAAATTGGTCGTGGGAGTACATTCTGCAGCCAGGTCAGCATCGCCCTCCAAAAGCCGTCTATGGATCGTCTGTGGATATTGGCATGGCTATGGAGATGGGGACTGGGGGGTCGTAAAGGCGAAAGAGGATCAGGGGAGGAAATGGGGTTAACCAGCTTACTTTTTGGGAGGAAAGCATCCAAGTTTGGCTGAGGGTGGGGAGGGGGAAGAAGAGGCGTCAGGGGGAGAGGAGGGAAGAGGAAGCAGTCCGATCAAATCAGAAGATGCAATGCGTTTTCCTGCAGAATTAGTCAGGGGGCTTTTCTTAACACTAAATTAATCGTAGGATCGCGAATGCAGGGACATTTAGATTTGGCGAAGGAGACGAAGGGGAGGGGGTGGGGGAAGAGAGAAAGAGAGAGAAAATGCATGCGCACAGCATTAACACCCGCGCGTACAGCAGCACATCGTGGGGTAAGTATGTATGTTCGGAAGAGCAATATGGACGTAAAGGGGAAGGACCGGGGGCGACGGGGGTTGCAACAAGACGGGGATGGAGAAGAATAGTATGGCCATCGCTCATTGGGGAAAGGCATTTCTTACAGGCTGGGTTACCTGTGGTTTCAAAAAAAAGTCCCTGTGAAAGCCTCACCGAAGATGAAAGCGCACGTCTTCTCGAGGTCGCTGCCCCGAAGTTCAGACGGGGTGAGCACCGGCGGTAGGACACGATCTAAGCAAGACGCAGCTGTAACGTAGTGAAGAGAAAGAAAGAACGACGGTATTAGTTATGACGACACACGGGGAGATAATGAGCAACCAGGGACGGAAGAAACGAGAGAAGAGGAGGAGCAGGAGGGGGAGGAGGGGAAGGGGGAGGGAGAAAGAGAGGCGGAGGAGAAACAAAGAGGAAGAAGGGCGCAGAGGAAGCAGGAAAAGGGAGAAGCGAGAGCAATACGGAGTGGTTAGTGGTAGTAGTTAATAGGAGTGTAGGAGTAGTTAAGTGAATGGTTGACTACGGTGTCAGTGTGTAGTTAATATGTACTAGGTATGTACTGAGTAGGTCTTTCAGGTAAGATTAATTATGTGTAAGTACTAAATGGTAGAATACAAGTAGAACTTATAATGATTCAGGAGAGAGGAGAGCGGGGGGGGGGGGGGACAATTCTTGTTGTTATTGTTGTTGTTTCATTAATTTGGAGTTCTTCTGCTTCTCAGGAGGAGGAGGAGGAGGACGGAGGGAGGTTTCCCGCTCCTCTTATCACCCGTTTCAGTCTATCAATTTGCAAGACAATGTCGTCGACTCAAGTAATTTGAGTTACCTTGATCCATGACGAGAACTCTACTTCTCAACCTTAACTCGAACCAACTGAACATGCCACAGGAGAAGTAAAGGTAATTTCACTCACTCACTCAATCATAGGCACGATCTTGACTTACTGCTGTTGCTAGTGTAGACAAACAATCAAAAAGATCATCACATCAGACCCTGTCTTTATGTTTTTGTCGGGCCAGGGAGAGATCCCGTGAAGATCAGGTCCAGAACACAGGGGCGAGTCTCCGACGTACTCATAGTCTCATACTGAAGCAGGGGAAAAGAATAGTAAGTTACTGTGCGACGGGGTGGGCGGCCCACAGACCCTCCTTCCTTTCCTTCAGTTCTTTTCCACTCACTTTACTGTGTAGTAGTAGTAGTTTACAGAGTACTCCATAAGGTAGTTACAGTAGTGTATTACTGTACACTTCCCCCTCAACCCCCCCCCTTTTGCTTCTCATCGATCTTGCCCAGTTTCCTCCCCCTCAAAGCATAAAAATTATAAATATGCTACGATAAATACTTGTGCCCTGAGTGCTAATAAAATCAATACATACTACAAACACCCCACTAACATATTGCTTTAAGTTGGCTTTACAAAGTACTACGAGTCTATTGTGGTGTGTATAAGTTATTGTGGTTACATGGAAAGTCGAACGGGCCCGAGCATCGCCATCAGCGATCCTCTCCAAATGGATGATTGAACTTCAGCAATCCGTTCAAACCACCAACCCAGCCATCATGCGCCTCTCCGCCGGTGATCCTCCGCATCACACACGGTACTCCCCCCTGCCATTCATTCTTGCCATGCCGCATCTCTTCATTCCATACCCGCGCTTCCATCCCCGCCCTCATCCCTTGGCCCATGTTTACCCCATCAATGCTCACCTCCAGCTCACGACCGCGATTCTTCTCACTCAGGCGTAAAGTGATTGGTGTACTTGACGGCAGCACCAACGGCCGGAAGCTCAAGCTTCGGGCGCAGATCGGCGTCAAAAGCACAGCAGGGACAAGAGGATGCACAATACTGCCGCCACTGCTTAGGCTATATGCGGTGCTCCCGGTTGGAGTCGAGATAATGATCCCATCGGCTACAGCCTCGGTCAGAAAGCGACCACCCACGTAGACATCTACCACCGCCAGATGCGGTTCTTTACCGCGATGCAACAGCACTTCATTCATGACATACAATCCTCGCCGATCCCAGATCCCCGGCAAAGAATTTGATGATGCTTCTTGTCGAATCGGCTGTCCGTCAGCTGTGAAAAGCCCCACCTTCAGTCGGTTGCGCATAAGAATCCGAGCCCCGCGCGTCAAACCCATCGACTTGCCCCGTACCGATGACCAGCCCGTTGGGCCCACGGTTAGGTCTAGTGATTCATCAGCTGCGGTCGGCCGCACATCGCCTAGCACGGTTGCGCGGTCTCCCACGCCCGCCCCAGACATGTAAACTTCGCGGAATGCGCGCTTGTACTCGGAAAATTTCCATTCACTGAGGAATCCGAGCGTGCCCATGCTGAACGACAACATGGGTGGTACATTATAGCACGTCGCAAAGAGCGATGAAGCATGCAGTATAGTCCCGTCTCCTCCCAGGGTCACGGTGAGGTCTACTTTATTGTGTAATGCTGGTCGGAGGCGATCTATAGAGGTTGTGTAAACAGGGGCGTGCAGCGATGCATGAACTTCTTTTGCAACTTTGGGTTCGAGGATGATCGATGTGGAAGGATACGTAGACGTCGCATGACTAAAATGTCGCGAAAATCAGTACGGGTCAAGTTTTGCATGACAAAGGCACAGAAAGACGGAGGCCGTACTTGGCAAATTCGACAAGCGACTCAGTTACTGTCGGAGCACAATCCTTTTTCACAACAAGGATGTTGCGCGGCGGCGCTGGCCATCGAAGGGACAGAAGATCGCCCACTTGCGACTCTAGTTGAGCATTGCTCGTCAGTGGTTGGCCATTCATGATACATCGTGAGAACGCACACCTTGATAACCTGGTATAACTCGCTGCGGCAGTGTCTCAAGCTCTGTGATCTCGTGCCGCCGTGACGACGAGGAAAAGCTTCGCGTCCATGAGAGCCGGCCGAGGAAACCAGTCCAGGGGAACTGATCTCGGAAAATTGTGGAACTCATTTTCACCAAGAAGTATCTCTTGTGAAGATCGAGAGCATTCTGAGCAGAAATTTTCTTGGTCAGCATCATACTAAGGATTGAAGGAGATGGTGCGCTCACTTCAAATAGCCTGATTCATTGCTTTGAGGCAGCATGAGCGGGAAACCATATAATGATTGCTAGATGAATACCTTGAGAAATGATGCATACCAATCGTTAGTACAGTCCTGGATGCTTTAGAAGATACTATCAAGAAAAGGATACCCAGCAGACCAAGGACTAGCTGCGAGAGCTCAACGAGGGAACGAGAGGAAAGGAAAAGCATGATGGAATTCAACTGCCCCCCCGGACTCGGCATTGCTTGACCGCCCGCTCGCCCGCAGTCAGGAGGGACTGACGTATGAAAACACTACGTGGTACGTAGTGGTACTACTTACGCAGTAGAGAGTTCATCGACCTTCGAGTGTACTAACTTGAGTGGGTTGTTTACTACCGTACGTAAGCTATCTGGATAGTTGACCAGTAAGTTTAGTCAAAAGTCATTTGATCAGTCAGGTATGAGCAGTTAGACCCCATGTTAAACACTCATGGATAGATAACTAAGTTAACTAGTTACCTAATTACAAAGTACTAAGTTAACTAACTAACCTAACTACTGTGCTGGATGTACGGAGTAGACAACTCACAGCTCTTCGGGTTATGTCATCCTCCAGCTCCCTTCCGGTGATTGACGGAACTGTGAGGCTCCCGTATAAATAGGATTGGTGGTTCCTCCCATACAATCCACCTCTGTTGCTGGTTTGAGCATGGTTTGACCCAGATGTGATTTATACCTTAACTTCTCAAAAGACCATTTGTGTTATAATCGAGCATTCGCTTCAAGCTTACCTGAGCTTCGTCCTTCGTTGGGCTCATATCTAGCCCTGAGCGGGCCTGATAATTCTCTTGGTGAGTATGTCGTGGACACCGCTTCTCCTCACTCGTTTATCTTTGTTCTTAGTCAATATCGTTGGGCAGATCTGCCCGCGTGACCATACTGAGTGAGAGCTGACCTATATAAAGTTTCGATTGTCCCAACCGTAAAAGTCCCATATCCCTGGTCGCCCGTTCCCAGCCTGTGCCATGATGGAATCCGATATTCGCCAGCGGAAGCATGTGAACTCGGTAAATTCTGTGAGCGATAAGCATCACGATCCTACTGATGCGGCTCCGCGCCTGAAGCATGGTCTTGCCATGCAAGTACTTCGCTCTCTTCTGCTCGCTACATGGTTCAACTGCTGTTGCGTCGCTATTTTAGCGACGCAAATTATCGGCTGCCCTCTCTATCTGATCAATAAGGATTATTACTACGCCTACATGGCATACACTAAGCAATCGTTCGGCCTGGTGATTACGGCTCTTACACAGTGGGGTTGTCCAACGGTTGTGCGCGTCAGCGGAGACAAAAGTGTACGAGGTCAAATTCATCTTGCGGCGGACGGACGGTTAAAGACGAGTTTTCCGGAGCGACTGGTAATGATCGCTAATCACCAGGTATACACCGACTGGATTTATTTATGGTGGGTCGCATATACGAACCAGATGCACGGTCGCATCTTCATCATTCTGAAAGAGTCTCTCAAATACATTCCCATCATTGGTCAAGGTATGACCTTTTACGGCTTCATCTTCATGGCTCGGAAGTGGCTCTCGGACAAGCCGCGACTTCAACACCGTCTAGAGAAACTGAAGACTCAGCATTCAGGTTCTCAGTCGGGCTCGCCCCAGTATGATCCCATGTGGCTCTTGATCTTCCCAGAAGGGACGAATTTGTCAATCAACACTAGAAGACGGAGTGCGGAATACGCAGTGAAACAGAAGCTTTCACCTTTGAGGCATGAGCTTATACCCCGCTCCACTGGTCTTTTCTTCTGTCTTCAACAACTACGGGGCACCGTGGAATGGGTCTATGACTGCACCGTAGCCTACGAGGGACCTCCGTAAGTAGACTGGCATTTTGGTATTGGTCATATTTCGTTCTACGGTCTCTAACCACCTCTGTCTGTTCATCCTTGCAGAAAAGGTAGCCTACCTGACAAGTACTTCACACTCCGGTCGACATATTTACAAGGTCGACCACCGACCTCCGTTAACATGCATTGGAGACGCTTTGCGGTTGCAGACATCCCACTGGAAGATCAAGACGAATTTGATGCCTGGCTCCGAGCTCGCTGGGGCGAGAAGGATCAGCTTTTGGACGAGTGCTTCGGAACTGGCCGATTTCCGACCGAACTAGGAGGCTCTATTATCGCTGAATCTGGAAGTCCAGAGCAGACATCTGCGGCGGCTGTTGGCTATGCTGAAACACATGTTCGGCTACGCCATTGGGCTGAATTGAGCAGGATATTCATGGTGCTGGTGGGCACTGCTTTGCTGTGCAAGTTGCCCCGGCTAATTGGTTTGTATTGAGGCCATTGCGCAGTACGCCGCAGTAAATGGAGTTCTTCGGTCGGGTGGAAATTGGAGCAATGTCATGATTTGAGTAAATGCACTAAGCGTCACGACTTCTCTCCTGTTCTTATACTTACTGAATGACATGATGAGCATCATTAGTATTCTTGTGTATAGCTGTCTGTCTATATCGAGCGGGGTTGTTGCAATATTGTGTTAGACTCGAAAGTAAGGTGAGAAATCCGAATGTAGGCTGAGAAATCCAAGGTCGACTTACCTGTTGCATCATTGTGCCTGGGACATGGTTAAAGTAGGTTTAGGTAGATTAGCGGGCTCGAGCCACATCCCGTGTGGCGGTGCTACCATTTCAGCCTCAATTTCCGTCCATCTCCAACTCTATTCCATCCCATCCTCCTTCCTGGTAGGTTCTAATCCTCGACTGTACCAAACCACCAAATCGCGAGCCTGCAGCGATCATCACGTTCGACGACCCCGGCGCTACTGAGAGTAAAGAGCACTATTCTTGCCTGCCTCCTCAATAAAAAGGACCCCACTTTACCTGCAGTCCCAAGCTATCGAGTCAACCCCGAATATGACATGAATTGAGCTTTGTCTTGATAAATCAAGCATTCGCCATCGACTTCCCTGTTTCTCTCACTCGCGTCCGCCTACGGACGCATCGCTCAATTTTACGCCATGACGTCCCTTCATAATGGCCACGTCAATGGCACCACCAACAACCACGTCCCACCGGCCGCGACACCGCCAGCTAATCTTCGCTTTTCCGACATTCCTTCTGCGATTGATATTCCTGCATCAACCCTTGACAGCGAAGTCGAGGTTAGTCTAGAGGTCCTTCCCGACGATCCGACCGAGCTGTGCACCCTTTTGGAGAACGAGAAAGCCGCCAAAAACTTTTGGGTGACAATCGCGCTCGCGTATGCCAAACAAAACCAGCTCGACCATGCGATTGACATCCTTAACAAAGGGCTGGCTTCTGCAGGCCACGGGGCGATCAAGGAGAAACTCGGGCTTCTAAGCTGGGTCTGCTGGTTGTTGATGCTAAAATGCCGACAAGCGCCTCGTGTTCTGAACGAGTCCGAAAACTACACAGATTCCAAAACCAAAGACTATTACCTACAGCAAGCAACATCTACGCTGAATGAGGCCTCACGATTGAATCCGGCTTTCCCTCCTCTTTTTCTGGCACGCGGTGTTCTGTCTCTCCTACGCGCGTCAATGCAACCTCTCCGACCGACGCGTACGGGGGGTATCGATACCTCCGAACGCGCCGAATCATTACGTCAGGCCCTCAAGTGTTTTGAGGAATCGTCCAAGGTCTTTGGTGGTCGCAATATAATGGCAATCCTCGGTCATGCACGTGCGCAGTACATGCTGGGCCGCTATTCGGAAGCATTGGAAGGTTATCAGCTAGTACTTGTGAAAGCGCCTGGGCTGAGGGACCCTGATCCTCGCATCGGCATCGGCTGTTGTCTGTGGCAATTGGGATTTAAAGAGCAGGCAAAAGCCGCCTGGGAGCGGGCGCTTGCATTGGTGAGTAAACTTGACCGCACGCTGGCTGAGAAGAAGATCAGTCCTAACTTTACACAATTACTACATAGAACCCCGATTCAAAAGTCGCCAATATCCTTCTTGCAGTCTACTATTTGTACGACAGCTCCCGACACTCCACCACAGACCCGGCCTTTGGTTCTCTATATAAGGTGGCCATGACACAATATACGCAGAAGGCATTCAAACTGGATAAAGAGTACCCAATGACATGTGCTCTCTTCGGCAGCTACTTCCTCCTGCGCAAGTCATATAGTACTGTTGACAGTTTGGCCCGAAAGGCCATCCAACAAACAGACGTAATGTCGATTGCCAGTGATGGATGGTATTTGCTTGGGCGGAAAGCGCACTATGAAGGCGACCTCGTTCACGCAGCGGAATATTACAATCGAGCGGACCAGGCCCGCGGCGGTGAGAATGGTTATCTTCCTGCCAAACTAGGTAGTATACAGATGCAGGTCTCAATCAGCAAGGATTTTGACGGAGCCAAGTTCCGGCTGGAGAAAATCATCCAACAGACCAAGAACCCGGAGAGTATGATCTTGCTCGGTGCCCTCTACGCAGAGGAGGTGTTTGCAGCTAGCAGCAAAGATGATAAGTCCGCAGAAGCCAAGAAAGCCATTGGACTTCTAGAGTCTGTCCGTACTCTTTGGAAGGACGAGAGCAAGAAGATTCTGCCCGACGAGTCGGTCTTGGTTTACCTGTCCCGCCTGTACGAGCAGACCGCCCCGGAAAAGAGCATGCAATGCCTCACTCAGCTGGAGGAAATGCAACTCGCTGAGATTCCTGGAGAGGAACGTCCTGAAGGTGTGGATGATGTGGAGCAGATCAAGCTTATCCTTCGCAAACAATTACCTCCACAGCTACTCAACAACATGGGATGCTTCCTATACCAAGCAGAGAAGATTGAACTTGCTCGGACGATGTTTCAATCCGCACTCGATGCCTGCGTCAAGTCCCAGGGACAGGAGAGCGAGCTCGATACGGATGCTCTTGTGACTACCATCAGCTACAATTTGGGCCGTACTTATGAGGCAGCCGACATGCCAGATGATGCCAAGAAGGTATACGACGGATTACTAGCGCGTCACGCTGACTACACAGAAGCCAACGCGCGATTGACTTACATTGCTCTGCGACAAAGCCCAACAGATGAGGGCCCCAAAAAAATGGCTAAGCTATATGAAGCCGATGCAACTAACCTTGAGGTACGAGCCTTGTTTGGCTGGTATTTGAGCAAGTCCAAAAAACGCGCGGCCAACCTGGCGGAAGACCACGAGCAGCGCCACTACAAACACACTTTGCAATACTATGATAAGCATGACCGGTACTCGCTCACGGGAATGGGTAACATTCATCTTGCTGCAGCACGTGACATGCGGCGGGACACCGATCAAGACAAGGAAAAGCGGCGGAAGATGTACGAGCGTGCGGTGGAATTCTTCGACAAGGCTCTGCAACTGGATCCAAGGAACGCCTACGCAGCGCAGGGTATCGCCATTGCGCTCGTGGACGACAAAAAAGACCACGCTTCTGCGGTTCATATCTTCTCCAAGGTTCGAGATACATTGCGTGATGCTAGTGTTTACCTCAATCTCGGCCACGTCTACGCGGAGCTTCGGCAGTTCACGCGGTCGATTGAGCATTACGAGGCTGCCCTGTCCCGCGACCGGGCTCGTGACGCACAGGTTCTTGCCTGTTTGGGTCGTGTCTGGTTGCTGAAGGGTAAGCAAGAGATGAACTTGCAAGCTATGAAGACAGCGCTGGACTACGCCCAGCGCGCCCATGCCGTTGCGCCGGGCCAGGTTCACCTTGAATTCAATATTGCCTTCGTGCAGAACCAGATTGCCTCATTGACGTACGGTCTCCCAGAAACGCAGAAGACGGTCCAGGACGTGGAAGATGCAGCATCTGGACTCCACAGTGCGGTGGAAACGTTTGGTCGGATCGCGCAAGCCAAGAATCCGCCTTACCCGGCCAGTGCTCTGGAGCAACGCGCAAACATGGGACGCACAATCATCAAGCAGCTCGAGCGTGCCCTACAGAGTCAGAGGGATTACGAGGAGAAGAATGCGGCCAAACTCCAGCAGGCGCGCGAGGCGCGCGAAGCGGAAATCCGGCGCCGAGAGGAGGAGGTGCGCCAGGCGCAGGAGGCCGAGCGAGAACGCAAGCAACGGGTTGCCGAGGAGCGTCAACGCATGATTGAGGAGGCACAGCGATTGGCTGAGCAGCGTGCCGAAGAAGAACGTACTCGCGAAGAAGCGGAGCTAACAACGGAGTCGGAGACGGGGGCCAAGGTGAAGCGTAAGAAGCGGACCACCTCGAAGCGCAAGAAGAAGGGCACTGAGGACGACTTCATCAACGATGGCGGAGATTCTCCTCGTCAGGCGAGAAGTAGCGAGCCTGAGAGCGAAGGCGCGACGGCGCCGAAGAAGCGTCGGCGCCTAGAGCGGCGGGCTGGCGGCAAGGTACAGAGCAAATACAAGAGTAGCGAGATGGTAGTAGACTCAGATGACTCGGATGCTGAGGCAGTGGCTCCGGCGGACGATGACCACACAATGGGTGACCCGGGAGCGGATTCTGAAGACGAAGAGGAAGATGTGGTGCAGCGACGTCGGGCCAAAGTCACGCGCCGCGTGGCTGATGATGACGATGAGGAAGAGGGGGACGAGGACGACGAACCTGCAAAAACCGAGGCCTCGGTGGCTGGAAGGGGCGCAGGATCTGGGGCTAAGCCTGAGGAAGTTGCGGGTGCTGGGGCCGAGGAAGGGTATGTTGTATTTGGGGGCGATGAAGGAGATGATGATGGGCTATTCAATGACCACGACGAAGAGGATATCCCCATGCAAGATGATGAGTGAAGTCTATGGTTGTGTTGGGTTTGAGATGAGAATGGAGTGAGGGGAAAGGAGGCACCATGAGATGGCAAGAACCAGACCGACTTTTATTAGGGCAATTACGTTTTGTGAGTTCAATTCTGTTATGCTCGTTCGCACCATGCCGTTACGGTGGTCAGATTATGAGAAGGCGTTGTTGGAATGGAAGTGGTGGGGGTGGGTTGTGTTGGTTGGCCTACTAGGTTATGAGGTGCCTAGATATGTACAGTACAATAAACATATTCTGACCTTCTTGAATATTAGTATTATGAGTACTATTCGTGCTCCCTCACTATGACATCAATCCGAAATGGCCTGGGTTATAAGTCTAGTAGGAATATCTGGACCCTGAAGCAGATCACCTTCCTCACAGGGTTGGAACAATGAAGCTATTCCCAAGTTAGTCAATCCAATATTAGCAGACTGCCAGGGCTGAAGTGTCGTTCTAATTTTATTTCTGAATATCATCCAGTTCTGAACAATAATGATTAGAGCATCCAATACATTACTCCGTATCTAGTCCCTCTCTCGTGCAAGGTGGGAGGGACACTGCTAAAAATGGCAAGTATTAGTGCCGGTCTGGTCTAGCCTCAGAGATCGTCAGGAGTTCGAGGACGATGGAGCGGAAAAGTTGGGAAGGAAAGATTTGAGGAAGGAAGGCGGGATGGTGCAACACGCTAGGCATTCAAAGCCACTAAAGGGTTGAAAATCCAGGAGAAACAAAAAGGTAAAGGGAGGCTGGAGGCTGAAGCTTGAAAGATCTGAGACACTGGTGTGGCAGGCAGATTTGGCCCGGTATGATCTGGTTACAAATACCATGGATGTGTAGTTATTGCTAACCTCTTTTCAATACTGAGTTTCCGCTCCCTCACATTGGTAACAGCACTATAACAGTACTCCGTACTTTATCATAATATCATAGTTATCTAACCTACTAAGGACTCCCCTCCCTTACGGTGGAGTACGCAAGAAGCAAAGCTAACTAGGTCAAGTTAGCACCTCCTACTTATGTTCAGACTTGACGATTGATACATCATTTGAACGTTGGTATGCAATGCACCAAGTCAAGTCAAATTGAGAGAAAGCGATCATGGATGGTACCTAAGGGTCGGAAGCGGAACGTGCCTAAGCTGCACGAGGGCACAAGCAGCTGCAGGTACGGGTGGTACAGTACTTGGTACTGTCTACATATACATCATACGTACATACACACAAAGCGGTGTGCGTCCTGATGCGTCCACCTCATCATTGGTCCTCCCAGCCTTGGAGTCGAGGTCTTAGTATTTTGCTTGGTTCAAACCCCCAAGCAAGCCCTGTCAGCTAAATGCCGAAGCCTTCCTGAGACAGTACAGTGAGACATTCGGAGCTTTGACTCGGATCCGAGGCAAGAGGCAATACTGAGCAAAATGCGAGAGAGACTGGAGTCGATTCGGGCACACAAACTCACAATCCCATTTTGTGTGAACCCCGAGATCCTGGTCACTGCATGAATCTACGATGGGTCCGACCAGGATCATCGAGTGTCGATTCAATTATATGATGAGACTTATCCCACCACGTTGAGTGGATAATATTCCCCGCCCGCCTCTCAGCCTAGGCAATACTACGGTATCTGGTCTCGCCATTCGGAGGTGCAGCGAGCAGCAGCCCGCAGAATGTGATGGAAACACATGAAGCCATTGACTTCTGAAAGGCACTGTCAGCTTGATGGGCGGCCCGCAAAGTTGTCGTTCTCAACGCCTTGTCGTCGTGGCTAAGGACGCCCCGTTGGGCTGCTACTATCTCACTTTTTAGAAACGGGGTCGGAGAGCTGCCTTTTCCCGCATTCATGATATGAAAAATTCTGTTAGATGGGAGAGACATGTCGACAAAGAAATCTGAGTCAAATTCGCTGCTGCTGCTGCTGCTGCTGTGACATGCTCACCTTGTCTGAACTCCCTTGATCCCTCTTCCCCCGCTAGGCGTTCACAAAGTTCAGCCAGGCCGAGAAGCTCCCGTCAACCGTCCAGTCAAGCCGCTGGAATCTAGGGCTAGCATCAATTCTGGGGTGACTGGTGGAGAGGACGTTGAATTGGGTCCGACGGCCGTGTAACGTATAGGCGAATGAAGATCTGGTCGTGCCTGAACTGACGTCTCGTATTATCGGAACCGGGGCTGAATGGATTTCTTGGTCTTTCTAGCTTGCTATGTCGCGATCCATTGCTGAACAGGCCTGTGCCTGTCACGTCGCATTGCGTCAACAAAATAAAATGAGTAACTATCTAGAGTATATGTGGTCTCTCCCGAGTACGAGTAAGTATTCGTACGGATTACTGGATGATGGGTTCACGATAGGTAGTACATGATAGTTTGGGTATGTATGTTCGAATGGGCGAGATACGCAACGCACAATGATCCCAGATCAACGAACTACACTTGTACGAATACGATGCGATCATGGATGGCCTGCGTTGGCTATGCAGTGCTCCCATTCAACGAGCTGAGCGCGAGACTTGCTTCGACTGTGTTTCCTTGATCAGGAAGTTCGTCGTACTCGGGCAATCACCACCGTACGTACTGCTAAGTGGTAGTAGGTTGTCTGTGGGTTCGGACAATTCCCAGCTGGCCTCAGCTCGTTCATCCGACTCTTGTTGCAGTGCCAAAACTAATAATCTAATGGGTTCTCGCTCCCATAGTTAGCATTTTGAGGATTCACTATTGCTGCTATCGGAATACAAAGACTCTGTCTAAAGGTTTTCTCAAGATTGTGTGTGTGAGTGTGTGTGTTCTTTTTTATTCATTGTTTCTTCCATCGCAGCTCACGCCAATGAACTGAAGAATTCTGCATGTGGATAGTAGGACCATGATGCCGAATGCCGATCAAGCCAGCACAAGGCCAGTTCCGTGGATCGGAGTGGGCAGCAGTTGAGGGATTACTAGAAGACAGTATCCATAGACATAAGGAATAATGATTCAAGATAAATCTATGTTTCCCAGTCGCCTTTGTGAATTGGTCTCATAATTCTACCTACAGACAAATTGTTAACCCTTAAACGTAAGACACTTCTTCATATTGTAGTTCTGTATCACTGCTTACAGATTGACCAGATAAGGAGGCTCAATCTGGCAAGACCCGTTGGACTTATGTACACAGTACTCCGTGTTCCGTAACTACGTTTTTGATCTAACTAACTATTACTGTACCATACCTTAAGACAACTGTTATCAAAAAGTAATAATACCAAGTCTCTGTACTAGTTAATTGACAACCCAGGAATTTTCTAATCTTTCCGGCATCCCCATCGGCTAGCCTTCTCCCCTCCCAACCCAGTCATATGGAGCAGTCAGGTAGTAGTAGTTGGTTAGTAGTTGTTAGTTTACCTACAGTTGACTAAGGTAGGTACTACAGTGAGTTAGTCGTGGTCGTGAAAGTTGAGGACCCAAGCAAAGATTTATTTTTTTCCACCTTTTTTGATTAAACATTGTTTATATTTGTCTTTCTCCACCACCTCTTCTACCCCTTCATCCTCTTCTTCCATATAACTAAACTCCGAGCTCTTCGTACCTTCCCCAGACCGTGAACCTGTTATTATCCGATACTTTTCAATCGTCCTTCGTTTCATCTGCGGTTCCTCTTGTACTGCGCGATTCTCCACTGGTACCTAAGTGGTGCGCGCCCCCAAGTTGACTTGCCCACTTGCACTCGCTATTCGTACATAGTCCCCATACTTCCCTCCTTTACTACTAGTAGAACTCCTATTCTTCCTATTCTTCCTTTGCTTTGACTTTGACCTTCTTTGGGCTGGTGCTGCCACAACTGCTGCTTGCCAACTGTGCTCTCTCCTGTTCCGATTTTAGGACGTGTTTGTCGCATCCGTTTCAACCCTCGATCTAAAACAACTCCAGAAACTTTCCGCCGCACGATACGGGGTTTCTTCATCTCTTCCTACTTCTTCAGCCACCTCCACCCACCCCCCCCCCTCTCCCCGTGTCGCTCATCCGCCTCTCTTTTAAACCCTCTCCTGCCCCCGATCGTACTTCATCCTCTGTGGCTTCGCTCTCCGTCGCATCGATCTCCTTGCACACGAGAAAATCCTCCGCGCCCTTATCATGAACCGAAGCCAGATCATTTTTCTGCGATTGGTGGCTTAAGAGGTTGCTCAGCGCATTTATATGTTTGGCTCGCGCCTTTTCCTCCATACATAGCCATCGAAATCTCTTTCCTCCACACGCGAAACAACATCGCTCTCTCCGACTCACTTGTCGCTCTGCCTCGGACCCCACCATGTCTCAGCAGGATCTGGACCGTGCCTATGGCCGAGCACCTAGCAATGGATCCCCCGAACAGTATTCGGTTCACACCCGCTCCAGATCGACCGCACATGCGCAGAGTCCAAAGCGGCTGTCCGTCTTGAGCGGCCGTTCTCGCAGCAACACCACCAATTCCACGACTTCCTCCTCCCGTCGTTCACCGGGTTCCTCGATGACCTCGGTCGATGGACCCTCCCTGCCCTTCTATGAAGACCGGGCCAGCTCGTCGGCCGGCTTTCGTTATGAACGCTCTGAGAGCGTGACGAAATCGATCCTGTCGCGTGGTAGTCGCATTCTGCGTCGTCGGGGGAGTAAATTTCACATAGTCTCAACGCTGGATGAGGAGGACGAGGTGGACCGTGAAAAGTCCCGATTTGAGGTTTCCGATCTCTTTAGTCGACATCACAAACCACGGCAGAGCGACGCACGTAAGTCTTTTCCAATCCTACTTTCTATCCTCGACCATAGCAGCTGTTGCACGCGCGCAATCCATACGAAGTTGGCATGGGATGTTTATGCTGATGGCCTTCGCAGATGATCAGCTGAAGAGCTTGATCTCAGATCCGTTTGACTTCCACCATCTGACTCACACAAGTCCGTCTCAGTTTCAATCTCTCGAGAAGGCTCGGGAGACTGACTTGGTCACCGAATTCTCGGCGATTCGTGCCTCTCAGAGACCTGTCACTAACCTCAAGGGTATTCAAGCTGATGATCTGCATTTCCGTGATTTCTCATCAGAGGACCTTAACCAATACAGGATCGCCATCGCTGAGAACGATATTGCTGCCGATACGATACCAGTAAGCCCCCCAGCATCGCCGGATGGCTCCTCGTCGATCAGTCCTAAGCAGCACGATATCCGAGGGCGCCCAGAGTCGCGCGTTTTTGAGAACTTCTCGCGACCTGTTCCCAGAGCTCCCAAGGGACCGGACATGGCTACTTCTCCCCTAAGAGCTTCTTCCTCAAGGCTAGCGTCGTCTCCGGAGCTGCCTGAGCCAGCTTCTCGGGCCATTGACGAGCTTCTGGGCTTGTCCAGCCAGCCAACATACCCTGAGCATGTATACTCGCAGGACGGTGACGAGGATGATGATGTATGCCGGGGTTCTTCATGGTCTCAACTAAACTTGCAGGACATGTTCGCAGTGCCTACTCCCCATGCACTTACCACGGATATTGGCAAGGAGAGACTTGATGCGAGGGCATCGTCCATGTCTCTGACAACTCTGTCCTCTGACCTGGAAGGCGTACCGGAAGAAGAAGAAGGTGAAGAAGTAACACTCATGACCTCGGATCAGTGGTTCGAGTCTGAGCTTCCCGGTGACATGCGATCATCTCAGACAATCACAGGCTTCAGCCAGCTCCCGTTGGTCGAGATCCAGTCAACTTCCACGGCTGCTCCTTCCACCTCTGGCCTGTCCTTACACATAATGCAAGACCTAACAAGGAAATTCTCCGAGGCACTTGGCTCTCCTACTCTTCCTCAGGAACGTCCAATACCAGAAGTACCACCAGGAATTGAACAAGCTGGCTCAGAAATTGCGAGAAGAAGGTCTTTGATCGCTCCGCGAGCCATCCATGAAACCTTGTATGATTCGTGGGAGGCTGATATCGATTATTGCTACCAGCATGCAGCCGAATCGAATTCGAATTTCGATTGGACCCGCAATTCCATTGACGAGCCTAAGGCGGATGTGATGGTAGGAGCCGACATTGGCCCAAATCACAATGACAGCATGGTCTCATTCAGTCGTCCAAGCGCCACCGCCGTGATAACCACGGACTTAGACTCCATTCCGTCATTCTCGGAAGTCAGCTCTCACGTGGCTGTTACGCCTTCCACTGCTGATTATGACTCTAGCGTGGCCTCTCTCCAACGAGATAGTGATTACTTCCGTCCTGTCAGGTTCGAACCAGCCTTGATCAAGACAATGAACCCCGAGTCCTTGTATGAGGACTATCTCACCGCAGATGCGGAGTCGGACCGCCATTTCTCATATTACTCGCAGCAAGGTGCAATTCAGCCCATCGAGCATTCCATCTCTCCCCGAAGCAGCTTCTCCCCGATCAGCAAGTGCAATTCTCAAGAAAGTCTGATTTTATCCCGCGCAGCATCAATTGTGCGCAAACATCGGTCATCTGTTTCGACCGCTAGCGTTCCCGAGCTAGTGCACAGTCTGGCAAACAGCCGAGAGCTCATCTCGACTGAACAGATGCTCTCACTCACTAGCGAATACACTGCGGGTGGACAGCCAGACTCCCCACACCATAGACAGACCAAGAGCCTCGCACGGGAAGCCGAAGCACAAAGGCTGTATCACACGGAGTCGGATGCAAGCTTCAGCCCTGTGGGGTCGGGCCCTGCTATTATTTCTTCTATCCACGACCGAGCTAAGTCCACGAGCGAGGTTGAAGCAGCACCCTTGGTCGCCGCCGCTACTTCCAAGGTGGCGCCGCGTCGTAAAGGCAGAGCATCCTATTCCCTCTTTCCAGCGGCTGCGAATTGAGTTATTATGTGGCCTGTACATTTGATAGACCGACGCATCTCATTAAAACTAACCAACTCAGTCACTTCGCAATTCGGACGCGTCCTGGTTATCTTCACTAGTCGTACTGCCATCGAACGTCTTCTATGAATTTATGATCTCCATCACCTGTTTTAGCCGAGATTGCTTCCAGTTCTTTTATACTTCGAGTTCTTGCGACGACAATCTGGCTTGGACATTTGCATAGCAGCACTGCACGCTACACTTCCTTGTTTTTCTTGCCTATCTGCACTTCTCTTGCATTTCCGAGCGACTGTTCTCATCGGTGGAAAAAAAACTTTGGGTTTTTCTTTTCGTTTGTTTTCTTTTCCCTTTTTTTCTTCGGCCTCTCTCTGATTTTAGGCATGGAGAAGTGACTTGATATTGTCAGCGGGGCTTTCCTAAACAATTTCCGCTTGGTTTCGGCCACATTTTTGTTATTTTCTCCGGAGGATCTATGGTCGTGAACGTGGAAAGTATTTGAATGTTCATTTATTCTCTCATAAGAAATGCGGCACCATCGGTGGTCGTTTGAAATCCAATTCCAGTTTATCGAGTACAGAAGAGACGTATCAGGTTTGTTCCTGAAAGACCACCTGGAATGCCACAGGCGACTGCCAAAGAGGACTAGGTAATCAGTGCGATTCTGTAACCTACTGTAGGCAAAGCTGAATTTGGGCCCATATATGAGGAACCTTCGGAGATGCAAGCCGGATTCCAGGTGCCATGACGGTGTAACTCACCGCTTATCGGGCGGTTTCAAATACTGCCTGACAATCTCGGAGCATTGCCCCCCATGCGTCTCTCCAACACCACATCCATTTCTGATCGTGTCTCACGCCTGCTTCTTGCCGTCAGCTCATCTTCCTTGAAAAATCAAATGGTTGAATTTAACTGTTTAAAACTATGTCGGAATTGTCACGAGCCTTGAGCAAGCGTCAAAGCGACGACAGCTTGATGCCTCCCCCGCCTCCACCGAAGCGCATCAAACGACCGGCCACTGTCCTCGACGAAGACGTCTACACCAATGCTCTCTCCGAAATCATTGCGCGTGATTACTTTCCTGGCCTGGTGGAGGCTCAGGCGAAGCATGAATATCTTGATGCGTTGGAATCGCAGAACGTCGAGTGGATTGCAAGTTCCAGTCAGAAACTTGCCAGCCTATTGAAGACTCCTGGAAGAACCCACGATCGCTCTGGTCATACTAAGATGGCACCACAGTGTACTGGCACTGGAAGGCCAGGGGACACCCCGATGGGTTGGGGCGGGGATACACCTCTGTCGACGACGTCTGTTTTGCCACCAGGAACCCAGATATCAGTGGCAGAATCCAAGCCCGAGGCTCCAGATGTGAGTCGGCTAGGATTACTAGAGTTTCAAGCTAGGTATACCAGCGAAGACAACGAATCTTTCAATAATTTATTAGACAGAAGGAATGCCAAGCATCGTGAGAAGTATGCCTGGCTATGGAACGGGAACAAGATCCCGTCCGCACGACAACTTGCGCACCGTCGGCGAGAGGCTAAGCGAATCGAGGCTCAGGGAGGCAGTTCAGACCAGAACAAACAAGCACTAATCAAGACTGACTTGGATGCTCGACCTGCTCAGCCCGACACATGGAAGACATATCCGGAGAACTCACTTATGTTCGCGCCTTCGTCCGTTGAAGACACCTACGAGACAATTCAGCAGAAAGCGGAAGCTGCATCCCGAGCAGCACCCAAACGCGTGGTATACCAGAACACTCGTCTTCCACATGAGACTCTTCAGCAATCATCTGGGACTGCACCTCCACCTTCGCCATCAATATCGGTCATCAAGGACGCTATCGCTGGACTTCCTCGTCCGACCAATTCAGAGCCTGGCTACATTGGCGGCGAAACGCCTCGAGTGAATGGATATGCGTTTGTGGATGAAGATGAGCCCGAGTATGACCATGCCTCCTCCAGGGTCGATGACTCTATAACAGACGGTTTCAATCTGCTTGGGAACAGTGATGCAACTCCAAATCCGTTTCAGATTAAGGAAAATCGCAAACGTGAGGATCTTCATCATCGTATGGTCGACCACGTGGCACGGACAAAACGTGCGGAAAAGTTCAGCCGCAGAACCGTATCACCCGTGGTGATGACCCCAACATTCGCGAGCAGTCCGCGATTGGATTTCGGGCGACGAGCACCAGGTGCAGCTACTCCCGGGACTAAAGCAGGCAAGATGTTAACGCCCGCGGCGCAGAAGCTGCTTCATCAAGTGGGCAGTACGCCCCGCCCAGGTGGTTCGTTTGCTACTTCGTCCTCTAATCTCAGGAGCATGTGGACACCAACTTCTAGGAAAGGCAAATGATGATGCTTGCGGTGGTTCGCTTTTGTATCTGCTTATTGTTTTTGTTAATGAGCGTTTTCCCATGACTAGATACCATGATATACACGAAGGCGTCCTGCATTTAGCTTTGTCAATTCGTCTGCGATTCAAAGCTGGGGTATATCTCAAGCCCCGAGGGTTTAGTTTCCAATCTAGTTTGTTGCGTGTTCTTGCCATCAAACGGATGCAAGTAGCCACTCTTCTTTCTATTCTTGTATTTATCTTTGCTCCTCATCGCCACTTGCTGGTATGATCAAGGCTGCATTGCAAACTAAGAACCTGTAAGCCGAACCAAGAAAAACAACCCATCTGTCCGAGTGAAGCGAGTGTCATGGCAGCACAACACTTGGATTGCACAAATGATAGACGATATGATATAGCTCCGCATCAAGTTAACATCAAAAATGCATATGCGGTAACATCGCAGGTAAATCCAAAAAGGGTATCTATTTCCGAATATTCAAGAACACAAGAGATACATCCCCCACAGTGTCGGTATTGGTTTGCTGCGAGCCCTTAGTCCGTGCGTACACCCCCTAACTGCCAAAACCAGGAAGAAAAGTACAGCAGCATTCGGCCATCATCGTGGGGTAACAATCTAACATCTCTACGAAAGTGCCCACAGCGCAGTCCAGAAGCTCGTTAGAGCAAAAAGAGCGTCCCACGCGTACGGTCGAATGCCCGTTGCCGTATTCAGATAATACGCAGCTCCCAAGTAATTGCAGGTGATATCGCCACTGGGGTCCCGGACCCCATAGGAAGAATTTAACCACCGCCCCACGGGACAACTAAAGCCCAGAGCGGACGGACAGTTACGAACGAGGTTGTGGCAGACTTCCTGGCAAGGGAGGATCTCCTTATAGGGACCCGGGCGGATATAAGTGTCGATCAACGAGTTCCGGGACTTATTCGTCGTGGGGTCAGTCAATAAGCTACTGTTAGTGATTGAGGTGCCGTTCAAAAATGGTTGGGCCGCGTTGCGAGTTTGGAGAAAGGAGTCGGTACTTGAGAAATCTTGGCACCGAGGGATTGTTACAGCGCAAAGCCATTGCTTGTACGCCTCCGCACAGCTGCCGCAGGAGACGGCGAGAGAGAACATGCTTTCGTTAGAAGCATTGCATTGGATCTGCTGGAGAGAGTAACTGAAGTTTTGGTAGAGAGAGGCGGCATGGTCATCATAGAATGTGCGAAGGGCCGAGACTTGAGTGGACGAGTTCCAGGGCACGGCATAGGCGACCTCTGAGCAAAAAGGGAGGCCGTACACCACGGCACAATTATTATCTGTCCTTTCATCAGCACAGGCACCGCGTATAAGAAAAGGGGGTCGGAATCCGAGCTCACCAGCCTTGGTCGTGAAATTCATCGACATCCAGACCTTCCCACCACCACCTATTATACCGTTCCCCGCACTGGTAGAGTTACCATACTGAGCCAGGATACCCAGGTAGGTAGAGCTTCTATTCAGGCCAGTTACATAGAGTTGCTCTTTAGGTCGATGGGGATTCCCCCGTGTAGTCATACTTGTCTCCACGTCGCTCATACCGATCTGCGCAAGCCGCTCGAGGGCGCAGAAGGATCGCTCCAGACCCAAGACCGCAGTGTTGTTCAGATTGTTGGCAAACATTGTATAAGGGGGCGTCTTGTTCATCCACATACTGATTTCCTGAGAGTTGATATCTGTGTCGGTGAGATTTTTCGTTGTAAAAAGTGCGGCTTTCGTGTCTGTGTCCACCAGATATAATAGCTGGATCTCGTTATCTACACTGTGAAAGAAAGCATCGGTGGATACCGCGATCTGATATGTGTACGACCCTGAGTAGTGTGTATTGTTGGGAGCGGTCACGCCGACGTACAGATTCCCGTCTACTGCCAGCGTCGTGCCCAGATAGCCTTCCTCCGCGACGAAGACTTGTTGTTCGGCACTGTCTTTATTGGGCCCGGGCTGCTCAAGGGAATCGGACAGCGAGACGAAGACCTGCAGCTGTGGCACGGTGGTCGAAGTGGTCGCATCATCCGTCATCTTTAAGCTCGGTTTGGAGCAGGCTGTCAGCGACAGATAGACGGCCGTAGAGCGTTGTCTAAAATCGTTGCTCCGTTTTGCCGAGGAGGTATCGCTGGTACCGTTTTTGCTATTGTCAGAGGTGAGATTTGCAGAGAAATACCAGTGCTGCGTTTCGCCCAAGCTCAACGTGCCTTCTTGATACTGGTTGTTTCCTAGAGACGAGACCCCAGCCGGGGCTCGACGGACCAAGTCCAGCCCTCGTCCTCGATGATCTCCAGCTTGATCGATCACGTCTTCGAACTCCAGCCCATTATAAGACGCTAACGGGAATTCAAACCGTGCATCGACATCGTCGACCAACATGGTTCCTTGGCTCTTGACAGCCCGATGCGCCGAATATGTTTCTGTCTCACCAGCAGAGACAGAACCCACGCCAAAGGTCACGGCGAGAGCGAGCAGAGAAAAAACCGCATCGGCGATCGCAAACCTGTGCAACAGAGCCATTATGGCTGGACGCAGTTAATGCAAGTATCACCTATCCAGAGAGCTGTCAATTCACTCACGGCTGCGGCCAGCCGAGGCATGAGGGAGTAGATGAGCAACCGGTTCAGTCACTCGAAATTCTTATTTCTTTGGAGAGAGTAATCGAGTGGAAGTAATGCGCAAATCGGGTACTCGGCTGCCTGGAGCATTCGACGCCTCGACCCGCTGCGCCACAATTCCCGCTGCGCCTGAGCCACACCCCGCCTGTATCGTCCGCCCGGCCCAGCTCGCCTTGTGCTTGCGCTGGCAAACGCATACATATATATATTTTATATACACTTGCATACATACAGATATTAATCTCCAGAAATTATGTACAACTTAATCTTTATCTCCATCCTCTAAAATACACTTTTGATTTGGCGAACAAGAGCAAGAGCGACACACAACACGCAACACAAAAAGCTTAATGCCCAAACATGGTATGCAAAAGTCGACGTGAAACAAGCATGATCCCAAAATTGGAACAATGGACAACGAATTAGCGAAACTGGGCGTAAGAAGCTTTACACAAGCTTGTAGCGGCGTGCGGCCACTCCGCTGATGATAATGATAGCACCAATGACGCCGATGATCCCGAAGAACCACGCGAGGCTCTCTGTATGTTGTCCAGGCACCTCGACATTCATGCCAAAAAGACCGCAGATGAGGTTCATGGGAACAAGCATGGTGGCAATGAGTGTCACCTTACTGAGAACTTTGTTAACATGATTACCTAGCATTAGGTTGGTCACATTCAGCTGCGCAAGATAGTTGGTGTGCGAACGGCTGAGCATTTTTTCAAAATGTGCCAAGTTAGACATCATGGTTACAACGTGGTCCTGGATGTCGCCTAGATAAAGGCCGATGTCACCGCGAGGGGTGACTGAGTACTGCTCATTGCAGCGTTTCGAGAATCCCCGAATAACATCGGCTTTGCCACCTAGGAGCCGCATCAAACTCATGACCTTCTTGCGTAGACCACCGATGCGAGGTAAGAACGATTCAAAATCATCCATACGGGCAATAAACACGAGGTCTTCGATGGCCTCCGACTCGATCTCGATTTCGCGAATCACGGGACCGAAACTATCCACAATATCGTCGCTAGAACACCACATGTCATTACACAAGCATAGATCATCACCGTGGCTGATTTCAACTCACATCATCGCATAACAAATCCAGTCACTGCTAAGCGACACATAATCGCGGAGCTTTCCAATTCGCTTCCGAACGTTAGCGGCATGAGGGTTCTCAGTAAACGAGAACGACAGTACTCCGTCGCGGAACACGACCATGTAGAAATTGACGGGCTCCATGAACTCCTCGCTGGTTTTATCCATTTGATAAAATGTCCGAAAGCAGACAAAATAATACTGTTTGAAAAGCTCGACCTTTTCGCGAGCTTCTTGGGTCAAGATGTCCTCCGTCGTCAGGGGATGGATGGAGAAAGCCCTGGATAAGGCACCCACTTCATCTTCTGTAGGGTTCAGAACGTCAAGCCACCAGACACCACCCTCCGGACCAAGCTGGAAAAGATCACGGAAAGAGTCTCCAGGCAAGACTAAGTCACCCAACTCTGCAGCATGCACGGTGCTCTGGGATTCAGAAGAGAAAAAGCCGAATCGGGTAGGCTCATTCTCATTCTTCATATTTTCAAGTAATTCTTTCTCATGTGAGACCTGCGTGAATAGCTTTTCATTCTTCCCTGGCGACAAATCCGATACCTCTTCAGATGAGCACTCTCCGCTTGACGACCGTTTCGTGCCATCACTATCAAAACTATGGACACCCGGACGAAGGTCGTAAAATATACGTGGCTTCTTGCTCTGTGAGCTCAGACTATGCTTGCGTCGGCTTGTGGTGGGTTTTGCTTGCTGGCTGAGCGCGACAAATTCCTCCAGCTCTTCGTAATCAATGACTGGAATTCTGCCAGGCTGCTCAAAGTTCGGCACACAGCCATTATCGGTAGGTTCCAACTGTGCGTCCCCAGGCTGCGGCCGTATTACACTGGCGTTGCTGAACGTTGGGCGGCGGTGGTGCGTGCCGCCGGATACCGTACGTTGAAGAATAGCCTCAAGATCAGGCGCTCCGTGACTCTCCAGGGTATTCGCCCGCTCCCGTCGGCGAGGGTCGGCAAAGGCCTCGACCGAGTTGGGTGGGGAGGTTGATCTAGCTGATACGGATGACTCGCGCGACAGGTTAGCGTAATCTTGATGTGTGCGACTATAAGTGCGACCATGTCGGACATTGCCTGTGAGGTCAACAGAGAAACGGCGTCCCAGCGCGGTGAGATCTTTAACAGATCGATCTTCGTCGACAATCGCCTGCTCGAAGTCGCGTGAAAAGGACCCGGCTTCTCGAAGCGCATCTTGTATGCCGAGTAAATCTGGGCGTTGAGGAGTCTCCGGGTGCAAGCCCTGCGGTGCAGTATCTTGCCGACTAAGCGGGACATCAGGTGTGGCTTCCATGCGAGGCGGATCCAGTTGGAAGCGATGGTCATCGAGTTCGGGAACGGGAGTGCTGTATCTGGTGAGAAACATGTATTTCTCAGACTTCGGTGACTCAGACATTGTGAAGGAGTCGTGCAGTCTGTGTCTCGTGATTAATCGAGCGTTTTTCTTTGTAAAGAGCGCGTTGCAAGCAGACTTATGTAGACCCTGGCTACTGAATTGCCGACGTTGTTCGCTGGGATTAAGACCGCAAGATTTTATTTAGGATGGACAAATTCCCAGGAGTATATGCTCCTCCATCCATTAGCCAGACCCGTTGGAAGGGCCTGGCATTACCGATGTGCGCCCGTGTGCCAGCTTCAAGATTGCTGGATAGTCGTATTAGGGGGGTCTGGTATCGCCCCCGCAGAAGACCCTGAATTTAGGGCCTAGAAGAGGGTGAAGGAGAGAGGACTGGTTGTAGCGAAGGCCCGCCAACTTGACGAGATCAAGTGAATGGAAGCGTTGTCGCTCCAGAGGTTATAGAAGTATAAACGGAGACAAGTCCTCTGAAAAGACTCTTTGATGTTCACCTCAAAGTTCGAGCGATAACATCGAAGAATTGATCCGGCAAGGAAACAAAGGGTCAGTGCCAGAAGTTCAGGTCAATGAACAATCCTGGAGAGGAATAAATCCTAATCTGATATCAGCGCTGATACGGGATGGATCATCTTAGGGAGTTTGACCTGTTGGGAAGCTGATTAGGAAAGCTTGGAGAGTCCGCAAAGCCAGACTTTTCTTGAGGACGAAGATAACTCGGAAGTGGTATCCACTTGAGCTGACAACACTATGTAAGAGAAACACAAACTCAACCTTCAGTAGGGTCAATAAAAAATGGTGCAGGTTGTGCTGAAGCTGAAGTCTTGTCTTGAGAGCAGAGACGAGGAGGGGGTAGGGGAAGGGGGGAGGAGGGGAAGGAAAAGAGGGAGAGGCACAAGACCGAAGTTGGGTCAATGATTTATTTTACCTACTAAAACAGTTCGGTGAACAGTCAGTTGACTCTCCAGTCTTGAGTTCGACTTGTGTAAGAATATCTAACGTGGGAGACGGGCAGAGATTTCCGCGCAATAAAGACACCAAGAGGACTGACTGTCTTCTGTAATAGCACAACCTTACAGGGCTTACACCACTGTGTGGCACTGCTTAATAATTACGGAGTACCTAGTTACTCGATACTGTCACGGTATATGTTTCAATTACCTTACGGAGTACAGAGTACACAGAAGAAAAATCAGACAAGGCCATACAGGGTTGCGGCGCCGGAAAAAGACCTGAGGGAGGTTTGCCTAGGTAGGACGGTACTGATTCATACACTAACTTGGTAGGCAGTAGAGGTTGTCAGCCAACAGGGAATTCCCAGTTGTGGAACCTTTCCCAGCTTCAAAAAGGGTATAGCGTGCCAAATGCGAAGGCGATCGACGTATACAGTTAGTATACCCCACTATAATAATTTTGATTGGTTCAAGGTGTGCGAAGTTTTATTTAGGAGGTAGACGGTTCGAGCCCGATTGCTGCCGTATTTAATGATACCGGCAGAATTTGATATGGGAAGGGCCCCACAACTGGGAATTTCCCAGTATGCTGACAACCTCTAGTAGTTGGCGATATCGACTATAGACACCGCCCGTGATTCTAAAGACATTGACCTTAAACCTAACAAGGGAAGGTGTCCGCCTTGGCACCGCTAATCTGATTAGGCATTTACCATACAAAAACAAATGCAGGCGGAGTAGGAAAACCGGCAGAATTGATTATATACAGCTCGCTAGCCCTATACTTTATTAAAAACACCAAAACACCAAAATACTAAAATACCATCGAAATGACAGGATTTGACATTGATTTTAAGATAGATTTCTTAGATTTCTTTGATTTAGACAGTAACTCAGATAGCTTAGAGCCTGAGAATAAAGTTAAAAATCCGCTATTTATCGAACTACCAGCAGCATTAAATATAGACGAGACTAATATTATACTTCTAATTACAAGATAGTCAGTTAAACAGTATCTTAGACGACACCTTACACAGTAGACAGTATTAAGAATATACTGATAATTATAAGAAGATTTATATACAAATACCGAGCATGCTTGTAATGCTAGGAAAGCCACTATACTGTATGTGGTTTAATACCAATGTCTCTAGAAATACGGGCGGTGTCTATAGTCAATATCGTACAAGGGAAGCTTGGAAGTACAGTACAGTAATAAATTATAGCTACCATACACAATACAGATACATCGAACTAATGGCATTTAGCTGCCAACCTCCGTTTACTGTAGGAATAGGTAAGTAACTCATATATCTCCAACTAATTATGCTTCACGAGCTAGAGAGGAGGACTTGCTGCAAAAGTCACCGAGTCCTCTGCCTGCTGTCATAGATGCCCTCTCCAACAACATCAGGCACCCTCAACTCATATTTCCAGTCTTCTGAACCGAGTACGGAGTCCTCAAGTTGCCACTCACTACCTACTGCCACAAGGCATTTCTCGGTTGCAAGATTTTCAACGTTTTCCAAGTCCGATTTCCCGTGATCAAAGTGATGATTTTGATTCATTCGCTGAGCATGCGAGACCAAAATAGAAACATCTGTAAGATACTGTAGTCAGTCTGTGCCTCAGCTTGGTGCAGTCGTACAGAATGCACTTGAGTTGAATTATTATACTATGCAGGAGGTACTGTATAGTTGTACCTTAGTGGGTAGCTAAACATTTGGTAGGCACTCCTTAGTTAACTAACGTATTCGGACACTGAACCGGTGTGAAGGGAACCGGCGTTTTCCTATGACTACCACTATAAAAATTATAAATCCACCATTCCCTTAAGATACATACATCAAATAAGTCATAAAATTTCCTTGTATAGAAGTATAGATAAATTTATGATAATGGATATCTGAAGTAAAAGAAATACGACATTTTAGATATTTTATACTATAAGTAATGTAATAGTGTCTTGTTCGTTGAGTCATATTGTCATTGATGAAAGAGTTGATTGAATCGAGTATCTTCGGGATCGTCAGTGGGGAAGAATCCCGCCTGGGCGGTAAGCCAGGCGGAACGTCGAACAAGCGGCAAATGTTGGCATCCACGATAACGGGGAAGTTCGAATGCCACAAGTATACCACCTACAGTCTCCCAAAGCTATATAAATCAATAAATAATAATATATCTATACTATATTCTGAAGTAATATAGCTAAAGTTCTCTAATAGTATAGTTTATCTAGCTTGATTTATTATAATCCACCATATCACTTTTATTGGTATTTAGTGCTAAGTTGAAAATATTTTATAAAGTTGCAAATTCAATAGTGGTATTTATACAGGAAAATGCTGGTTTGCTGTTGTGCTGGTTCAGTGTCTGATTATGTTAAGAGTTAACAACAGAGTACAGGGTAGATAAATAGGTTGTATTTAGGTACTCAATAGTGGTAATAGGTACTAAGGTAGGTCACCATAGTTGTTTAGATATGCCATTTGCAGTCATTGCACTGATTAGCCAATGCATGGTTCTACTCTGGGTCCGACCTCGGCCGATCCGTCCTTTCCCTATTCAATTTTTGACCCCCGCCAAGCATTAAAGAGTCACCGAGAAGAGCGATCGAGCACACCCACCTCTTATCAAAGGTACGGAGTACTTTTACTTCATCTCAAATCCTTCACGCCTCAGTTGTCCTAAGGGCCATTTGTTTTTTTTTTCTTTTTTCCTGAAGTCCCCGGTCTCACTTGAGCCCTCCGACACAATGTCCTCTTCTACTTCGTTTTCGTTAAAGATTCCCTGCTCCTCCGCCAATATTGGACCTGGTTTTGATGTGATCGGTCTGGCATTGTCCCTTCATCTTGAACTCCAAGTCACCATTGATACTTCCAAGGCTCCATCTCACCAACCACTCAATTGTGTGGTCACTTACGAGGATCGGAGCAACAGCGTTGAAAAGATTGACTTGGACCCGGAAGTGAATCTGATCACCCGTGTAGCTCTATATGTACTTAGATGCCATGACCAGAGGGCATTTCCCGCCGAGACCCATGTGCACATTGTAAACCCAATTCCGCTGGGCCGGGGTCTCGGCTCATCGGGCACTGCAGTTGTGGCTGGGGTAATGCTGGGAAATGAAGTAGGCCGCCTGGGTCTGAGCAAGGAGCGGATGCTAGATTACTGCTTGATGATCGGTGAGTTGGCCCATATGTGGTGTGGAGAGGAGCTCTAGCTCTACATGGCAGCGGGCTCGTGTTGACTGTGTCTATAGAGCGACACCCCGACAACGTTGCTGCTTCACTCTTTGGGGGTTTTGTCGGAACCTACCTCAACGAGCTCAAGCCTGACGACGTAGCACGCAAGGAGATCCCTCTTAGCGAAGTCCTTCCCGCCCCCGCCGGTGGCGTTGATACTGGGAAGAGACCCCCGGAGCCTCCTCTTGGGATCGGTCACTACAGGAAGTTCCAATGGGCCAAGGAAATCAAGGCCATTGCTATTATCCCCGACTTCGTGGTGCCAACCGCCAACGCACGAAGCGTCTTGCCTAGTACCTACTCAAGGGCGGATGTGGTAAGCCCCCCCAAACCTTGTCTCTCGCACATGGAGCACGAGTATTTAGAAAGCGGTATTCAGGCACTAATCACTCACGTCAAATAGGTCTACAATCTCCAACGCGCCGCCTTGCTTCCTGCCGCGTTGGGCAGTTCTCCCCCAGATCCCGATATGATTTATTTGGCTATGCAAGACAAAGTTCACCAACCTTATCGCCAGACCCTTATTCCGGGCCTGACGGAGATCCTTCAGTCAATGAATCCTCGTACACAACCGGGTCTTTTGGGAATATGTCTCTCTGGCGCAGGCCCGACTATTCTGGCTTTAGCAACTAAGAACTTTGAGGAGATCGCAGATCGTATCATTGCTCGGTTTGCTTCCAACGATATTACCTGCCAATGGAAGCTGCTCGAGCCTGCCCAAGCTGGCGCCACAGTCCAGTACTGAGGATTGTGCTATCTCTGCTACATCATATATGCTTCCCTCCCTTGAACATGCACAAGCATTTTCAGATCCAAAGTTAGACGCTATAGCTATGATTACTTGCCGAGCCTCGAGGGTGTTGCTCGGATTTACTGAGCGAAAGCATGCAAATAAAAATAGTTCCACGTTGGCCACGGAACCTCATATTAGGAGGCTCTCTATCTCCTTGCATATCTGTAAAAGGCGTTCTCGATATAGTGTCGCTATGCAGGCTCCTCCGGAAATAATAAGAGCTTTATTTGCATTAACGTTCGATTAATATTGTAACCGTTTTTGCGCCCGTTGCTTGTCTGTACTACGTAGCTATGCGTGTACATACCAATGCCTCGATGAGCCGAAGGCGGTGGAGATAGTGCCACGAATGCAACTCGTGCTGCTGTCGCTACACAACTTACTCCATAGAAGGGCTGTGTCTGAGCACAACAAAACAAGCCGACCGTGAACATTACTTGCCAGCCATCAAATTGCAACCCCTTGAGAACGCTATGGACAACCTACTAGCATCTATCCAAGAAGCCTTGGAGGGCCAAATAGTAAGTGAAATACATGTGACTGGTATAACACACCAGGATACTGACCCAGTCGTGCTCTACCTTGACAGGACTATCAAGGCCAACAAATGGCAGAACTTCTTTCTACAGTCCTTCTCATCATCTGGGGTGTGAGTACAACCATACAAAACGTATACTTGTCGCTCTCACTGTACTTGTGCTGCTTACACTTATTCCGCGAAAGATTATCGCTTTCTTTGTTGGATACATTCAGCAAGATATTCATCTCACGCTGTGGGTTGGGTTGGCGGGTACCGCAGCAACTGGTTTGGTCGTGATTCCGCCCTGGCCCATGTACAACAAAAGCCCTGAAAGATGGTTGAAACCCACAACGGCGGGTGCAAGAGTTAAAGGTGTTACGGTAGACGGTGTAAAGGTTGCATGAGATTTAGCCGTGGGCTTTACAAGTCATACTGATAGCCGGAACTGATCACGGCTTGCCCGCAGTTCTTCAAGAGAAGCCTATTATAAGTGAATTCAGAAAGCCTCTACTGAAAGTGCGAATGATACCCGCAAACGCCACCCTATTCCTCCGAATCCGATCATACTCGTCTAGAGGATGCACGAGTGAGGCCATGGCCAGCCTGCTGTCTAGACCCAATCGTAGCAGACACGAATCTACCGACCATATTTTTGAAATTCCCAGTCTCTATTGTCCAAAGGACAGACTTGGCGAGTTTTTAGCCACCGTGAAATACAGTGAAAATGGAAGGCGTGCTTGGGAGGAGAGGGATCAGTGTCTGTACCACGAGGAATAGCGAACAATACTTACATTACAAATGCCCCAGGCTACTGTACACTCTTCCGTTGTAGAGGATCCTTGGTTTGCCTGACATTCGATGCCTGAAAGAGATAACATATCAGCGACATCACATCACCGTCGAGAGGAGTGTGAGAGCAATACATAGATCCATGATATGGTTACGGCAAATCGCACAGTTGTCGACAACAATGTCCCAAGCCCACAAAGCCACAGCGTTCCACTAAAGCAGCACTTGGGTTATTTCCATGTATCATAAACGAGCATGGCTTCACGCGGAATACCTTCTTAACCTCGAACTTTTTCTTGCCATCACTGGAGGCATCTGTGGCCTTAGGCGTAGCCTTCGCCTTAGAGGCGCCAGGCGTGGTCGCTTCTTTCATCTCCACATCCGCCATTATGATTCTGGGTGGGATCGTATCTTATGATTTTTGCAAAAGCAGCTGGATAATAGAATTGAGGACCAGAGGATGTTGTCCCGAGTTGCAGAGGATTGGGCCGAGGACGCACAGCTTGGTGGACGGATTACGTAGGTTGATCGGTTGGCTGGTAGTAAGTTGGAGCAGGCGGTACTTGGCCTAGGTAGACCGTAGACTAAGTCCTGTCAATCTTGTTGCGGTGTAGGTAAGGCATTTAACCCGAGATGTCATGAACTCCTCCGGGCATACAAGGAATATACCCCGGACACTAGTAACAAAACAGACCAACCTTTGTATGATTTGTGATCACCAATCCTCGACGAGGGCAGCAATAATATGCAGAGCAAAAGCAACCGCACTGTACTGCACCGGAAACAATCTGAATTTGCTTGCTACCTGATCCTTGACCTGCGGCACTGGAGTTAACCAAGGCGGGCAGCGGATGCTGAGTCATTACTCGTCACCCCCGCTCCTCCCACCCCAGCCTTTCGTCTTCCCGCCCTTCCCACGGTTCAACAGTCATCTTGAACCCAACCCATCTCCAAGAACTTCCTATGAAGTCTCTCAGTACACTTTCATTCTTCTATCTCCTCTTGGTCGTCTAGATGTGAGCATGCCTACGGTTATTTCTGGCTTCATTGCTTTCTACTGTCCTTGTACTTGATTCACACTCTGCTCTGTAGACGAAAGCTTGCATATCCTTCTGGATCACACCCTCCCAGCCAAGACCAACTGGTTAGGCTACAGTTCACAATCGCACCACACAATTTTCACTTCATCATCTCCAGAGACTTCAGCGTCGGTTCCCGTACAGGCTGATGAGCACATTGTGTAGTACAGCGGAACCCTCCCTCACGTTACCCGAGTTGCCAATATTATTACTGGGGTCGTTTCCTCTTGCTGCTCCACTTCCGAAGCTGTTCCTTTATGTGAAGGCAATCCACGATGCCAGTCCAGTCACCCACGCCTCCAACGCCGAAAGGTCCTCGAAACAATCGCCGAAATTCGAAACGAAACACCATTCCATTGTCCCAGAAGGTTGCCTTATTGGCAACCCCGCCCTCCTCGCCGCCGCGCAATCAGAGCCCCGGCGGAACCGCCACCGACTCCTCCCTGAACAACATTCTTAGTACGACGAAGAAGAAGCAGAAGCATGCGCACGCCATCAAAAAACCTCGTGATGCATCAAGGGCCTCACCGGTCCCTTCCAACGGACACCGTCATACCTCCTCCCATTCCCATATATCCTCGACCCCTCAAGCAAAAGATGGCTCGCACTATGCAGGTCCTACCTTCCATGCGTCACCAGCGCCGTCCGCTCTCCCAATCCCAAGCTTTTTCTCTAAGTCGTTACCTGAATCGGACCTTTCATCGGGATTAGATGCTGACAACGACAATTTCGATGCCAGTCCGGAAATGGAGAGTACGCCTTCTAAATCTAAAGCGCGTCCTGTATTTGAGAACGAAAGGCGCCAATCCACACCCCTTGATTTTCTCTTCAAAGCCGCAGTCGAAGCCAGAAATACCCAACAGCCACGCAGTCCAGATTCGGTCACAAGAATCACCTCCCCTCACACTGATTCGAAAGCCCTCCCTGTTCGCAGAAGCAATGGCACTGGCGGCGGACTCTTCGCAGATAATGTAGACGGTTGCGAAAGCCATCAATCGTTTATAGGCCCCCCATTCGCTGCATCGTACAAGGATCGTATGGACGCATTACGGTCAGCAAGCTCGCCGTCTCCGTCAACGGGACGTATGGATGAAGATGAACGACGGGCCAAGACCGAGGCTTTGAAGAGCTTGCTGCTCAATCCTCGTCCACAGAAACCTTCCTCGGCTTCGACCACAACACAGAATCAATTTGCTGGCTTTGGAGAGCACTACCACAGCGTACCTCATTTTGCGACTCCATTGAGAACAATGTCAGGGCCGCCTGCTTCTTACTCGCATGGCATATCAATCGAGAAAAAACAAGCCTTACCCGGCGGCGATCTATATCCTCAATCATCACAAACACAACCCATTTTCTATCAATCCCAGCCTTCATACTCGCCCCTGCGCAAGGAGGTTCTTTCGACGAAAGCCGGGAATCAATTGAATGCCTCTGGAGAAGCGTACTACCCTCCACCTCATACATACGGGCAGCCAAGGTCTCCACTTAAGCATGCACAGTACCCACTGTGTTATCCCCCTCCTCAACAATCGTCTGTGTCACGCACGGTCTCGGTAAGTCCGGCAGCGCAGTCTATTGATACAAAGAAGATGGAAGATGATCTGCGACGTATTCTGAAACTCGATGCGCCCCCGGGTGTTTCAGCCAGTGGTATTCGAAGCTCATTCGCTTGAACACATCCATGTATTATGCAAGTGCTAGCTGTCACTCTTCTGTCGATAATGAGCCCGATCATTTCCTGCCTTGATGCTCTTATTCTTGAGGGCAAGTATCTGTTCAATCTGTTGTATTTAGCTCAGCTCACGCTTCTGAGCGGGCCCTGGAATATGTTTTATCATTGCATGCCTCTCTCGCGCTCGTTTGTCATGTCTTTGACCACTCCAATTCATTAAATGGCCTGACGGCTATGTCATTTCTTTTGTTTTTATGTTCCATAGGACTTTCGTTCCAGTGCTATCCTCTTCAGTTCGCCCTATTTGTTGGTGTTGTCTGCATTTTCTATGTTGGTAATATCTTGTTGTTGATGGCAGGTCTATGACTCACTGGGATCTATTATACCCCATTTGCATCAAACCTGGAGTCTGGTTGCCTCTTAAGTATGTTTCTCCAAGACGTTGAATCGGCAAGGCTTGATGGCTGCGTGGTATGCTTCATTGTTTATATTGCCGGTGCATTTCCAAGTCATGTTCCTTCACCCACCCCTTGTTGTGACGGCTTTCTTTTCATTTCTAATCTCTCCTGGTCGCCATACTTCCCATTTAGGCTGATCATGGTTGGACTGTGTCATACATTACCTTCCCTGGCTAGGTCACCTGTGATGAGGCCCGAGGTATATCCACTGAAGGCAACTCGGAGGTATTTGTTGCTGATACATAAAACCGCATACAACCTCTACAGTCTCTATTACGTTGATTTATGTCTTCCCATGGTATTTGCGGATATGTGTTCGCAGTCATTCTCATTCATGTCATTCATTCTTCGTCACGCTTGTCTCCTGCGGCGACCAAGGAGCTGCTACTCAATCATGGGTCTTTAATATCACTTTCCTTTCTTTACTTCATCAGTTTTGCCGCCCATCTACTACCAACATGCTATACATAAGCGATGCGGGTTTCAATGAAGGAGGCTGAAAGGAGTACCCTCAGCCTTGCTTGCTGTACATACATGCATCTGGCGAGCACATTGAATTGCGTTAGAGAAAGAGGAAAGATGGGCGAGAAATCTCTGCTAACGGCGGCTGTTGAGCGAGAGAGATGAATTTATTAGGTAGGAGGGAGAAAAGCTGCATGAGTCTGAGGGTATATAAACATGTTGCCTTTCGCCAATGACTAGGTAAGCCAGTAACTGGACTTTCCACTATTTCAAGGGTCATTGGCTTGCTTGTAAATTTACCTAGGACGGAATTATATTGAGGTAATATAATACTGTGTACCACGGTGGTATTAATGTTGATTGGAAGGGAGTCCAGAACACAGATAGAAGGCGGAAGGACAAGCCAAGTCTAACGGCGTAGTTAATGGTACGGAGCAGCTCCAGACGACCCACTCGGCTTCTTCTCCACTTCGTTCGGGAAATTACGCGGCCAGCAAGAAAGCAGAGCTGAGATGGTCGCGCTGATGGTCGTACGTACTGGTTCGTTGTATGACTGGTTCTAGACTGAGTCGCTAAAAGCAAGTCGAAAGTAGAGAGTATGTATATGAGGCAGTAAATAACAAGGCACCTTAATAAAACACCGAGTCGGTCGCCACATTGAGGGTCTGATGTCTGAATTCAGCCATGATATTCAATAGTACTCATTACCAGAAGACGGAAATGCAGTGGCGTTCTCTAGATCCCGAGCTTCGTTCGCCCTGAACGTGCATTCAGGAGTTGTTCCAGCCTGCATGAAGAAAAGGACAAAGGCAGAATCAAGCACGAGAGTAAGGAATAGAACGGGAAGGAGGGATGGAGGGAGAAGGAAAGGACAGAATTTAGAGAAGGAAGATCAAAAAAGGATCCTCAATTGTAGGAGAAAGATTCCATCCATGAGGAATTGTTTTTCCTTCCCAGGTTTCGTTTATATTCTTAGAAAAGACAAAAAAATGCCAACCAGCCATAAGTTTTGGGTCCCTGGATCCAGATGCCGCCGCCATTCCAGGGGGTAAATCATTCAGTCCACATGATTGTTCATGTAGTGTATTTAAAGAGTACGGCGTATACACTTTCAACCAATTGCACCGTAATGATAGTACATCATCTCAGACTCCATGGCGGAGAAGGAAGTGAAAGTGAAAGTTGGAGACAAGTGCCTATTCGAATTGTAGATAACTAACAAGAATCATGTTCACAAAGAAGGATGCGATTTGATATAATTTCTTTACCTTCTTCTTCTTCTGGTTCTTCTTCCTCCTCATCTACCCCCAAACTTATCTATCTAGTATCTACGAATTGCTTCTTGCTTTTTCTTCTCCTTTAATCATTTTCTGCCTTTCATCTTGATTTTCTCTGTTTTTGTTTCTTCTGGTTCCTTTCTAACCCTTCGATCGCTGACTTCTATAATCAATTCCAATTAATATAGTTGAGAGCTTTGTTCCTTGGAGGTTATTGTCTTAATCGTAATATTCTTGTTCTTAAGAGAGACAGACAGACAGAGAGAGACAGAGAGCCTCTTTCACATCTACTCTCCCTCCCTCCGCCCCTCTTCCCCCTTCCTTGCCGCCTTCCCCTCCCACTCCGTCGTCTTCTCTTCTCTTCTCTTTCTTCCCTCCCTCCCTCTCGCTCTCTCAACTCTCGCTTTCTCTCAACTCTCTTCCCCTTCCCCACCCTCCCCTTTTACAACCTTTCTTTCCCTGTCTCTTTCCTCCCTCACAAGCTCTCAGTTCAACACTCGATTCTCTTACACCGTTAAATCATTCCATCTCGGTACTGCCTGCAGGACATAATTACTTCTGTTGTTTACCTGTCCTCGGGAATTACGGGGACCTCTTGCTCTTGGCCTCTGCGTCAACTTTTGAGGCGCAGCCAATGGTCACCCTCCACCCTTCTTGATCTAGGCAACGACGAGAACACCTGTTCGATCAAGCAGTTCGGCTCGCTGTTAAATCACCCCGCCTCCCACAATGGCTAATGTGTAAGTTATCTAGTCCTCGCGGTTAACAAAAGCGCACAAGTTCACAACTCAATTGACTGCAATCGCGAGCCCACCATCTAACTATCTGAATAGCATCGGCTCAGCATGGCGCTCTTTTTGGCATACAATGACCTCCTATGATCGCCATGCGTCGCACGACTCGCCCTACCGATCAGGCAAACATGTGCCTCTCAGTCAAAGTCGACATGAGCCACTCACGTCAATTGCGACTAGTGCCATTGAATCGCGCCCAGATCTAACCGCTCCTTACGATGATGACCATCCCAAAGGCTCAAATGGCTGGTCTGGGTCCCCTACGGGTACAGGGTCCCCAAATCGTCCGTATTCTCCTGGTATGCGGTCACTGTCATCGCAAAAGCGGCAGTCAACCGACCCTGGTGTGGATGGACCCCCGGAGATCCAGATGCAAAGCTTTCACGACGGCGCCCCGCCTCCACCTCCGGTCAGTCACTCGTGGGGAAAAATTGACAGATGGCTGGAGCATAACTACGAAGAGCTTTTCGATAATCTGTGTGAGGGCTGTACACAGAATGACATCAATGAGTTGGAGCACGAACTAGATTGCAGCTTGCCACTCGAAGTGCGGGAATCGCTGATGATGCACGATGGCCAGGAGCGCCCTGGCTTGCCCACTGGTGTCATCTTTGGATGTATGCTCCTTGACTGTGAGGAGATCGTTCAGGAATGGAAGAACTGGAGGACAGTCAATGAGGAATTCTTGAGCAGCTCGATGGTAAACCCCGTTCCCAAAGCAGCCGTCAGTTCATCCTCCGCCGCACCGCCTACACAAGCTGCAAATCCTATGTGGAGACAGGATCTTCTCGAACGCCAGGACTCACAGCCTTTGAATGCTGTTCAGAAAGCATACGCTCATCCTGCCTGGATTCCTCTGGCTCGCGACTGGGGAGGCAATCACATTGCGATTGATCTGGCTCCGGGACCTGCTGGAAAATGGGGTCAGGTCATCCTCTTCGGTCGTGATTATGACTGCAAGTATGTGGTCGCTCGGTCTTGGGCCGCCTTCTTAGCTATGTTTGCCGATGATATCTGCAGCGGCAAAGTTCACGTGGACGAGGAAACCAATGAGCTCAAGCTTCTTGAATTTAAGGCTCAGAATGTTGAACCCCCCTATCTCGAGATATTACGCTGGAGAACCGACCAAAAGTATGGCCGGAAACCACCTCGCCGCAAGACTCCTAGCGGTCTAGGATTGAGCACTGGAAGCAAGTCTGGCAAAGAATCTCCTTATGGAAGCCCCACCCCGAGTGAAGAACGGGGCAGGTCGCCGCATCGCTTCTCAAATCGCGTTTCCACGCAGAGCCCGAAAACCCAGTTCGGCATCTCAAGTCCTCTGGCTCGCGTCACGGAAGAGGCCCCAAGTCCCGTTCATATCACAGCGGATGCCGAATATATAGAACATACGCTCAAAGATGAACAGACAGAGGATTTGATGGAAGTGGCTACGCCCCAAATCTCGGGAGAAGAGAATGACAGAATTCTGGAAGCCGAGGCTGAACATAGACTGTCAGAAACGGGCAAAGTGGCGTCTGACCAGCCCTCCGCTACCGGTTTGGACTCCGAAGTTTTAGGTGAGATGAAAAATGTAACTATCTAGACATCGGCTTCTCAGTTTCTTTTTGCAGCGCTATTCTGTTCGTTGTATTCCTGCCAACCCGTTTTTTTCCCTCCCATGCCTACGCGTCAATCATGGGCATCTTATTCTCCCCGTTACTCATGAAGGATGATCTCACTTTGGATTGTCAAATACTTCATTTCCATGCTTAGTGTACCAGGCGCCTATTGGTCAGTGGTGGAACTATTGCATCCTTTTCTGAGCCCATTGTATAAAACCCCCTCGTTGTTTGCCATGGCACCAATGGCTATCATCTCTGTCCTGCATTCTACCTGAATATTGTGTTTGCGCATGCTCTATCAGCCCGTCAACACCTAATAAAGCCTGTGACTCCTTGGTCGTCTTCGGTCTATAAATATGCCTGTCATCTTGTTTAACGACGATGATGTACCCGTATCCATATGCAATCCGTCACATAGCTGTCTTCTACTATCAGTCCTCTGATTCCAACTGACGGACATGAGGAATCTGTATCGTAAATCTGGCAAGGTTTGCATCGCTTACAGGGATCATTGATACACACTCCCACGATGAAAATTGGCTAGGATCTTTCTGGCTAGAGGCTCAATGTTTTGAAGCCACCGGGGGTCATTCGTCTGCAACACATGTTCATCTTGTCCCAAGGTGGCCGAGCTCTCGAATATAGGCCGAATATATGCCCTACTGCCTACACTTGACGATTGTCTTGGACAGCTCTTGACATCCTCTTCTGACTGATCACGCGAGACATTCCCGTAGCTTTTGCCTAACGCAGCAGAGATATGCGCGCCCAGCGCATTCATTCATCATGCGGTTAGAGCCACAGGCATCCCAGCAACACAGCGCCTGGTTCAGATTACGAAGTTTGGTGATTATGCAAGGACCTATATCTTCCATAATCATTCATCCTGGGGTCAAAGATTGTTTCGTTATACCCACCCCGTTCATTGACAGTGTGTTCGATGTTAATCCCAATCGTCATCATCATCGTCCTCGCTATCACCAAGCCGGCGCAGACGTGAGTTACCGCTCCGTATAGTCCGCCTTCCATTTTGCCGCCCACTAGTGTCGTCGTCGCTATCTTCATCCGAATAATCTGAACTATTACTCATGTTTTTCAGTCTTGTTTGAGTCAAAATTTCTTTCCAGACGAGCCGTTTCTCCAGCGTCGCCGTGCTAAATCCGTCTGTCCCATCACGCCCACCCGCACCAAGGCCCTCAAATCCCACCAAACGTTCAACCGCTAGCCCATCTCTGAAGCCAATGACACAGGGAAGGACGCGGACCTTGAGCTTCTCTACGACAAACGGGGTGTCTCGCACGTCGACCCGCGCAAAGCGCACCTCGTGGTGTTGAAGAGCCAGCGCTCGAATGTGCTCGTCCATAGTGTTGCAGCGCGCGAAATCTGGGTGTGCGAAGTGAATGACACATCGATGACTTTGGGTTGTGAAATTCAGAAGTCTCGAGTCGGTTTTCAAAGTAGGATAAAGATTGTCTTCAACGACTGTCGCGATTGAGGCAGCGCTGCTTTGAACCGCATTGTTTCGGGCTGCGGCAAACTCAGCATTGAGCTGTTCGATTCGCTGCGCGCGGAATGTTGAGTCGTCTTCGTTCTCTAACGCTTCCAGGAGGGCATCGTCGTCAGACTCCTCTCGATCTCTGGAGGGGTATTGGTCCATTGAGTTGAGGTTCTGGCGAAGCCGCGGACGTAGTTTGATCAAAGAGGACACTCGAGGTCGATGCAGTGGGAAAGGAGAGAAACTAAAGAGAGGAGAGAGGGAATTGTGGGCCTATTTCTCCCTTTCCCATTTTCTTTACTAATTCTTGAATGTCCAGAGGGAGATTCATTAGTAGTTACTAACAGTACTTTAACTTAGTTACCATTACTTAGTTGATTAGCTAATCAAAATACCGTAATTAACTTCAACTACGAAATGACTACGGAGTAAGATACTAAACTTCTACATGTACTGAATGTTGCATGCGCAGATGCTTCAAACCAGTACATAAGAGGAGGGAAAAGAAATAAGAAGTGATCGAAGGAGTTAAAATATTCAAATGAATTCTTCTTCTTCTTCTTCTTCTTCTTCTTCTTCTTCTTCTTCTTTTGTTCTCAATGAAAGTTATGCAGTATTCGGTTTGTATCTATGCCGTATATTGTGGTCCCATGTAATAACTTACCTATGTATCAGTTGGTAAGATTAATCAAATGGAATTACCGCATCCGGGATCCAGAGATCGGCCGCCAGCTGCACTGCAGCCAGCCAAAAGTTCTGCTGAACAACTGCAAACAAACTCCAACTCCCCTGTCCCGATTCTTCCTTCACTGATCTTCCCCTCCCTCCCCTATTCTCATCTTATTACATCGGCGCCTTCTCTTTCTCTACTTGCAAGGCTTTCTCTACTTGCAAGGCTTTCTCTTTCCAGATACTCCTTGTGTCTCGGCTCCAAAGCAGTCAATTAGGATTTTCCGCTGCTGTTGCGCTCAAGTCTTGTCTAAAAACAACTTCTGTCGACACGGTTGTCGCTTACTCCGCCAACTGCGACCCTCTAGATTCCACCCGACTATCTTCTCCCCAAACGCGACGTCACCAATTCTCCACCATAGTCTTTCAAAGATGGCAGAGGGAAAGAGAACAGACGACTATACAATTGAGATGGACAAGCTGGATCAAAGCAACAAGGCGTTCGAGGCCCCGACGCCGCCGCCTCAGACAAGGACCGTCCCACCCAACTCTTTGCAGAACAATCCAATCCTGCCAGTATTAGCCTACTGTGGATCATCCATCCTGATGACAGTGATGAATAAATATGTTCTCTCCGGCACTGACTTCAATCTTAATTTCTTCCTTCTCTGTATTCAGGTACGTTGATGCAGCCCTGAGAACCAGAGGCTCAATCGCGCGCAGTGCGTCGCCAGATATGCTAACCGGGCTTGAATTTCACAGTCTGTCGTTTGTATTGTCGCAATCCAAACTTGTAAAACCTGCGGCATAATCACTTACCGTGATTTTAGCGCCGATGAGGCCAGGAAGTGTAGGTGTCCTCAAGACAGCTGCCCGGCGGGAAAAGAGGCTGACTGCAATTTGATCATGCTTAGGGTTCCCAATTACCTTGTTATTGATTGGCATGATCTATACTGGCTCTAAGGCGCTTCAGTTTCTTTCAATTCCAGTCTACACTATCTTCAAGAATCTGACCATCATTCTTATCGCCTATGGTGAGGTCCTGTGGTTCGGCGGCTCCGTTACGGGTCTTACCCTATTTTCCTTTGGTTTGATGGTCTTGAGCTCCATCATTGCTGCGTGGGCCGACATCAAGCACGCTGTCGAAAGTAGCTCTGACGCGACCGCCAAGGTTTCGACCTTGAATGCCGGCTACATTTGGATGTTAATCAACTGCCTTTGCACTTCATCCTATGTTCTTGGTATGCGCAAACGAATCAAGCTAACCAACTTTAAAGACTTCGACAGTAAGTCATTTTGATCATGAATATCGTTGCAATACTGCCATTTTCTGACAGTTTTTCAGCCATGTTCTACAACAACCTTCTCTCCATACCTGTTTTGATCGTGCTTTCCGGCTTGCTGGAGGACTGGTCGTCCACGAACGTCAACCGCAACTTTCCCCCTGTCGATCGGAATAGTATTATCTTCGCCATGATCCTCTCGGGCTTGTCTTCAGTGTTCATCTCCTATACCTCTGCATGGTGCGTTCGTGTGACCTCCTCCACAACGTACTCCATGGTCGGCGCCCTCAACAAGTTGCCCATCGCAGTTTCGGGGTTGATCTTCTTCGACGCACCAGTCACCTTCCCCAGTGTTTCAGCTATTGTTGTTGGTTTTATCAGCGGCATCGTCTATGCCATTGCCAAAATTAAGCAAAATGCTAAGCCAAAGACGGGGGTCCTGCCCACTGCGAATCCCCCCGTCAGCGCCAGCAGCCAGAGTATGAGAGACTCTCTGCGGTCCTGAGCAAGGCAAGGTTCACGTCTAGAGACCCGAATTCGCTCTATGATGGGAATAAGGGGCTGGTTTCCTGGCCTCGAACTCTGCTAGTGCTTTACTTTCGGTGCAGTAAGTACAGACACTGGCTTGGGTAAAGTAAGGAGACCGTCTCAATTCGGTCAGTGAGGATGGTCTTTCATTGCATCAATGCGGTCATCGTCTAGTGGCCCCTTCGCTTCATGGTCCAGTTACTTGAAGTTCATGGCCCTGCTGCATGAAGTCGCACGGGGTCGGCACCCTTCACATTTTCAATTCGGGATGCGCATCGTAGCCGATATGTTGCATATTATCTCCTTTGGAATTTTCCTCCGTCAGTTTTATTGGTTTTGTCACAATCTGTGTTCTCCTGCGATGTTAATGTCACAAACTTCCCATGAGAGCAAGGGCATCCAGGAAGAGATGGGGAAGGATGAAAAACCTAAAGCGTTCTTGTGTTTTGAGCCTGTATATATGAGCATCGGATACTCCTAATAAAATGATAGATTGTGGTCTTGGTTTTCGGTTGAATAATGTCACTTTCTTGAAACTCGGAGGTATTGGACTTTTTGCCGCTTCGCATTCGAATTCGACTTTCCAGGGAAACCAAACAAATGGTTGCACTCCTCTTATCTGCCTTGGTTTGATTTAAGCGGCCAGTTGCCGTACCAAAATTACGCAATGTTATACCCGAAAATACCTTTCCGGTTCCTGGCATAATATATATTTTCGCATAAGACAAATAGAGAGAGCGAGCCTAGGTTGGCAGACAGACGCAGAAAAATTTTACCACCTTGTGAGCCACTTTCTCGTCCGAAGAACACGAACAAAAGAAGCGACGACTTCATCGATCGTGTCTCATGTTGTTGACCTGACATCGCAGAAGACGAGACCTACCTTCGTGAATTTAATGGGCAAATCCAAGAAGGGTCGACCTCAAGGAGGGTTCGGTGCTGTTGCAGCGGCGGCGACAACAACAAGAGCAGCGACAGTACATCAGCCCAAAAGGCACCGGAAAATGCAGGCGTTTTCCCGACTGTCAACAACGACGAGCCCGGCTAAGACCGCCATCAAGCTTAACGAAAAGAGACGAAAGACTGCCACAGGAGCGGCTACCTCGCAAAAGTCACCGCATCAGCCAAACCAGCATCGACGACCCATTGTGCCCTTTGGAAAGAAAGATCGCATATTACTAGTCGGAGAAGGTGAGTGTTGTCCCTTCGAAAACTGATTTACCTGGTATCATTTTCCCACCATATCCCCACATTGGCTATGTCCAAGGCTGCAGTGCTTGCATGTAGCTAATCGCCCTCAAACCTTTTTCACATCGCACACAGAAGGGATCTCGTTTGGCCTGGACATCTTGACGGCTTGGCATTCAGTAAGGTAGATACAGGCAGTGTCAACTGGCCGCTGGCAGCAAGAACATGTCAAATCTGCTTCTGCGCTGCTTGCCCCTTTGATCCCCTGCCTTGCGCTGCCCTTGGAGCATACGTTGATCTCATGACCTTGGGTTGCCGTGGCCAGTTGCTAGACCCTGTCCAGAATCTGCTTCGAATCTTCCTCTTATTGTTTCGTTCCACATTTCGTTCCACAGAAAGGCCTGATTGATTTGGTCTAGGTGACTTCTCCTTTGCCCGCTCATTGCTTTGCCAGCATCGCTGCAAGAATGTCTTTGCTACTTCTTATGACTCCAAGGAGGCTCTCCAGAGCAAGTATCCTCTGGCAGATCGCAACATCAGAGACATCCTCGGGCCCTCCACCGACCCGGAAAGCTCGAACGAAGAAAAGTTTCGATTGCCCGGTAAAACACGTTATCTTACCAGAGTCATGTTCTCTGTTGATGCTCGAAAACTGGGTCTTCCTGGCGGTGGCGGCAAGGACATTCGCAACGGCTGGCCTAGACGAGAACATCAGGGTCCGGCATGGCAACATGCGAAAACTGGTGATTTCGCTTCTCACCAAACAGGTGGGCCATGGGATGTTATCTCATTCAATTTCCCGCATGTTGGCGGTCTCTCCACCGATGTGAATCGACAGGTTCGCGCCAACCAAGAACTCCTGGTATCTTTCTTTAAGGCCTGCATCCCCTTGTTATCACCCAGCGAAGAGTTGCTGAACGACGATGAAGATAATGAGTGGGATGACTGGGAAGGATCTGATTCCGAGCTCAGCCTGGGTGGCGATGAGCACGGCGCCGATGAAAACAAGCCAGTCCGATCCGTAATGGCTAGCGGCCGAGACGAAGATAAGAATAGATCTGCCCCTGGTCGGATTCTGGTGACTATATTCGAGGGGGAACCATATACGCTCTGGAATATCAAGGACCTTGCGCGACATGCTGGCTTGCGAGTGGTTACGAGCTTCAAGTTCCCATGGGGTTGTTATCGAGGTTATTCGCATGCACGGACACTTGGCGAAGTTAAGGGGAAGCATGGAGGCAGAGGGGGATGGCGAGGCGAGGATAGGGATGCAAGAACATACGTATTCGAGATTAGGCGAGATGACCAACCAGTGCCTGGAAAGAAAGCGCCATCATCCCGAGTCGATCAGAGAAAGAGAACGAGAGAAGCTTCTGATAGTGATAGTGATTAAGAATACAGTCAGAAACCGCCCATAATACCCGGATATCCTTGGGCAAATTGAGTTGGAATCACGGCGCAGGAACAGTAAAAAAGAGTTTCATTCATCCATTGCCTCCACCTATAGGCTGGAATCTTACATAATGTAGACTTTCTTCATTTCAGCTTCATCAAAGACCTCGCCAGTGGTAGGATCCTTCACCTTTCCGGAGTCAACACAACCGATCTTCTTGCTCATCTCTAGTAACCGCTGCTGACCATAAACTCTGCCATTGGGCAGAACGATCGGGTCATTTTCGACATAGCTTTTCGTATGATGAGCATAAGGCATATTACGAGCAAGTTCGTTGAGCTCGGTGGAGCAAATGGGACAGACAGATGTTATGGTAGAAAAAGAATTGGAGCTAGAAGGGGTATAAGCCGAGTGACACGAGGGCGTCTTCAAGGCCGATAACCCTGCTGAAAGGGCAATATGAAGCAAAGGGCGGGACGATAGTGACAAAAGCTCATGATGTGTGCGAACGAACAGAACAGAGAGACTATTCCATCTCTCATGAGAGTACATAGACTTCAAATTTGTTAGTCGAGACATCGCGGTTCGCCGACAATAAGCTATTTACCTTATAAGGTTCAGTTTCGGTATCTCGTGGGAAAGCAAGTAGCCCTGCGGCGCGGTGAATCTCAGCGGATTGTGTCTCTTTAAATGGAGCAAGGTATTTTTTAGCATGCATCATAGCGTCAATAAATCTTGTCTTGTCTCCGCTCCTAATCAATTCGATGTATTGCTGCAATCGGAGTTCGAATTCGAGATTATACTATAATCTGATATTAACCATTTAAAGTTGAAGTCGGGAAGAAGTCACAAAAGAACATGATCACAAACCTGGCTTTTTTTCAATGCCGCCTTGTTCTCACCGCACCACTGGAGAGCATCCTTTGTCTCACCTTGGCGTAGGCCATCGGCGATACGTTGACACTGCACGAACACGCTGAGATCCACTAGACCCTCAATTCCTTTCTCACGAGCTAGCTGCCGGGCACTTTCTAAATATCCGGAGCGCAGCATATGATCGACTATTAGCCTATTCAACCTGACTCGCGACCACTGATCATACTTGACATCCTCCAAGCTCGAAATGTGAGAAAGACTTTCAAGGTGCTGAATACGCTTCCTGGACTGTTCATGGATGCCTTTCTCTTCTTGATGCAGGTTCTCCATTTTGCGCTTCAGACCTTGCATCCGGGAGATCATGGCGTCGAGGGCAGCGATGGTTTGATCGGGTGTTTGAGATTTTGACATAGAGATATCGGCCATGTCTCTGAGTGCGGGAAGAACATGTTCCCTCTCTCGTTCAACGAGCCGTTGAACAGACTTGAAATTTCGTCGTGCAAGTTCATGGGGCACACGAAGGAGGGATTGGTCCTGTGTCATGAAGCCGCGTCAGTACCGGAACGATGCTGGCAGTTCATGAATGGTTGCCAATTACCAAGAGCAAGTGATTCTCCGCATTCAAGCGGGTCGATGTAAGCTCCGCCGCCATTTTCTTCTTGCTCAGATGTCGCACTGATGGCGGTGGAAGGCTGTATCACTTTGACGAGATTGATATAACCTGGATTTCTCGAAGGGAGGTTGGAAACAAGAGTGGTGAGGGGTGAATGTGATAGAGGGACTTCTGGAAAGTGGTATGAGGGGATGACCGGAGAGGAGGGAGACACCGCCCCCAGCCACGATGCCTCCGCGCAACCACCAAGGCATCGGCTGAAAACGAGTCAAGTCTTTTTAGTGAAATGCTATATTTGCAGCAGAATCTCCACAACACAAAAGACCAGTAAACATGTATTTAATAATTGATAACCTTTTCAAACCCTGGACTCCGATACAAAGAAATAAGTATGTTACAGGATATCTACCCCGGCGAGGCTCCGAATAAAAGAGTTATTCATCCGAAACACTTTGGCTCCCGAGTCAGACCCATGTAATACCCGGAGGTCTCTAGTCACTGTCATCGCTCTCTTCCTTCGACTTGGACTTCCTTCGCTCCTTCTTCTCCTTCTTCTCCTTCTTCTTGCGCTTGCGCTCAGCGCGTTCCTCAGCAGTCTCTCCCTCGTGCCGTTTGCGTTTCTTTTCTTCGTCATGGTCTTCATCAACCTCCATCTTGGTCTGAGGGGATGATGGCTCCTCGGTAGGAGCTGCATCCTCAGTTGCGGCGTGATCAGCTGTTTGAATAGAGGCTTCCTCGGGGGCGCTATAATCCTTATAGTCACTCTTCCACTTAGCGGGGGTAGCCTCGTTAGTACGGCCGTATTTCTACATGCAAAGTCAGATCAGCAGAATCGGCAGTTGACTATGTTTTGATCAACTTACGTCGAGCTTTCCAGCAGACTTAAGCTTTTTCTTTTCCAAAGCCACAGGGCCTAGACCCCATCTGCGAGGGTAGAGATCGCGCTCCATGATGCACCGCTTGACCTTGGCCACGACACCGTGATCGCAGGTAGACAGCTCGACTGTGGACATTTGAGCGATACCGATCGCGATAGCCTCACCTTTGGTGGTCATAAGTACCACTTCCTCGTTGACGTCAATACCAGCCTCTACACGATATCAGTAACGGGATGGACCGTGATTTCACGTAATTTCTCTAGGCTCAACTTACCGAAGCGAAGAAGACCAGGAATCATAAGCTTGGCGCCATAGCAGACAGCGTTAACGGCGCTATCTTTGACCACAATTCGCTTGTATGTCGTGAGAAGAGTCTCCAAGGGTCTTATAACCCTGCGCAGATAAGACTCATCGCGCTGGTTGTCATACATCCACTGCGCATCCAAGACATCGTGCAGAGTCACCATACCACTGTTTTCATCCATGGCACCACTGCGTACACGTCGAAGTTCCTGCATGTGTGCACCAACTCCAAGAAGGAGACCAAGGTGAACACAAAGAGTCCGAATATACGTCCCAGCCTCGCAGCTGACCCAGAAGACACCAAGATGCCTATCATTATCAAACTCATAAAGCTTGCTCTCGTGGATGGTTCGAATACGGAGCTGACGCTTGACAGCAGAGATCAAAGGTGGACGCTGAAAAAGCGCGCCAGTCAAGGTTTCAAGTGCCCTCTTGAATTGAGCCTCGCCGCCGGGGATTTTATCATGAAGGCGAATGACACAGACATACTCCTTTCCTGCACCTTGCTGAGACTTGACCAGGCGAGTAGCACGGTCAATACAGACAATCAAGCATCCGGTGACCTTAGGATCAAGAGTTCCACTATGGCCAGTTTTCTCCGCTCTTTATAAGAAAATGAAGTCTCAGTACTTGCAACTCATCGATCATGCAACGCGAGAGTATGATTACCTTAAAATCCTCTTCATCCAAGCGACTACCTCGTGACTAGAAGGGTTGGATGGCTTGTCGAGGTTGATGACACCGGAATTGATGTACGATTTCAGATCACGCTTGAGAGGAGAGCAGCCCGCGGGGATTGGAGTGAAGTGTCCGGTTCTGACAAGGACTGACATAGCAGAATCAGCACAAGCTACATGGGGCCTGAATGTTCATAACGTTAAAAGTGAACGTACGCTTGTCATAATTCTTCAGTAGAAGCGGCCACTCCGACGTATCGATGTTGGAGGCACTAGCCTCTGGTTTGATTGTGTAGTCCATCTCGTCCTTAGCCACTGCAACTGCCATTGTGAATAGCCTGGCTTGAAGGGTGTTGAGATAGACAAGTGAGTGCGCGCGCGGTGAGAGGATGGCGCAGGAAAAATTGTTGCACTTCCCGAGCTAAGGTTTTGCTCTGGCGCTAGCGAGGGTGAAAGTCTGGGAAATTTTGGAAGTGCGGCAAAGGCTGGAGCGACCAATACGGCTAGCGCAAAAACTTCACGCGTCGGCTTCATGTCCCGTGACCTGAGCTATTCTCAATGATAATGAGTAATGAGAACGCCAAGTCTTTAGCTGTTCTTGCTAACTACAGCCTACGAGAGCTGCTGACAAGAAGTAGGTGTTACCACAGCACAATACATTACAGTACTAATTGCTGACTCTTGCAACTAAGGAATGATGTTATGCTGAAGACCACTCGGTGCTTGGCCGCCTCCACCTTGGCAGAAACCGCAGTAGCTGCGATCCCGCTCAAAAATGGTTTCTTGTGTTTGAGGCCGCTGCTGGCATATCGCTCGAGCCTATCCACCATTGTGCTGCTCCTCTCTCAACGTGATTGCACCCTCTTCTCAGTTTCCTCCAAGTCGCCTGCCCGGACCCCTTCGGTTCCGTGGTCCCTGAAACACGGAAGTCCAGCCTTCAGAAGCCGACGCCGGGGCCTGGTTTGGTGGTTGAAAAGCTGTGCCATAGGCACGGTGATTCCCATGTGGCGTAGAAGCGGTGAAGAAATTCCTGACGAATGTTGGCGTCACAAGATAGTATTGACCACCCCCAAACGCTGGGTATATACGTGTCAAAAATTCATACAGATGGGCAGCGACTATGCCCGTACCATCGCCTAAGACGGCAGGCCATCCATTCGCGACCAGGGTGAAAGCAAGCATTGCCCAAGGCAAAAATTCCACAGGTAGCTGGACCACGAAGAACATAGCTTTTCTACCACGGTTCTCTTGTGCAAAGGTATAGACGAAAGCCAGGATCAGGGCTAGAAGGATGATCAGTAGGTACACGCATGTGCGGTGCTACAACAGGCTCACCAGAAGTAAAAGTTACGCATCCCAGCAAACAGCCTGCGGTGAGCTTGGCGTTGTCAGTACAGGGAAAATGAATGACGCTACTTGACTGGAAGCAATGAAAAAGACCCGGTGGAGAATAATGGATAAGGTATATTGAGTGATGTAGGGCACCATAACCACCAGCGTAAACCATGTCATCACGCTAGCTATCTCACTGGTCGTCCCACCATACCTGCAACAAATATAGCCCTGAAAGGATCGATGTAGGAACTATACGGATGCAGGGGCAATCTTCCTCGTTTCCAGGAACCGCTTCAGCTAGAATGCGCTGGGCGGGCAGATATGCGAGGGTTTTCTTTGTAGAAAAACTGGGAGTGGGGGCATTGGGAATGGACATAGTCCACGTGGTAAGAACTGTGATAGGCCATCTTGAAAAACGAACGACAAACGCCCCTGACTTACCATGATGATGGAAGCTACAAAGACCGTATACACGAAGAAGTTTCCGGGGCCGGACAACCTGGGCGACCCCGTTTCCAGAGAACTGCCGTAAGTGTACACTACCGGCAGGTTAGCACGCCCTTGAACCCAGTCTAGGGCGGCACCATACTCAAGTAGACATCCAGAAAAAGGGACAGGCCTGGTCGGGTAATCATAAACGGGGTTAATAACCTCCAGACCTCCGGAGGAAATTTCGACACAAAGCGTGAGTCAAACAATAAATAGTAGCCATTTAGTAGTCCACCATACATCAAGGCAGACTGTGCAAAAGTGAGTGCAGAAAGAGTCCTATGTTCATGATTAGTCGACTACTTAGCAAGAAACAAGGGACAAGCGACAGGGTAAGGACTTACCTGATGACTGGAGGAAGAGACCAGAACTGGTCCATAGTGAGTATAGTCAATCAAATTAAAGAAGCTGCAGGTGTGTAATTGTATCTTCGTCTAGCTTTCACACAGCGTTTATGGAATTTCTCTTGACAGACCTGCCGGTCTCGAGTTCGATGGAAGAGAAGAAAAGGCCACGGCTAGAGTAATGAAGGGGTAAATATTTATAGGTGGCAGAAAGGAAGAAGGCATCGTGTGGAACTCGGTATTCTGGGCTCGCTTGAGATTTTCCGTTCCGGTAAACGAACTCAGTCTAGCTTGTTACATACTTACATGCGATTTACATACACTGGTTTACTCCTTCTGTACCTAAGAACATCATCACCATCTCTCTTGTCAGTAAACAGTCAATCAAACACACAGTTCAGCCGCTTGAACGAGTTGAAAGTCTTTCACTATTTCCTAGCAATTGACCCCAACCCATTCCGCAGTCGACTGACTTACGATCATCGACTTGGTCATATGCTAAGTACCTATTTGGTCGACCAGCACGCACGGTAGAATTGATTGTTACTTGTTCTATGAGCAGATACTTGATAACAAGCACAGGGCAAAAAACCAGCCACAAAGTTCTAGACATCCCCTTGAACTTCGACAGCACCACGAAGGTAACATTGTAGGAAAAATTTGCTTAAGAAGCCTGATAGGCCTGCTACGACCTGGCTGGGAGATAGTGCATCCTGCTACTGCCTCAGGAAAGCATTTTTGGGAGAGTGCAAATGTCTCAAGCAATGATCAGGCAAAGCAGCCAAGGCAGTTGAGAAGTATGACCGCGTCATTGAGAACAGTCGCCTTGGACTTTGCCCCGCACAGCTAGTCCTCCGTCTTTGTCCTCGATCCACACATCCCAAGCTTGTGAACTCCCTGCCTTGGGCTTGCCACAAATAGTCAGTTCCTCTCCTACGAATAGAGGAGCGAGATTCTTGTAATCGACTTCCCTGATCGCTAAACCCAAATCGTCCATGTACCTCCGAACAACCGAGAGAAGAAGCATTAAAGTTAATGGTCCATGAACAAGCAAATCCTTGTAGCCCTCAGTGTCCTGGGTGTATGTTTGATCGAGATGTATTGCGTGAGCGTTGAATGTCAGCGCTGAGAACCGGAAAAGAAGAGCTCGAGTTGGTGTCAGACTTTGGCGAAAGTGGGGATCTATAGGGGCTTCAAGCCATGAGAAACAAAGTCAGCATGAGCGACACTATTGGCGCAATTCCAAATTCCTGGCGCACATTTTATAGTTCTGGAAGGTCTTCTGAAGTTGGCCCTATCACCAGTAAGCTGCTCAGGCGTCTTATCGCGCATGAAGACCAAGTTTCGGTGCTCAATAACGGAAGAATGGCCTAGATCAGCCTCTTCATCTTTCCAAATTCGAGCTCGAATCTGGCTGTGATGTTCACCTTCTCGAACTGTGCCAATTCGTCTTTCTACCTTGACGGTCACTTTTTCCTTCCCAGCTGGACCAGTCGCGAGTACGTCGCGTATTGTTTCAATGCAAACGGCCCGGCGACCATCAAGGAGTAGATCCCGGGTGGCTGGAAACCGAACACTACCGCCAGCCCAAAGTCGCCTGGTGAAAGGATATCCTGGAAAATGCAAGCAGTCGGTACCATCCGGCAGAATCCGGGACAAAGAGACCTGGGGCGGGAAATAGACGAGATGATGTCCAGGGGGTAAGCGGGATGGATTTGTGATGGAGGGCAAATCCGTTGATACTCCGCTCAATTGCGGAAGGATATCGGTCAATGTCCGGTCCAAAAGGAACGACTGTTGAGGATATATATAATCAAACGTGAGCGGTAATGACTGCGCGGTCAGTTTTTGATGTAGACGCTCACTCAAGGAGGAGTATTGTCGACAGGTCGCTGCGGGCGACCTTCGTTGGCCGCAACGGAGAAGCAGCCTTCTCGTTGATAGCAATGCTGAACCCAGCATGAGTGATTGATGTGCGAGGAATTGAGGAAAGGTGTTTCAGGAGGGCGGCGAACTTGCCGATCAATGCACGTCGAGCTTAAGTAATTCGGAGTAGACCCGGCAAGTGAGTTAACTACTACGAAGTAAGGTGCGGAGCACACAGTGGTACTCCGTCACTAGCTAACATCAAAGAACTACGGAGTAGTTATGTCAGCCGCCACTGCAAAGTTCAGTACTACTGATCTTCTTGGCAGAAGGTTCCGAATCGAGTCATACAGTACAACTCCAATCCCCAAAAGCCCAGCACAGCATTAGGAGTAATGGACCAGCCTATCAGAGTCACATTTTTGGGCCCTATAGCCTCCTTCTCCCACCAGGTCAGTACCTAGTAACATTAGCCCACCACTCGCTCCTCCTTATATATGTCGTACTAAGAATCGGAGACTTCAGGCTGCTGTTGAAACATTTGGATCTCAGGCTGACCTGGTGCCCTGCATATCGTTCGCGGACGCGTTTGCCACATTACAGGAGGAGCGTGCAGATTACGCCATAGTTCCTTGCGAGAATTCCACTAATGGATCCGTCGTCCAGACGCTTGATTTGCTGGCAGACCCGAACGGTCTTTATGGCAACGTTAAAGTCTGTGGGGAGCATTATTTGACCATTCATCACTGCTTGCTGGCGCACGAAGGTGAATCGTCGCCCGTCCAGCAGGACTACAACTCCATCACCAGACTATACACCCATCCGCAGGCCTGGGGCCAGTGCGACAAATTTCTGGAAAAAAATCTGAAAGGTGTTGAACGACAAGATGTGTCGTCCACATCTAAAGGAGCGGAAATAATTTCGAAAGACACAACTGCGCGGACTGCTGCCATAGCGAGTCGCTTTGCTGCAGAGTACCATGGTCTTAAGGTTCTTGCGGAGAATATCGAGGATAAAGCAAATAACACTACGCGCTTCTTGATCCTAATGAATATTCAGGCCAATCGCACCTCTGATTGGGAATTCGAGCATATTAAGGCTTCTGTTACCTCCGGAACGGCAAAAGAGAAGACATTGATCTCATTTATGGTTTCCCAGGACCGTGCGGGCGCCTTAGCAGATGCTCTTCTTATTTTCAAAACCCACGACATGAATCTGACGAGCATCAATTCACGACCCAGCCAGGTCAAAGCCTGGAAATATATGTTTCTGGTTGAGGGGCATTTGACTCCTACCAGTCGAAATGAAGGCACAGTCTCCGACCTACTGCAGGGCTTGAAGCGGGCCACTGAATATTGCCGACACCTGGGAACATGGAGAGATCAGCTTATACCTAACCCGGAAGGTGAAGCAATATAGGATGAAGCAGTATATATAAAAAGGCGTGATTCGTCGATATCAAGTGGGTTCATCTTGATGACGTCCGTGCAATCTTCTATCCATGACGATTCGGCGTGCAAACTATTAATGTAACTGAGAACGTCTACATGTCAATGTAGGACTTGCCATACAGATAGAAAATTGGCTTGCTTCCTGAATTTATGGAAGATGCAGGATTCACAACATAGCAGAATGAAAGAAAATAAAAATCTGGAGATAACACGACAGCAAGTCCAATACATGGAACGCAACAGTCTAAACAAGCCCATCAGTTATATGTTCGAAAGCCATCGGTGAGCATATCCAGAGTCGATAGGGCAACCCCATCATCATTCTTGAATGATTTGATCTGACAGCAACAGAGGCTCACCAAATGACATCGTTTATGACAGTGCGGAGCTCGGATGGCCCTGCTGGAGAAAACATCGTTAGGTAAGAGATATTAATTTCCACTTTCGGTTCTAAGCGTGACAAGCAACATACCTATGGGCAGCTTCAGAAATTTTGCACAGGCAATGGCATGGCAAATGCTACGCAAGCCATGGAGTTGCAGTGGGAGCCGCCTTCACGAATTACGGGGCGAGCCGTCAGAAGATCAGGTCCGAGAGCTTCTGGGCGTTCATCCTCGCTCTCTGCGAGGGTGCTAAACCGTCAATCTGGGGCAGAGAAACATTAGTCGGTGGCTCGATTCACAAGCGCAACAGACATACCGTCGTAAAATTCATCCTCATCTTCGAAATCAGCAAGTTGTTCGAAATTGACCTTGTATCGGAGCATCGCGCCGATTCCACCGAAACCTTTGACAAATTGGTTTCCTTCAGTCGATTTATCAGAGACGAACTCTAGGGTCGCGCCAAAGTCCTTGTAGTTTTCGGCGAGCCATTCGAGGAAAGAGGTTTGCTCGCTGACTTCCATCTCAGCTCCGGTCTCCTTGTCGATGAACATCTCACGATTGGCCTCCTGAGCCTTGGAAGTATGAACAATGACGTCCGAGCCGCTGGAACTTTTCAGGACCCATCTAGTGATATCAAGGTTCTCATAAACAATGAGGGTTTCTGCCGCACCAAGCTCCAGAGCTTTGAGAGTGTCGTCAATACCGTAGCACACCTTTCCAGTGTCCTGACTAATCTCCTCGAAGTACTTTCCAATCAGCTTCTTTTCCTGAACGAACTTGACATTGCTCAAAGTTTCCGCGGCGAGCTCGATGGCCTGGTTGAAGCCATTCTCACCGCCGTAAGAGACATCCACAACTTTGATGACTTTGGCTTGCAATCGCTGATCGAACATGTCAGATTGATTCAGGTCGTTCTTGAAGTCAGCAGAACCAGCCAAAATCAAGCCAGCAACATTGACCTTGTCGTTGGTGATGTAGTTCTGCACCGCTAACTCAGCGATCTTGCGCACATAGTTATGACGCTTCTCTTCACGAAGACGAGCAAAACGCAAAGCCGATTGACCACCACGGCCGTGCTTTTTAGGCAAATCAACGCTCAACTTCTGGAGGATTTCTCGGGTATTGCCACTGAGTGTGCCAAAAAGAGCACCATTTCCATCCATTACGATGAAACCGAATTTCTGATCCGACTCCAAGAGCTCACTGAGCGCTTCTGTGTGGAACTTGTTGTCACAGAGATATAGAGATGTGTTGATAGGCTTGAAAGGCTCAAAATCAATATTGATCTTCCGCTCCTTGCCTTCGGATGTGATGATTTCACCACAGTAGACGACCAGACCATTAGGGGGGACCTTATTGTACAATTTGAGACGCTGCTGGGTGGACGTAATAGCGGAAAGTACGGAGAGTCGATTGACACGGGACTTGATGTTCGAAGCTGTGCCCTACATAAGATCCCGGATTAGTTACGAGCCACGTCAAAAGGTTTGGTTCTTTCCTCACATATTCTTCAGCCAACATTTTCGCAGCTCTAGAGATCTGATCCTTGGGAGCTGCGAGAAGCCCGAAGTTAGTGTTTAACAGGCACAGGCAAGCTATACAGGACAGGAAAACGTACGAATGATCAGAGAAATCATCGAAGTTCCATTTCCTCGGGCCATCTCCAGGCGCTTGATAAGTTTCTTAACCTTCCATATCTCAATGTTCTTCTCCGCTTCATTCGGCTGAGCCGCACTCATCTTGGGCGAGGCGACAATACTACACGACCAGGAGGGGTTTAGGGCAGAACTGGCGGATGCTGATTGTATTATTAACGAGAATGATCACAAATAGAGAATAAGGCCAGGGCCAGGGTAGGAACAGAAATCAACGAGCAGGCAAATCTTAGGATGGAAGAATTTGGTAGCAGCTTGAAGAGGGAATAATGAGAAGACTTAGAATGCGCATACGTACCTCAAAGCTGGTCGATGTGCCGTCCGAGTCGATCGGGGTGTCAAGCAAATTTCGTCAGGCACGGTGGAGGGGGGCGGGAAGTGAAATGGGTCGGCAAGTCGCCTGTTGGTGATGACATAAGCGTATTTCTAACATGCCGTAACTAGGTGTAGGTGTAAATCTTAACGGTTACTACCTAGGTTCGTTGGCTAGAATTTGCACAGAGTACTGTACCTGCGCAACCTTTCTTCTCTAATACTGTGCGCGAGGATAATAGATACCATTTTGTTACTACAATCTACTCGGTCACAGCACAAATAGTTTGTCTGTAGACAACATGGACAAGTTACCAGAAGTTGGACGACAAACTTATGATTTTGTCAAGAGGTCGTGTAACTGGTGCCGTATATTTTCCGCACAGAGTGGTACAAGGCACATATACAAACAGCATGATGTTATGCGCATACTCCGTAGTTATGAGATACTGTACGCACTACGTTGTCGTCCAGTGCTTCATAAGATCTAGGTATCGGGGCAGGAACCCTCGAGGGTAAAGAAAGCATAACGTAGTATTATGGCAGCCGCGTTTCCATTAGGGATCACAAAAATCGAAATTCCTGCCTGCATGATTACCCGAATCGTGCCAGATCGAAACCATCCATGGGAGAGGTCTCCTGCCTTATCAGGTACCATATATTTCCTGTATGACATTTGTAATTTGATTTCTTTCTAATTATGCCAATGTAAGGACGAAAATATATTATTGCCCGCAGTATCAACGTCTAAACCAGGGATGTCAAATCTCGATTTCTTCCAGTGATGAAAATGACTCTATGGGTTTACGTAGCAATGTTGATTAATCACCACTTTCAGACAAGAATAAGTTAACGTAAACAACGGTCGCGCGGGCCACACGGTCAGGCGGGCCACCCTGGTATCCCATATAAAAGATAACTTTTTGATTCTATTATATATTGATCAATACTACTTTTTAAGAAGTTCTAATATTGTATATATAATATATAGATAATAATAGATATTCTATAGTTTTCTCAAAACTTTTAAAATATATTTATATATTTAGTTAGATCAAATTCTTATATAATGGAAGTAAAATATAGATATTGTAATATAATAAGTTAATAAATATATCTATACTGATTTTTAAAAGATATATATATATATCTTTAATATAATTTAAAATCTATATAGAACAAATTTAATCCTTCTAGACTTCACTGGTTGAGATATATTATGTTTAAAAAAGTACCTTTTGTCTAGTATTACCAGCTGGCCCGCCTGACCGTGTGGCCCGCGCGACCGTTGTATACGTTAACTAATGAAGTTACTGAGTAAGTTACTGATAAGGTAGTCGGGTTACTAAGCAACAAATAGTTATGATATTACCGAGTACGTACTCCGTACGTACGGAGTAGTGACCGACTCATTGTTGTTATCATCCTCATGATAGCCGGTGTCTGTCCAATCACTTGGTTCCCCATTGCCGTCACCCAAGCACGTAATAAGCTCTATACTGTCCATTTGAAGAATCCCTAATCATTTTACTCCGCATTTCCTTGCTTGCATGACATGTTCTGGCTTGGTGCTTATCAGTTGTCGGCCGTAGTGGGTGCCTCAACATGAGTTTCAATGCTTGTGCCTTTAAATGGGTACGACCGGTTTGACCCTGGCCTGCGTAGACAGTCCCCAGGATAATCTTTCACCTTCCTCGCTCTCGTCTTGATCATCGGTAGCCCCCAACTGAATCACTCCACCCAAGCAAGCTTGTGGCCTCTGCGGAAGCCACATTTGTGGAAATCAGCACTCCTGCTTTCCCTCCTCTTTCTCTCTCTCAGCCTATGACTTGGAAATCGTGTTTCGCTGTATTTCTTCTCAAGTCTTAGCGGCCATTGCTTGTCTTAGCGGCCATTGCTTGTCTTCTGCGCCTCTTTCACGTCCTTTGCCGAGCAGTTGCAGCTACACATATTGATTGCTATTAGCAGAAAAGCACAAGAAAACAATCCGAAGCAAATTCTCAGGAACATTATGCCACCACAATCCTCGCCGATTGACGACGATGTTGGGGATTCGAGCCGCCATTGGCCCACACCTCATCGCAGACCAATTTCAACCTCACCATTCGAGTCCGATGGCTTCGGCAGCTCCCCAGAAGTCGACGATCATCTACCAAGGTCAAGGTAGACCTAGAGAACCTCCTTTTCATGGTCGCAAAAGACAGGCACTAATTGAACAATCTAGATCGGCATCTTTCTCTGCGCGTTTTCGGCAAGCTGGAGGTGTCAATAGCATTGATAACTTCGCACGGTCGTGGCAGCGAGCCGCATGTTTCCCGGAAGTTTTACCGCGCCGTCCTTCCTTCGTGGCAGCAGACGCAGATGAAGAATGGAGTACCATAACGCGAAACTCTGTCAGGTCGCGTAATCAGCATGATTATGAAGTGGGCCCTACTCAGCCTTTACTGGACTCGGATGGAGGTGCGGAAGATCGGACTCTCACTGCACACGTCTATCCGGAACACTCGAGCACGACATCAGACAGATGTGAGCCCGTGCTTGGGACATCGTACGGTACGTTTTCTTCACGGATAAGTGAAACTGCGCGAAGGAATGCAGCCCAGCTTCATATGGAGCAACAAAGTCGCGGCGATACAACATTGAACCCTGAGGGGGAGTCACTACTTGTTAAGCAAGTCCAACACGACGATGGTACACGCGAGTGTGTGGTTGTTGGGCAATCTACCCTTCCGCAGACTATCTTCAATTCCGTAAATGTTTTGATAGGCATCGGTCTTTTGAGCCTACCATTGGCGATGAGACAAGCGGGTTGGCTCATCGGCCTCTCATTCTTGCTCTTTGCAGCAGTCACCACATCATATACAGCAAAAATCCTGGCAAAGTGCCTGGATGTTGATCACAGCCTTGTCACTTACGCTGACCTAGCGTACATTAGTTTTGGGTATCATGCGCGCTTGATCACGAGCCTGTTGTTCTGCTTGGAGCTCATAGGGGCATGTGTTGCCCTTGTTGTACTCTTTGCAGACAGCTTACAAGCTCTAGTACCAGGGCTCAGCATTCTCCATTGGAAATTCATTTGCGGGCTCATGCTTATTCCGCTCAACTTCCTACCACTGCGGCTTCTCAGTGTGACGAGTATCCTTGGTATTCTGTCTTGCACATCCAGTACGTCCACTACCTTGATCAGCGCGTGTCATACTAATTTCAAGAGCAGTTGTTCTTATTATATGCATAGATGGGTTGCTGAATACTGCAACGCCAGGTTCACTGATACAGCCAGCCAAGACTTCAATGCTGCCTGATAATTGGGGTACGCTTCCTCTCAGCTTTGGTCTCATAATGTGTAAGTCCATTGTCCATATCATAATCATTGCTGAGGGCTAACGTTTCGCAGCACCATGGGGCGGCCACGGTGTGTTTCCAAACATTTACAGAGACATGAGACACCCGCAGAAATACGGCAAAAGTCTCGTGGTGACTTATTCTTTCACTGTAAGCTGACATTTAATTAGAACAAAAGGATACAGTAAGAAGATCGTTTGGAACTGACAGCATCGCTCGCGATAGTATTCCCTGGATTGCGCCATGGCCATTGTCGGCTGGCTCATGTTCGGTGACACAGTCAGGGATGAAATTACTGCAAACGTTTTAGTGACAGATAAATTCCCACGCGGATTATCTATTTGCATGATAATATTTATCGCGACAATTCCGATTACAAAGGTGCCTTTAAAGTAAGTGCTGCGCGTGATTGATAGTATTTCTAGTACCCCTCGAAGAGCTTCTGGTTAACGTGCTTCAGCTGCCGGCCTCTCGTCGCTACCATCGAAGTTCTTTGTGGACTTGTCTCACGTCCCGAAAGGCCATCGATCCAACAAGGAACCATAGGTTCTGTATTGCGCAACGCTCTAAAAGCTGCAATACGTATAGCGGTTGTGGTCTTTATTGTGTTTATGGCAGTTCTCTTCCCGTCATTCGACAGAATTATGGCGCTCATGGGTTCGGCTCTGTGCTTCACAATATGCATTATACTGCCACTTGCATTTCATCTGAAGATTTTCGGCAAAGATATTAGCCCACGGGAGAGGCTTTTGAACTGGTTTGTGCTGGTAATATCATCGATATTAGCGCTCATTGGAACCACTTGGTCCTTTATGCCGCAGGAAAGCATTTCCGCATTCCGAAGATCCGAGCACTAATTGCTTCATCCTTCATGGCTAATGCATGTGACGCGTTCGTGTCATTGGACGATTATAGCGAAGTTATTCCTAACTTTCCCAGGATTCAAGAGTTCCTTGGCGAATGGCCTGGGGTTGGAATCTCCAGTATAGTCCCAAAGCTGATATATAAGTTTGTGGGACTTTTTGCTGCGTGCCAGAACAAATCCCATGCTTGATAAGATGTCTTGTAGCCGGGATTCTGTGAGGTAGCGAGAATTATAGACGCAGGCGGCTGGCAAAACGAGAAACAAGCAAGGACATGCACGTTGAGAAAGACCGGGTGGTGGCGATTTGGTTAAAAAAGATGAACAGCGTTTTAACATTTCACCCCTAACCACTGCGTCTGGTACATAGTTGAGTACTAGGGAAAGACTGATAATATGAAATTGTTCACCCTCGCTTCCTGGAAGAGGTCTTTCCATAAAGTCTTGCTTCAAAATCCCTGCTTCCTGTGAATTGAGATCGATCCTAGTAACTTCAAGAGATTGATTCATAGAGCAGGCATTCTTAGTGCTAAGGGCTCCAACCTCGAGCAAACGATACTTGTAGGATTTGCCATCAAGTGGCTGTAACCGAGAAGCTAGCCAGTCAACTAGAAGTTTGCTCGAGTCACCACCGCGAGTCGATGACTGGCCTAGTCTGCTCGCAATTTGGTAGCTTTCTAAACCACCATTTCTTTGTATCTGGGCATCGATTTTGGCTACCAAGGCTGCATCGCCGGTTTGCGAAGCCTGCGTTCGTGCTTTGAGTAGTCGATGATGTGAGCGAATGAGGTTTCGAGTTGCTTTTGACGATAGGCTTGCGTGGGCTGGCTTGACTGTTGGCGGACGGGTACGCGAGAGGAGAGCCGGCCTTTTGAACCAGTGTCTTTTCGAATTTGTCATGTTCGTCGTGGACTTCGTAATTCGGTTCCGAGTTAAAATTTAATGTGAGACTAAGGCGTAGCAAGGCCGGGGCTTGGAGGCATGCAAATCGACTGCCGCGGGCTGGAGCGGGTCGGCCAGACAAGTCAGCTACTTGCTTAACACGTGACAGGAGACCATAACCTAGTTGGTCTAGTCTAGCCTATTTAGGCTGATGCCAAGATATCCGAGCAGCCTGGAGAGCGAGAAGGTCAGGTGACCCACACAGCATCCGTAGGGTTTTCGCTAAACGAACACCTTCCAAATAATCCGACTTTCGACACTGCGACAATCACCACGACAGCGCCGGACGACAGCCATGGCCCCTAAGGTGGAAAACAAGCAAGGTAGGCTGATTTGTGCGATCCTTATCATATTGTTCGAATCTGGATATTTTTATCTCCCGAAGCCCGAGTTTGCGCGCATCAAGTGATACTTTCAAGTGGCAGCGTTGCAAGTGGGCAGCACTTGATTCAACGTGATTTCCATCTCAGAGCGCATCTGCGGGCTTGATCCGGCAGAACCCAAACTCAGCGTTGCTTTGGAACTTTCAGTTCAGCCTCTGTGATTTACGGGCCGATGTTTGCGATGAACGACTTTCTTTCAGTGACCAAGTACTGACATGTCGGATTGTGCAGGCAAGACCAAGCCCAGCAGCAAGGCTGGTGCTGCTGCCAAAGCAGTTCTGAAGGGTGCAGGCGTATGTATCACAATTTCAAGCGACTGCTTTTCTATCCGAGACTAAACTATCTATGATCTTCAGGCGCACAAGGCCCGCAAGGTTCGGACCTCGACCACCTTCCACCGTCCTAAGACCCTCCAGCTTTCCCGGTCGCCCAAGTACCCTCGCAAGTCGATCCCCCATGCGCCTCGTCTCGATGCCCACAAGGTCGTTCTCTTCCCCCTCAACACGGAGAGCGCCATGAAGAAGATTGAGGAGAACAACACCCTTGTGTTCATCGTGGACGTCAAGGCCAACAAGCGTCAGATCAAGCTTGCTCTCAAGCAGCTGTACGACGTTGATACCGTCAAGGTCAACACTCTTGTTAGGTATGTTCATTGAGCTCTACACCTGCCAAGATGATGGGTGGAACTGACGTTTGAAAGACCTGATGGCTCCAAGAAGGCTTACGCCCGCCTTACTCCCGACGTTGATGCTCTGGACATTGCCGCCACGAAGCTCGCTATCGTCTAGACGTGTCGAAATGGGAGAATTAAAGTGGGATTAGATGATTTTTCTTTTAGTTCTGTGTGGCGGTTCATCAATATCAATATACAATCAACTGCCAGTGCTTCAACGAGGGTGGAATGATCAAATCAAAAAATGAAAAGCATTACCATACTCCACAATATAGTAATGAAGTACAAATGACAAAATGGTAAACTGTCATATCTTGCCTAGTTTCTAAGGATATCCTGGAGGTGCAGTTTGGTCGTTGTGCAAAGCATAATTGTGACGCTTCTATGCAAGAATCGTTATGGGACGAGGATCGAGATACGGCATAAGTATAGTAAAGAGCTCCTAGCATGTCATTTGTTGATATACCCTAGTCAAAGATACGTATTGGACATTCTGCTCAAGAAGGACCTGACCTGAGACAAGGAAAGGACTGAGAAATCGTTCACAGCAGTTCAAGTGTTGTCTAGGTAAAACAAGTTTAGGAACAACATCACTGCCTCGGCTCTTATTGTCCCCGAAGGATTTCAAGGTGCTTTAACACGGCAAAGTTCGTATCCATCCATCTATCCACACAGTTCTGCGCACAAGCTTCTTCGGGCTGATCTAGGCGTCCCGAGGAGATCTTTCCAGATATGCACTTTTTCCAGCAGATATCGGCAAGGCCATGAACAGCTGATACGAGCAAGGTCAGCCGATGTTCATCCAGAGATATCTCCACTCAAATTGAGTAGGACTATTAGCTTTCTCACTCACATTGTTGAATATTGGACTTCTGTGCCTCATTGGCGAGGTACTGGGTCAATTCTTTTCTGTCGGCATCATTCAGCTTGGCGATATCGAGTTGCGTTTGAGAATCCATGCTGATATATTGAGGGCCAGGCCTGAAAGAATGTAAACAGAAATTTGATAAAATGGTGTATCGCAATTGGTAGGCTGGTGTTTTGTGAGGTGAACGCCACTCTTTTCCTGTTACCAAAAGTGAACTCGCACCACTAGGACCCGCATCGGGGCGGTATGCACAGGCAGAAAGCGGCACCGCTCCTTAAGTCTGGTTAAGCTGTCCATCATTTGAACTGATGAACTGAGTGTTAGCATAGTCCCGGGTAGTTTGTCTGTCTTCCTATTTTTCCCAGACAATTCGCTCCTTCTGCATTCCGCTGTGCTTCACGACTATGCCTCCGGTTCGAACATCCCGTAATCGCAAGCCACCTCCAGCAGGTTTCGATGATGTTGAAGATACCTTGCTCGAATTCAGCAACAAGATGAAAGACGCGGAAAATGCGTCGCACGATGGAAAAAAGAAGCATGAGATGCTGTGGCCCATTTTTCAGATAAGCCATCAAAGTGCGCGCTCTCTCTATTCGCTGTCCCGCTGTCGTCACCGACAACGCCTTTTCCTATGTCGCTTTTTCTACCCAGCAAACAATGTTTGTTCGCCGTAGCTAAATGTGATAAATCTAGGGTCTCGCTACATTTACGACCTGTACTACGAGAAAGAAGCCATTTCGAAACAGCTGTACGATTGGCTCCTGAAGAACAACTATGCCGATGCGAATCTGATTGCCAAGTGGAAAAAGCAGGGTTACGAGAAGGTCTTTCCCTATTCCATTCATGATATCTTCGAAGTTGCCTGCGTCGCAATAACGTCCGAGTTGCTAATTAGTTCTGCTTGATGGGCAAAGCTATGTTGCCTCCGCTGCATACAGACAAAAGAAACGAACTTCAATGCCACCTGCATCTGCAGGGTACCAAAAGCGCAACTGAAAGAGGAGCAAACGATTCAATGTGTCGGGTGCGGCTGTCGAGGCTGTGCCAGCAGCGACTAGACTCATGCCTTCAGAGATGCAAATGTCAGCCAGCAACTCTCGAGTGTGCAGTCTGTCGCTTCGCTTGCTCGAAGAGATAGAATGCTTAAGGGGACGAGGCTTCGGTTCGGCGTTTGGGAGGATTGGTTTTCTGCTGTCTATTCGAATTTAAGCTTTTCCACTGTTGCTGTCTAATCTGCCTGGGCTTGGATAGGTTTTCGACCTTGTGTTTGTACCTGTTTCCCCATTTAGCTCTCCTTCCATAATCATCATGATACCCACTACAGGACAATCCATATTCAAGCAAAGTAGAGTGAATTTGTGAATCTTACTTGAAAACATGGCTGAATTAAATTAGGTACACACAAATCAGGTTAAGATTCAAAGTTCGTGAAAACCATTGCATGCTCGTGCACATCTGTTTAGATGTCATCGTCAAGGTCATAAGAAGGTCATCTCAGGCGCAAGGCATATTCCCCCGCTTCCCAAAGAACGCCGGAAACATCAAATCAGTTGGAGCTCGATGAATTGACATAAGTGAATCCAACAATTACATGAAAAGAGATTTCGTGATCTAGCCCGCTAAGGTCGTAGCGAGAGTGGCCAAATGGCGTGGAATATGTCGAACGCCCCTATGTGAGAAGGTTTGAGCCTGCTACAGATTCTGTACTCGGTAGGTCTTGCATCTCAGCCGGGGATCCGCAATATCAGAGCAAGGATGTGTTATTTCGATTGTTGAAGTGAGGCCTCGGAGGGTATGCTTTGAGCCGCGGAGGCTCTTCCTTGCTTGCATCCCCTATCTTCTGGAATCCCTGCAGGAGATCGACGCCATCAACCTCTCCGGGGCTTTCATCGAAGAGATGAAACGAAAAGAAGTCATCATGAGTGGCGTCGACGTAGCGTCCAGGTTCTGGAGCTTTTGACGGCGAGTCAGGAAAAAGAAGACCCTTTCTATTAGATGATAACGATGACATGCCGATCCGACTGTTGACGCTCACTGCTGTGATATCAGCCAGTATACTATTGCTTGGACCGCCGGGATCCACTCGGCCACGTTTTGCCGAACGTTTCTCAGGAGACCCGTAGGCCGGAGTTGATATGTTATCCGCTGCGGCATCGGCGAAAACATCGAAGCTTGCATGTAGACTATCACTTGGTGTAAGACTTTCATCTTGAATGTTGAAGGCAGGGCTCCATGGAAGATCCTCCTCCGTTAACCCCAGATGCTTGATAGGGGAATTCACCATCTGCTGGATTCTCTTCCGGTGGTTACGAAGGTTAGTGTTCGGTGACACGGATGGAGGCGGCTTTGCGGGTTTCTTGAATTTGATCAAGGGAGTAATAGGAGGAGGTAGCATGCTGACATATTCACCACGAAGCGGTGAGGAATTGACAATTATTCCTGATTCTCTCGTCACCCCGCAATGACTCGGACTTATGTCGTGAGATGAGCTTCGAATTCGGGCAATCTCTTCTTCCGCGCGGCCACGTTTGATGCGAGGGGGCTCGATGTCCAGGTCGGAGGTCAAGATGTGTCCAGCCTTGTTTGGTCGCATGGCAGAGGACTCCAGGGACGAAAAGTAACCGCTATCATTCATGGTTTGCGATTTCCGCTTGCTGTTGATAGGAGCAATGCTAGAAGACGTATTGTTCTGGGACGGCGTTGGAGGGGTTCCTTGCCGGGAATAGCGAGGTGGTATAACGGGAGGTGATGAGTGTATCGGTGACGGAGGTGAAGAATGGGGGACGGACGGCTGTAAAGCAGTATAATTCGCACTTTCATCGCCTGTATCATCCTGAAGAGCAGGGTCGGAAGCAGGAAGTGTGGCGTCGGATGACAGATCCACAGTCCGCGAGGGCCTCGGTGTTGTGGTAACTATCGGTGGCGGAACAGCCCATGTCGTCGTCCTCAAGCTCTGCGAGGGAATAGGTTCTCTTGGGGGAGCTGCTGGAAGTGGGAGACTTGACATTGTCGCCCGGCGCAAGGGCCTATCTTTGAGGAATTGCGCTTCCATCCCAGGCTCAATAGCCCAATAATTGCCTTTTCCTGGATCATCTTTCGGCCTCTCCTGCTTGATAAAAGCTTTGTTGAGGCTCAGATTATGACGAATGCTGTTCTGCCAGCCAGGATCACTATTCTTGTAATATGAGAAAGTTTCAGATATCCACTTGTATATTTGTGCAAGGGTTAGTTTCCTGTTAGAAGCACGCAGGATAGACATTCCAATCAGGGTCGCATAACTGTAAGGTGGCTTCGTCCCATCATCTTCAATGAGCGGCATGTCGTATGGTTCTGGTACTTGAATTGCGGCAATGTCTTCGCGCTTGAGTATCTTAGTTGGCCGCTCCTTTAGTGGTGCAGCCTCGAGGAGAGTCCTCTTCATATGATGCTTAGAAATCAGGGTTGGCTCAGGAAAGTCAGCAAAACTGTCACTTGGAGTATCATCCGACACATAGGTCTCTTTATGTAACCGTTTCCCAGGACCCACTGAGGGAAATGTCGTGAATAGGGCGGACTGTGGCATAGACGAAGTAGCAGGCGGATGGCTGGGTGCGGGCGCAGAGGGTCGCTTTGCGGGTGAATCGGTCATGAAAGCCGGTGGAGAGGGCGCTGTAATTGGAACAAACCCCAACTTTCCTCGACCTGCAAGTGAAGCAGCTGAACCTTTATACGCCTTAGTCGGCGATAATCGTCGAGGTTTAGAAGATATCGGACGCATCGCGCGATCTTGAGTTGAAGAAACGTTTTCAGTAGGCTGCAATGGCAGCGGCGAAGGTTCTAGATGGGGACGTGGCTTGAACACGACCCTGTCATGAGGTAGAGAGGATCCCGAATTCGTCGAGGCCGAGTGTGCTGAACTCATGACTGCCGCAAGTGCGACCTGTTCTTGTCCAGAGAAAAGGGAATGACAGGTCGATGGGTCCCAACGAGACCGTTATTCTTGAGGACAAGGCAATGGTATACGTTGGGCTTCGAATAGGGTACCGAGGGTTGAAGTCAGTCAACGTTTACGCAGTGTCACAACCAAGTGAAGCCCAGGTAGCAGAGTGTCACCCGTACGCTGCGAGGATGAAAGGTCTGTGCTAAGGGCCTCGACAGTCAGGTAGCCTAATGCAGTTGAGGCGGCATAAAGTAACGACCAAGCTCAGTTGTGTTCGAGCGAGATGGGTTGAAATGCGCTTATAATTGCAGCTGGCCAGAAGGTAGCTTTCAAGTGCAGACTGGGCTTTTCTTTCTGTCTTACTGATATCACTTATCAACTGATTCGGATGCTGCAGAAATGGGCGAGGGGAAGAAACTAGTTGGCAATTTAAGTAGGTCAGGCGGGTAGTTTGGCAAGGTCCTAGAGACTGAAGGGGTCAATAGATTATCGTGAGAGAGGAGATGACCAGAAAGTGGCTCTGGCCTTCTAAAGTCAAATGCCTTTGCCTGGTAAGGTAGGTCCCTCCAGGCAAGGTGGGGGGGAGGGGGGAAGTGGAATATGCGCGAGATATTTGGAGAACAGTAATTCCTAGTTGAGTTGAAGAATGAAAGGGAAGAAAGGCTGCGGACCTGTTGATAGTCTGCGCGCGTCTTGCCCGTCGTATGGTATGGTTTTGACGCGTGACGGGGACGCGTCTCCTCCGGCGAGGGTGATCCGAATCCAACGACCCAGTTTCGTTACACATGACAATACGCATTGAGCTTGGTCGTGCTTGAGGAGGCATGTTCAAGTAGGTATTAGGCACCTCTGATTTGTCTGCCTCAAACTCCTTACTTAATCACCGCCAGGAGAGTAGCTCTCAGCCTCCAATCACTTGCTGTAAATGTGGCAGATCATGTGGTGGGCCACCCGCGGACTTAGTACCTGATAGGCCGGTAGTACCTAGGCATTGACCTCAAGGTTGTGTTCTCCCGTTCAACTAGAGTGCCTCTCCGGCTTGGACTACGGGATATTGACTATAGACACCGCCCGTATTTCTAAAGACATTGGCCTTAAACCTAGCAAGGGAAGGTGTCTGCCTTGGCACTGCTAACACGATTAGGTATTTACTACTATACAAAAACAAATGCAGGCAGAGTAGAAAAACCGGTAGAATTGACTATATATGGCTTACTAGCCCTATATACGGAGTACTACCAAGAATACTAAAATACTAAAATACCACTGAAATGACTAAATTTGATATTGATTTGAAGATAGATTTCTCAAATTTCTTCAACTATTCAAGTGACTACTATTCAGATACTAACTTGGATAGCTCAGAGCTAAAGAATAAAGTTGAAATTCTACTATTTATATTAAGAGTGTACTGGTAATGATAAGAAGATTTATATATGCTTACCGAGTGTGCTTGTAATGCCAAGAAAACCACTATACTGTGGTTTAAAGGCCAATGTCTTTAGAAGTACGGGCGGTGTCTATAGTCGATATCAGACTACGGAAGGCCCAATCCGTACTACCTACCTAACTTGAACTACCAAGTCAACTACCCAAGTCAACTACTGCTTCCTACCAACTACGTAGCAGTCTAGCACAGCACATACAGTACATAATTCTTAGTACTGCCAGGAGATTTGTGGTTTACGGAGCACATAAGACGCTGCCACAGTGGTAGTAGCACCTAGCTACTTCAATGTATACTCCTAAATCAAGTAGTATTAGTAACTCTGTACAGAAAAGCCACGTATTTATACCGTAATCCATTTTCATATTTGAAAGGACAAAGAAATGATAGAAATATCTTTCCAAGTTGGCCTTTTTCCATTCAGTAGGCATGCAAGTCATGGCAATCGTGTGTGCATGCACTGTATCGCATTTAGTACCTGCATAACGATGTATGGGCGCGCATTATACTGCAGTCTAAATCTAATCTAACCCCGGTGTCCAGCCATCCCTAGTTCCTCTATGGTCTGATACTACTTTACAATGAGGCAAGGTATACCAATCCGTACACCCTATTCTGTCTGAGCGAGGAAACACACGAGGTTCAAAGATACCCCTTTCTTCCTAATCCGGGCTTAAGATATTTTCTCTTCTTTAAAACAAATACAACAAGATTACTTTAATGTCGAGACCTGCTCCGGGCTGAGACCTTGAGTGCAAGGTCGAAGCCGTAAGGGCCCACCCAGTCTTTGCCTTACCTGATTCATGGGCGTTGAAATCTTGGACTCTTCAGCACCCACTCAAAGCACCAGCGTTCCTGGCTTGAATCGGGGATCTTTACTTCTTACAGCTAACTGTGCGCCGCTTATTCTCTTGTGGCACTGAGTTCGCGATTACATGCGTCCCTGGTTTTACGAGCCTGTTGCTCATACGTACTTCCGAAACAGAGTCCCATACCAGCCCTTCGGCAAACGCTCATGAGAATTGTGGCACAAACTTGCGGCGTCAAATACCATGGCATAAGGCAAGTCAGGAACGACCACCGTTCTATTCGAATTCCTCCAAGGGTTTGCCGGGCGATATGAACAAAAGTGTATGAACAGAAGAGGATCGATGGGAAAAGCTGATGTAACAAAGCGCCGACACATGCACACCGATAAAGGCAAGCGATACAAGACGTGCAATAAAGGAATCATAAGGTATAAAAAACTAAGAAATAGCAGGAAAGAGGCCCCGCGAGATGATGCGAGGCATGACACAAGCTGCACGTAATCAGCAAAACAGGCAAATCGGGGGTTAGGTAATCCATAGAGCAGAATCAATGTGTATCGGAATCGACTTCTTCTCAGACCAAACTCTGCAAGAGATATCTTGTACTGCCCAAGACTTGAATGTGCTTTTGATGAAGTACAGATGAAGCAAGCAAAGAAAATAATACCCCGGAACAGTGGTCTAGTCTAAAAAGGTGAACATGCTGGTATGAATTATGTTTAGGGCGCGATCGGCGTCTCTCTCTTCGATAACACAAGAGATATTAATCTCGCTTGCACCTTTAAGCAAAGATAAATCAGCGTTTTTACATGAAAAGGTTGTTCCAAGCATGTACTTACCTTGGGAGATCATTTCGATGTTAACGTTGTTTTCGCCCAGAGTCGAGAACATCCGTCCTGCGACTCCAATCATATTCTTCATCTGCTTTCCGACAAGACTAAGAATGGCCATCTCAGGTATGATGTCGACAGTCCCATATTTTTGCAGATCCAGGATAGCCCCTTTGAGGTCATCATCAATGATTTGATATTCGTCCCTTCCGGTCCCGTTGAGAAGTGGCAGTTCAGAATGAAGAGCCATTGAAACATGCACCTCGCTTGTCGAGATCAAATCAATGGAAAGCCTCCATCGATCGAGCACGGAGAATATTCCCGCAAAGAAACCATGCGAGAGTGATCGTTTGTTAGAGTGTACGTTGATAACGAGAATCTTGTGTTTGATTGTCACAGCCGTAGGGCGCTTTGGCCGCTGCACAAGACTCGGACTCCGGGTACGGAACAACCTTGGATCATGGCCAGGGGTCGTCTTCTCAAGCTCACTAGAAGAATCGGGAAAGATAATAGTACCGTCTCCCCGCGGGTTCATGACGTTCTTTATGCGAATTGGAATTTTAGCGCGGATGACTTGCTCCATGGTAAAAGGGTGTATCACTTCCGAGCCATAGAAGGTTAACTCAGCTGCTTCAGCCGGGGTAATCGCAGAAAGCAGGCGCGCAGTCGGCACTTTTCGTGGATCCGCTGTGAAAATGCCATCCACTTCTTTCCAAACCTGCAATTCCTTTGCTTTGATCCCCACGGCAACTAGAGCAGCACAGAGATCAGTGTAACCACGTCCGATCTGATCAAGAAGACCACCAGGCACAGTCCCAAAGAATCCAGTGACAACAGGGACCCTATCTTCGCAATCTGCAATTTTTCTCCCAAGAGCAGCAGCCAGATTGTTATAGAAGTCTTGATCAAGACCCTGGCTGGAGATAGGAAAATCAATAATCTCAGCCAGATCCACATACTGCGACTTCACCCCCCGATCTTCCAGAAACGCAGCCATAAGTCTGCAACTCAGCTTCTCCCCCGTACTGATTACCTTATCGATGCATCTTGCGCTAATCTCTCCGAGGGTTTGTGCGGCCTCCAGAACCTTGAGTACTTTGTCACACTCGGCGTTTATGTCGGACACCAGCTGTGACTTGAGTGCGTTTGACTGAATTTGGTCGTGGACCACCTGAGCATGTTCTAGCCGTACGGCCTCGACAAGAGAGGCATATTGTTGAGATAGAGCGTCTTCTGCATCCCGCGCTGCTCGCAGCAAACTACCGATGAAGTGATTGATTAGATTTTAACCAAAGCGACTGGGGACATGACACTAAGATAGTGTGGACAAGTACAGTCATTGTGGATGCGAATGAAGAGGTATGACTCACCGGTTTGTGGTACCAGCAGCTTTGGTCGAACTGCTTCGCGCTGAACAAACCACAGCGACACGATGAACTGAAAGACTTGGACTAGATAGAAGCGATCAATACTCTTTGTGGCTCGTCATGTCTTGTGCCAAAGGACCGTGAACACCTACAGAACGACCTGGTCAATGATATTCAAGGCGAACTTGCCGACGCTTGTACCACCAAACTTCTGTACGATCCAATTGCCGTCAGACGAGTCCCTGGGGTCGGCATTGACCATGCAAAAGGAATTCTGCTCAACGACTAGCTGTTCATTCATGCTGATTTATGGAGGAACTGGCTTGAGTCCTAGCAATCAGGAAGTAAGTGGCATGCCCTCGCGGTGGCTCCGGTTGCGGGACAGCCATTTTTATGTGCACCTGGCGGGGTCTGCGAAAGCGGAGCACAGCATTGACAAAGGTGAGCGAATCAATTTTTACCTTTTGCTGTTCCGCCTTTTACTGTGCGGATCACGATATCGGAAGGGAAAAGTCTGACTGTTATATGTTCATTAGTCATGACTTCGAGCTTACTACGTAAGTCAGTTAACTGTAACTGACCAAAAATACTCATAGTCAAACTGTTCTAATCAACTATTTGTACTGTTATCTTACCTGATCATTTAGTATGTAAGTTATTGTGAACGGAGAAGCCAACTAACTTTGGACCTACATACTCCGTACTCCGTAAGAGTAGGTACTTAGTTCATTAATTCGCTTGCTGGCTGCTGTACCTACACGAGTGTATTGTGCAGCACCAAGTCTCTGAGACACTTGTTTGGACATCTTCCCCAAAATCATTAGTATTGTCTCGAGCAGCAGCTGCTTATCACCAGTCACTCACAGGCTGGCTGTATGTCTAATTTCCTCCCAGATGCTGAAGCACCTGTCAAACAAATTATGTGTAAAGAAGTTTTGTTTAGTTGCATGACACATAACTTACGGGTAAGATCTATGCGCCCCAGGTCGAAAGTGTATCTCAGACCCACCAGACCCTGCTCTTTCTTCCAGCTAAATAGGTTTGTATCACGTCTTAAATGAAATCTAATCTGAGCCGTGAAGGCTTGGTCAGTTCAAATGAGAATTTAATAATTTCTTGGACCCCCTATGAAACAGTATGATCATCGCTTCTGTCAAGCTCCTACTGTCGCCTACTTCGGAACCGGGCGCCGTACTAATCACAGTGCAGCCTGTCTAGATCTTGTAATTGTAGCATGATCCATATCAAGAGTGTCCGCTCAGCGGCCCCACAGGCAACAATTTCAGTCAATAAAACTCACCAGCTATTGTTCGCAACAACATTGCCCTTGGGCATCCCTCAACTCAACTGCCAAGTGTTCATTGCTTCTTCTACGTCATTTTGTGAATCTCAACACTCACAATGGATCACCCAAGCGACGGTGTCCCGACATGCCCCTTTTGCCCCTTCACTGATGCCAACAGTGATACTGTCGCACAGCATGTGGAATCTTGCCATCCCGATAGTGACATACGAGTCCGTCACGGGGCCAGTCACCGATCTGCAGACCGGGATTTCATGATGCAACCTCAGCCATCGATCGCAAGGAACAAAGAAGACCTGCCGGGTAGATACGTCGAGTGCCCTTTTGGCTGTGGGGAGACACTTATAGGAGCGGAGTTGGCAGTTCACCTTGATCTACACACTGCGGAGGACATTGCTCTCGAGGAGGTGTCGACTAATGCAGCAGATTGCCCGGATCCCACTAACCATGCTCACGAGCTATGTATTGATAGTTCAACTTTTTCCAAACATCCACTTGAAGTATCCAAACCACCTACCGTCTCAACGGATGGACTTGAGGGGTATGCTTCAATAGGAGAATCAAAGCGTCTTGGGGTATTCACTCTCCCAACTCTCTATTTCTATCGTACTTGCAGACAATTAAGCTGTCGCATGCACCCTGGAGCACGCTGACATTTCTTTAGAGGTCAGAATTAGGGCCTCATGCGCATGAGAAGCAGATGCCTTCGTGGCTGCGAAAATTACTTGAAAGGGGTCCTAAGTCGACCTCAATAAATACCATATCGTCCAATGGAAGGCTGGAAAAGACGGAAATCTTTGAGAACGAAATCACAGACGTGATTCCTGTGCTGGCTCAATTATGTGATCGAGATACATCTGTCCAGCGCGCCTTTCTCTGTAGCCCCATTGTCCACCAAATTTCGAAAACCCCTAGGGAAGGTGGCTTTTGTGGCTATAGGAACATCCAGATGCTGATTACATATATCAAGAATGCTCGGCTTCCTGGTTCTGAGTTCTTAACGGGGGGCTTGCCCACAATCCTACAACTCCAGGATATGATTGAGAACGCATGGGATAGAGGATTCAACAGTGTAGGGAAAATTGAAACCGGGGGCATCCGGGGCACTAGAAAATATATTGGGACAGCCGAAGTGAGATTGCCTTTTTCTATTATCATAAGTCGGGAAGACATCTGATTGACATATCCTTCTATAGGCCCAAGCACTGTTTTCGAGCCTCGGTATAGGGTAAGTCTTTGGCCCGTTTCCCCGACATTCAGATACAAGATCTTGACAGATTATAGGTGCATAGCCACTAGCATCGGTCGCACAGAGAGCATGCGAGCTCACGATGCATTATTCATGAACATTGCTTCCTATTTCCGAGACGCATGCAGCCTAGAGGTGGAGGACAAAGTCATCTCCACAAGCCTGCCTCCCATCTACTTTCAACATCAGGGTTTGGATAGCTCCTGCCTTTTCAAGCTACATGCCAAGTGATATCTAACATTCGAATTCTCACGCCTAGGACACTCCATGACAATCATTGGGTTCGAGATCCGTGGCAATGGGAGTGCAAACCTCTTGGTTTTTGACCCAATGTTCAAAGCACCTTCTGCCATGAAACGGCTCAAAGACAATCCAGGGTTGAATCCTGACCCGGTCCGAGTCCTTAAAGGATACAGACGAGGTACCACATATCTTCAGAAATTCGATATATTTGAGATTCTCAAGTAAGTCATGGCATCCTCAGGTGGTATAACCGCTGACTCACGAGATTGCAAAATCAGACTTCAAGCGACCTGACGAATTTATGAGTCTGAGTCCATCACGAAGCATGAATGTCTGTGCAGATGGCCACAACCCTGAGATCAATGCTTTGATATAATCGGAAATTCCTCACTTTCCATAGAGCAGCTGTAGTCATAGATTGCGATAACGCTGTTGTGTGAAACACTTCTGATTTCTCTCTTAAGGACATACGTAGCCAACATGCCACGCATCTCTAGTGTAATAGGTTCGCACTCTTGTTCGACGACCAATGTAAATGACCTGGGAACAAACGGCTGTCATCGGTCAGTATGTTGTTCCGGTCTTGCCGCGCGGCGCAAGGATCAGGAACCGATCGAACCCCACCAGAAATTTCCTTTGTCAGGATCTATCAATCAGTGCAGCAGGATTCAGCTAGTCAACGTGAACGGCAAGTCTAGAATGCGAGCGACTCCGAACATCATTGTTACAGGCACGCCTGGTGTAGGAAAAACGGTTCACTGCGCACAGCTAGCCGAGGAGACTGGTTTGCGACACCTTTCGATCAATCAAATTGCAAAAGATCGGGGTTGTTACGACACCTATGACCAAGAACTGCAAACATGGGTTGTCGATGAAGACAAAGTGCGTCCTACATGGCTTTCTAAATTTCTGCTTCTTCCATTATAATTTTATGCCTGTTCGCTACTTGCGCCTCTTCCTGCCATACCAAACAAGTGGATACTAAACAAATGCGAGTCTCAGCTTTTGGATGCCGTTGAGGAGGAGCTGCTGAACGGCGGCTATCTGATCGATTGGCACGCCTGTGATCTCTTTCCCAAATCTTGGGTTGATCTCGTGGTGGTCTTACGTTGCCCATCGACCTCCGTTCTATATGACCGCCTAACATCGAGGTACTTTCTCAGCCCTTAGCATCTCCCATCGGCATGTCATCTTCATAGGGCCTAGTGTCTGACCATAATTCGCTTTCATACAGGGGTTACAATCAAGCAAAGTTGCAAGAAAATCTGGATGCGGAAATATTTGGTGTTCTTCTCGATGAGGCCCGCGAATCGTTCGATGAAGAGATTGTGGTTGAACTAAATAGTGAAAAGGATGATGATGTAGAATCTAATTGTGCACGAATTTCTGGATGGATAGCGTCCTGGAAGGATAGCCAGGCATTAAATGCAGACTGACTATTTTTGGAGTGTTAAGGTCGATCATCTTCGCTCCAAATGGGCTTCGTCGGAGCTTGGAAAAATCAGATCATGATTGACTATGAGTTAACCAGGCCTGTAATTTGACCAGGGCTTTGTATCTGTGGGAGATTTGATTCTGATCAAGGGTGAGTGATCGAAAAGATGAACGAAGGTGACGAATCCTCTACATACCTTCTCATCCTTGTCCATCTCGGCATACGTTCTGCCTTGATACTCGAAGATCGGGTCCCACCCTAGGACAAAGCATAAGTAATCATGGGTAAAAACTGCTGGCTTACAATTGGTTCTATGTACAGTACATACCGAAGTTTGTAGGACCTCGTGGTCGGACAATAGCTCCCTTCATAGCTTGTGTCAGTGGTAGACACAGCGGCAAATCTCAGTCAACGTTACCTCGGTTCTACCTTGAAACAGAACAGGTTCCGACCCAGGACCTTCAGAGAACGCGAAAGTGCAGACGGCCTCCGCTGTCTTGGTATCAAATGAGTCAAGCATTTTGTTCAATCCTTCATGGCCCAAAGTATCAAGAAAGGATTTGCTTGATAGACATCAGCATAGCAGGCCAGAGCATCGCTAGGCAAAGGGAACATACATATAGGGGCCTGGCAGACCCTTCAGCGCATGGAATTCCAGAGCTGTATCCTCCGTCAAAACCGGACCTCTAACCTATGCGATGATATCAGCGGGATTGACCTTGATGAACAGACAAGCTTCGAGAATGGCAGCTGCTCACCGCTTCGGCAGCACGTCTACATTTCTCCTTGGCAATCTCTTCGATTGTGCCCTGGATTTCAGGCACGTCGACCACCTGGCTGTCGACCTGGATTGCACTGCCTAAGATAGCTCTGACTTCTGCCAATTTGTTCTTGTTGCCTGTGATGAAATTCAGTTGTTTGAGAGCCGCCATGACTGCAAGCTCTTAATGCAAAAAGGACTAGTGTATAGGAATGTGAACCGGGCCTTGCTCGGAATAAGAAAATTGGTGCCAGATGAAAACATGGAAGAATAGGTATCGATTCATTGGTTTTATGTCGGGGAGTTAGTCAGTCCCGGTGGGTACGAATTTCTTTTTCTCCACAACCCCACGGATATTAACTAGTACTGCGCTCCAAGCATACTCGGAAGCTGAGCGGCCTCGGGTGGGGTAAAATTGTTGCTGGTCAAGCGGGTTAGAGAAACAGGGTATCTGCTTGCTCGCAGGACGATTGCGCTGATGATTTGAAAATTTATGAAAAGGATCTGGAATCTGGACAAGAAGGCCGTGAAGAGGCTGTGATAATGAGCGTATAGAATAGATCGACGAAGAATGATCGAGCGTTTTCCCGATTCAAACTTTCGCCTCGCGAAAAAGCTATTTCCAATGTACAAGCTATTTAGCGGTAATCAATCCCTCGCTGGTTTCTGCCATGTCTAGCCTTTCCTGTTGTGCCATCGCCTGAGCCGACACTATTTCGGCGAGCCGTTTAAGTCGCGGTGTTTGTAGCCCTTAAAAAATGTCAACGAAGCTCAGGACAGCAGGAGTAATGTCAATTCCACTTACAAGAGGGTGTATAGGTTTCCAAGGCTGTGATGACACGTGGCTCTGCAATCTCGTACGGGCCACTGTCTTCCATGTCAACGGGGGTCAGAAGAAGCACATCGCTCTTCTCAGTGACACGAGACGCAACGGCTTTCATGATTTCGCCATTGATAGGTTGTTCGTAATCAGCAACAAGATACTGGTTCAACAATTTCTGTATCTGGTTCGGGGACAGCCTAATTACAGATTCATTTCAATTAGCATATCGAAGGACCGGGTACTGCAAAGACAAAAGACGTGTACCTACATCCAGCAGATATCTTGGATAATCTCTATATCATTGAGGGTCGCCTTCTTCAACTGCAAAAGTTTCGTTGCTTGCTTGAATGGAATCAGTATCCTCTCGTAGCGTTCGAGTTCAATCAAAACTTACCATCAAATGCTCCAACTGCAGTGTGCCTTCGGGCATATCGTGGCTCTTACACCACTCTTCGATGCGGGTGATATTGTAGTTAATTTGCAAGCCACGTTTCCAAGATAGAAAATTCCTGCGCATCAGCAGGTCATTGAAAGCTGTAACGCCCACGAGTCGAAGAAGTTCGGTCACTGTTTGAGTAATGATAGACTCCTCAAGATAGAAAGCCTTCATGGCCTTGTAGACATTATTGAGAAGACTGAGGAGATTATCCATACTGTAAGCAGGATTGTTGTTGGACGGAAGAAGCTTTCCGAGGAATCGATTCGTTTCACTTGTAACGAAGCCTGGAAGCGACTGGGATTCGATGATCGCTGGTACAATCATTTTGAAGAGCTTTTTCTTTAGTACTTTCATCCAAGTATGGTAGATATTGAACTCGAGGCTCTCTAGATCGTGTTTGACAATCTCCAGCAGGCGATCATACTCGAAGTTATCAGTTTTTTGGGCTTCGTACCAATCTTCAGCCAAGAAAACGAACGATAGCATTTCGTGTACATTGGATAGCCAGAAAGCCCCAGGGTTAACGGCATCGTCGCCATCGTGCTGCATAACCTCTTGCTGTATCGACTGCATCACATTGGCCAAGAAGCGCTCTGATTCCTTCACGAAACCATTGTTCCACATTTCCGAAGTAACAAGGTTGATGAGGTATGCCGGGAAAAGAACCTCCTTCTCCGTAGGCGGAGGTGTAGAACTAGGTACTGGGATCTTTAGATTGCGAATCAGGCCCATTGTTACCTCTTCATTGAGTTCGTCTTCCTCAGAGAGAAGATTCTCGAGCTCTACCTCAACCGAATCCAAGCCTGGAGAAAATGTGTTGCCTGTGAATGGCTGCCGTCCCATTGCGGAGCTCGGAATTGCCATAGAGACTGGTCTTGGGTTGTAAGCTCCACTAAAGCGGTCTGTGTCAATACGTTCGGCACCAGCGCTACGTCTTTTGGGCTTGGGCTTTTTTGAAGACACCAGGTTGATCAGGCCAGCTGCGGGCGGTTGAGTTGATCCGCCGTTCGTATGATCACCACCCAAGCCATTGACGGGAACGGCCCGCTTCGCAATTTCAAGCTTTTCCTCGAGTTCGACGATTTGTTGACGAAGAGAAGCCTTCTCGTTCTCTGCCTCGCTGTTCAACTGCTGGAGTCGCTCCAGCTCTTCGTTCGCAGAACGGATAGATTCCCGTGATATTCTTTCCTCCTCCTGAAGTCTCTTCACCGTCGCCTGAGCATCATGATGATTTTGCTGCAACCTGTGCATTTCATCTTCCATCGCGGTTAAGCGAGCAGCAGTGATGCCAGCTTGATTGGCTTCGGCCTGCAGCTCTCTCGAACGATTTTCGAGGACATTGTGACGGCTTCTCCATGATTTCAGTTGGGTTTCATAGTTCTCCAATTGCGAGTTTAACGCCTTGTTCTCACGTTTCAATGACTCAAGGTATTGTGTTAGTTCTACCACCTTGTTCTCGAGCTTGTAGGATATTTGCTTCAGATCTCTTGCGTCTTCTCGAAGCTTTTTGTATTGCTTCCTAGCCTGCTTCCCTCTCCAGAGGTTCTGAACGATAACGACATTCTTCCGGTATTGCCTCCACGCGCGTAATTGCCGCCAGGAGCGGAAAGAGCGCTGTATTACTTTGGCTGCATTGCCATGTATGGTGTCTAGGATGTTTTGACGGCAGAGAAATCCTTTAGCAACCGACTGGAAAAGGATGAAGTTCGCGCGGATTTGATTGTACTTCTTTCTTTCCTTGTGCCCTCTCCACACTCGTTGAATAGTTGTAGCTGCTTTTATCTTGCGAGTCTCAGCCGCATACTGCCTCGCAAGAAAACCCCGAACCAGAGCTTGGGTTGTGAGAATAGAGGCACGAGCATCGAGATACCTGCGCCGGTAGTACTTGCACCGCAGATTCTTCTGAATCATTATTGCACACTCATTAAGCCTGGATGTACGGAGATTCTCCAGAAAAGCAAGCATGCCAGCGCGGAAGAAAATTTTGGTCAAACCTAACTGATACTTGTCTTGCTTTTGCTGAGTACCGTCCCCGAGAGCCTTCTGTAAAATGGCATGACACATATCTCTGATTTCCGACGTCCATTGCGATGAATGGCATAGCATGTAGTATCTGACTGCGAATTCTTCGTAAGTCCAGCGGGTTGGGTAGCCAGCTGTACTGATACGAACAGTTTCGAGAACACCGCAGGCTCTCAATTGACTGAGAACCATTGGTCCCTCGAATTTCCAGGGCTCCTTGGCCTCATTGGGTTTGATACAGCGGATATAATGAACATCTGTCGAGTTGATCGTGTTCATTAGCTCGATCAATGATGACTTAAATATTCCACCAAGAGTTGGCTTGCGATTGACAGCGACTCCGATCTTGCGCCCCGGAGCGGCAACAGGTTTAGAGGAAATCGAAGCCGAATCCTTCTCACGGACAGCGGCAGCAGTATCGAGAATCTCCTTCACAAACTCGTTAGAGGAGCTGCGCAGGATCTCCATGTGTTCGTCAGGTACAGTATCCCTGTTCTTCTCTATGAATCCATCAGATTCATACGTTACATCGACAGCGTAATGGCAGATCGTGAACGCAGATTTGCCGAAACGCGGCTTTTTATAGAATTTCTGCTTGTCTGCGGCAAAGTTATGATGGAGCTTGGTCACGAACTGCTCATCTGAACCCATAGGTAGTCGGGACTCTTCATCCAGGAGAGACAGAATACCCAGTTTCGCTTCAATCAAATCAATACAAGGTTGGTTATCTGAGAAGTCAATGAAAGTCCAATCTATCTGTTCACGTATGTATTCTTCTTGCTCAAGTTTGAAGACGTGCTGATTGAACTCCTGCTGCAATTTCTCGTTGGCATAATTGATGCAAAACTGCTCGAAGGAGTTCTTCGCGAAATGTTCAAATCCGTAGATATCCAAAACTCCAATGAAGGATCTAAAGTTGTTCAAGATATTATCAGTAGCCAGACCGCGGTTGATCTTGTCAACAAGCCAATCGAACAAACTCGAATAGATGAATTTGGCAACAGAGTCTCTCACAACAATTGCTTGTTGCTGGGTGAGATTAGAGGTAATCTTTTCACCCCTTGTGATCAGCTGCTTTTTCACTATCCATTTTGAAAATTCGTTGGCATCAATCCCAAGCATATCACACGCTCGTACAAGAGAAGGCTCCGAGGGTGACAAATTTGAATCCGTCCTTGTAGAAGTAATCTTAACATTGCCGAGATGAAGCAAGGCTGCGAGCACTCTGAAGATTTCCACTTGGGTTCTCTCGGGCACTCCAATGGTACTCAAGGATCTTTTTGTCGCAGTGAATTCCGTTCGATCATCAACACCATCAATGGTCGGTGTTCCGCCTTGACTAAGATAATCAAAATCTTCGATCGAAGTCAGGCCAAGTTCTTGCCTCTCTGAATCCGTCGCACCAGCTACCAACTGGTAGAAGATATGGTAATTTCGCTCTTTGAGGGGCTGAAACACCAGACGAGATCTCTCCAGTAGATAAGTCCTGATCTTTGCACCTATGATATTGGTTTTGTCATCAAACATAATCTCGATGTACTTCCCAAAGCGAGAAGAATTATCATTGCGTGTTGTCTTCGCATTTCCAAAGGCTTCCATGACAGGATTCGTGGCTAAAATCTGCTCTTCGGTCTCGCTTATAGCATCTGCCCGACTCGTGGTATACTTGCCAGGCTGGTCAGAGGATTCACGGGTCGCAAAATAGCGCATGATATACTTCGCGCTGACAGTTTTTCCGGCCCCGGATTCACCAGAAACAACAATGGTCTGATTCTTCCCATCTCGTAGCATATCGCTGCGCATATTATGTGAGCTGGGGAGACAGATCATGTGAAGGTTCGGCTCTTACGCGAATGCTTCCTCGGCAATTGCGAATAGATGAGGTGCTTGTGAGGCTCGATGTTTTCCGGCATAAACCTGCACCATTTGAGGAACATAGAGAGAGTCCACTCGGGCAAAGGGATTTGTAGCGATAAGGACGATGCCACTATAGGTATATATTTCTTTCTGTGCATAACGTAGTTTTATAGCCTGGAGAACTTCACGAAATATTAGCTTCCACTTACTTTGCGGCAATATAACCAGTACATACCAGCAGGCTCATTGAGGTGCGACAAATTGGTAAGATCCTCACTGGCCTCCAGCATGGCAGGATTCATCAGCGGAGGCAAGTTCGGGTTGTTGTCAATCTGCAATTCAGCTTGACTGGTTTCGAAGGTTTTTGTCTATGCCACCAGAAGCTTTAGCCGCCTGATTTGAAGGGCTCCATGGAAGAGCTAGCAGTACGTACCTCTCCATTCTCTATAGAAAAGATGAGTTGCACTTTATCCCCATCAACAAGTTTCTCCTTCACCTCAGACGCAATCCAGCCCTCCGTCGGATCAGGCTGCCAGGCCCGCGTGCCCACCTCGTAATTATGAGCCATTTAGCCACTTTGTTGCAGTCGAGACGGGCAAAGTGAATAGGGTCGGACCAGGAAATCAGCGTGTAAGACGGGGGACTCTCTTGTATCGGTGACCAATACCCCAAGCATCCAGCGAAGATAAGGAAGAAATATAGTCGGTTCCGGTGCAAGTATTCAAAGTATCATAGTCTTGACACGCTAAGGGTTGAAGGAGGTTCGCTCAAGAAAGAGAATGAGTTTCATGCTTCTTTCAGGGAGAAATTATTGAAATGGCTAACAGCTGGCGTTACCGAGCCCGGAGCCGCAAGCCGCAAGCCGCAGCCCCTGAGGCGGTAATGGACGGCCGCGCCACTTGTCGAGACAATCTCCACAGTGGTAGTCACAGGCCAAATGCCAAGGCCTATCATCTATCAAAACCCTTCGTTTATATACACATCACTCAGGGTTCATTGTCAAGTGACGAAGCAAAGAGAACTTCATATATGACTTGCTAATGCAATAGCAGCTGCAGGCAACAGAATTTAGGAAGATGTCTCGTCTCTGTGAAATGAGCATGACAGCTACAACTCATGTAGTATTTTTCTGTCTTACGTACATTATCTACTCCTGAATTGGCGGTGTGGTGGGCTCGCCCGCAACCAAAAAGGCCACAAGCCCCCTCGGATTGTACAGACTGGCTCAATTGTCGCTCTCGAAAGACAGGACTTGCTGTAATGAGATCATCTGGTCTCTGCTCCTTTTACTGCTACTGCTAGTAGTTCTTGGTACGGAGATGCGACTTATCAGAACTGGGGCTAAGTATGCACTTTATTGCCCAAGCCCCGTGGTCTGACGAAGGCCATACTATGGTGAGTCAACGGCGATAAGATTTTGTAGGACTGCCGCCTGAAGATACAGAAGTCGACGCAAAATCATGGAACTTCATGACTTTGAGGAACATGTTTATTTCCGCATACTTTGCTGGTGCATAAACACAAATAGGAGATTAGGAGTAAGAGGCAGTTGAAATAAAAAACAATTTGACGCATTATTGAATGGAAGAAAGGCACAGAGGGCACAACACAAAACAGCGGAGATAATCAAGCAGCTGAAAGTCCGGTCATGGCTGAGATACACTTTTCGTGGCTGCGTAAAGACAAGCCATATTGCTCAGCTTTGTTTGCATTCTGCTGCCTCCTTCTTTGGCTTGGAGGTGCCATCCTACCCACAGTCAGCACAGGAACAAGCGATCTTGAATAGATTATCAATGCTATGTCATACCTCTTCCTCTGAGTCCTCGTCAATATCACGATCGGTACCTCGCTCATCGTCTTCGTCTTCGTCTTCGTCATCTTCATCATCCTCCAAGTCAAACTCATCTTCATCCATGTCATCACCGAGTTCCTCAAATTGAAGAGCCTCCCCAGTGAACCAGTCAATTGCTCTAGGAATAAGCTTTTCCTTGATATCTTCGCCAAGCTGGTAGTCAAGCTCAAGACGCTCCTCGATATCAGTGGCGACAGTGTCATCATCATCGGTTGGGGGCTGCGGGGGTGAGAAGAAGTTGAAGAAAGACTCCGTGGGAACGGTAATCTTGACAACACGAGTTTGCTTGGTATCTGGGTCATTTAGTAACAGGTTTGGTTTCCGGCATAGAAAGACATACTCTTGTTTCTCTGCTTCTTACTCTCCACCCGGACGGTGAGATCTTTATCTGTCTTCCAGTCGATCTTGGTACCTTCCGCATGGTCGTAAATGAAGTCACCCCCGTATCCATTCTCTTCCTTGTAGTAGTAGGTCTTCGAAATAGACTTGTTCGAGAAGAATGGATTTTCAGAGAACTCAAAAATTAGTCGGAAACCAGGGCGATCGAGATATTCCATCCGAATGTCAGTCAGATACTTCAGAGCCTCTTCATCGCGTTCGGTGATCATATCTGCAAGGGAAATTTGATTCTTCATAGCCGACAACCAGAACTCGGGAATACCAGATGTTGTCGACTCATCAGCTTCATCCTTGCTAACTTCGCCTTCGATGTCGGCGTCTTCTTCCTCGTCACGGCCATTTGCGACCTCCGAGTCAGTAGGCTCCGTGGCTCCATTGACTATTGTGGCACGTCTCTCGTAGAGAGGAGTGAACTTTGCGAAATACTTCTTCTCGAGCTCCAGCACTTCTTCCTGAAATTGAGCCTCCAGCTTAGCATGCTCTTTCTGGATGCCCTTCAATCCAGCAACCCGCCGGCGGACGGAGACAGGCAGAGATTCGATGTAGCCTGAAGAGCGGCCGACGAGAGAGCCCAACTTTCCTTGGATCATGGAGACTAGACCTGGATTGCGTGCGAAAAGGGATGCGGCCGTAGCATGGTCAAGAGATTCTAACAAGGCTGATGAGCGTCTGGCATGAGCATAAATGTTGATGATGACTCATGGAGATGATACCTTCTTTGATGCTAGCAATGCCAGGTTGCTGGGCATGGGACGAGATGGGAGCATTGTTAGCTGGAGTGTTTTGTGGTGTCCTGTGGTGTTATGTATCATCAGAAAACGAATCCTGAAATGCGGCAAATTTCCGAGTCCACTCAGATGGTTCAAAATACTTACGGCGCGATGGGAATATCTGCCTTCTTGTTCCTGATGGGTTCGGACATCGTGATCTGACGGACAAATGGACACTATGGGGGAACACAGAGCTGAGTTGGCTAAGGGGTTGTGCAAAGGCAAGTGTGGAGGAAGATTTTTGATACACCCAGGTTTTGCGTAGTCTGGAATACTGGCTTGGTGGGATTCTTAGCGCCCTTGGTCCGAGGGGCTTGGCGGGACGGAAGTGCTGGCTGTTGAGGACTGTTCGGAACTCCCAACAAGAAATGTTAAGTTAGTTGCTTGCTGCTGGTTTCTTCGCCTCCAACATTGACTACCAGAGACTGTGTCTTGTCAACTACAAGCTTTTTTTCTGATCTTGGTGCTAAGCGTATTCAACAATATAACTATTGGCCACATATCGAGACATATTCTACAGTGCTGTTCTATATTCTGTCTACAGATTTACTTGCCAAGCATACGCAATTAACAGCAATCCGAACTCAACCAGCCCTTTAGATCACAGGTAGAGATTTTATCACAAAACGAAATCCGAACTTCACTCCGAGATGATAGTGCACAGTCGTCGGCTTGTACCTCTTGTATTGAGGGCACCTGACCAGTTGAGCCTGTTTCCACTGGCCTCTATGAACCTCGCTTCACAGTTGCATCTTTTATTCTGTCTCACTCTAGCCTATTCTACTGATAATAGTTCTGGCAGATACTTCCATTCACCCTTATACCTTGTTATAGGCTTTTGATGTAAAATACCTTCAACAGAATGTTGTTCTCCATTTCACCAACTAGATATAGGGTGTTTTCGTAGACTGGTCTGATTTCCCGGCGACAGATAGGCAGGGACACTGACACAGCGGTCTTATCTAACTACTGTGTGGCGCCGCTGGTAAGCGGTGTATTAAATATAGCTTCTCGGTAATGTGTTATACAGCACGTAAAAGACCAACTACCACTATGGAAGGTACTCCGTTACTCAGTCTACCAGCCTCCGAGCCTCTGTATTGTCTCTTTTGAAATCACGATGATCCCGGCAATTTTAGCAGAAAATACTTGTAAAGCCCAAGATCGGGCTGTAATCTTGATATGCCAAGACTATATCTTCAATAATCATACCTTGTTAACTAACTCATTATTTATTTATGAAAAACTTCGTTGATGACTAAAGAGTTTGTTGTTGACTTAATTAATCCTATATAATTACTTATTTATGATCGATCGATAGTCTCATGTGAGATTTGACTCATAAAATTGTCGGTACAGTTTTTGAGAATTCTGTAAAAGAGATGTCACGAAGCATTACATGTAAATAACATGTAAAGAGAAGAACGTCGAAAATACGGATTTCATTAAGTACTCTGTAGTTTTTCAGAGCTTGGAGCACTACTCGGAGTACGTTCCAAGCTCACGCCGGCCTATGACTTAATCAGACACACATTCAATGACTAAGGAACCTTTTTCTGGTCCAGCCAACACTAACCTTTTGGCGTCGCAGCGGATCAACCGTCGGATGGGCAATAGAAAGAATAGTCTTTCTGTTTGTCGATGTCAATATAGGCATCGAAGGTTCGCCTAGCCAGACCCATCGAGCACCTTGGAAACAGACCAGATAGAGGACCACCATGGAGGCTCATTCATACTCATCTGAGGTCTATTTACCCGCGGCTGACAACCGGCGCAACTCCATGAGAAGCAGGTCCTTAACACCAGAGTCAACGTATTGTGTCAAGTGCTGATATTATCCAGCTATAGCATTGTATCTGAGGTTGAAATGGCTCGTAATGAGGTATGTTGCAGGGGAAGTCGTTCCCTGACGTGTAGCTGACCTGAACAGGTCTACGATGGTCCTATATCAGAGAGTATACCATCGAGCATTATCTCATTTTCGCATCGTCGAGATCGGAAAGACTCTACTACTAGCTTTACCTATTTTCGTGATGATCAGGATCATACTTTGTGGCCACCTGAGGACGCACTGGACCTCGAGCACGACATAGACGACATCTCTGTGGATGGTTTTGATACCGCCAATCGGTCAATGCGCTCGTCCAAGCGCCGGTCATTTTCAACGGGCTCTGTTGGAGATCCTCTGCTTCGGCGGTCATTATCCGCAGGCTCGTACGCACGGAATGGGAGAGCTGAAAACAGAACAAATCAGAAAGTCCACATCGTATCCGAAGACCTGACCGTCGTGATCGCGGGATTTTCGACAAGCATTACTGGTCTTGTGCTTTATTACCTACTGTGTGCATTGTCTTTGGGTTTCGCTTACCTACTCTTTCGATGGCTCCCCAAATGGCGCGTTGGCCTTTTAGGTAAACCAGTACCACTCGGTGCCTGTAAATGGGTTGCAATTGAGGTAGGCAGTATGAGTCTCGGGAAACATATTCGTCGCTAAGATATCATTAGGATCAATGGAATCGATTTCAAGTACAGCAAGTCGATAGTCAAGATTATGGACGCCCTCTTTCTACGGTTTTTGCCGATACTGGCTGCAATCTTTTTGACGAAGACAATGACCCCACCGTTAGTCAGTTGAGATGCATTGATTACAGATATCTTCGCTTCTTCTATCATCCACTGAAAGATAAATTCTGTCTACTGAACGGCTGGAAAGACCCCTTATGGACAACTGTGAAGGGGATGAGACTCGGTCTGGATGCCGATGATCGTGACAATCGGGAACAAATCTTCGGAAAAAATCTCATTGATATTCAGCAGAAGCCTGTGTTTCAACTCCTTATGGACGAGGTAGGTGTTTCATTCCTGAGTGCTTCCATTTAATAACCTGGCTCTCTAGGCTTTTCACCCATTCTATATTTTCCAACTAGCAAGCCTTGTATTGTGGTCACTTGATGAATATTATTATTATGCTGTATGCATATTTCTTATTTCAGTCATCAGCATTGGGGCCACGGTCATCGAAACAAGAACTGTACGTTATCGTGAAACCGCCACTGTCTTCATGTGTGCTTATGTTTTTCCAGACAATGAATCGGCTGAGGGAGCTTTCACTTTTTGAATGTGACACACGTGTCCTTCGGAACGGTTTTTGTAAGTGAAGTTATATGCAGCTTGTCATGTCTAACTTGGCGTGCTGGGATAATACTAACGTTTTGGCTTACAGGGAGATCTATTCCATCCCGAGAGCTGGTCCCAGGCGATGTCTACGAATTTTCTGATCCGTCCCTCACGCAGGTGCCTTGTGACTGCTTATTGTTATCCGGCGACTGCATAGTCAACGAGAGCATGCTGACAGGTCTGCGAGAAGCATCTGATGTTTGGTGAGATAGACTAATACATAACAGGTGAATCTGTCCCAGTCAGTAAAGTTCCTCTTACGGACGATTCGCTGGGGTACTTGAACCTAGCTGGTCCGTCTATTGATCCTAGCCTTGCAAAGCACTTTTTATTCAGCGGCACGAAGGTAATAAGGGCACGGCGCCCGCAGAATGTCGACGATGATGAAGCTATAGCATTAGCGGTTGTTGTGAGGACCGGTTTCCTCACAACTAAAGGCGCCCTAATCCGGTCAATGCTATTTCCGAAACCGTCAGGCTTCAAATTCTACCGAGATTCATTTCGTTATATCTCAGTTATGGGCCTTATTGCTGCTCTAGGGTTCATTGCCTCATTTGTGAACTTTGTCCGTTTAGGGGTAAGCTAATCTACACTTTACCAGCGAATATCTCCTCGCTAATGCGGACAAGCTTCCTTGGAATTTCATCATTGTCCGAGCACTTGATCTGATCACAATCGTCGTGCCTCCGGCGCTACCTGCTACGTTGAGTATAGGAACAAATTTTGCTCTTTCAAGACTGAAGAATCATAAGATATTCTGCATTAGTCCACAGAGGTGAGAAGCTCTACATTCCTTTCCACGCCAGCTAGACTAAGCACTATCACAGGGTCAATGTGGGCGGAAAGCTAGATATAATTTGTTTCGATAAGACCGGAACTCTTACTGAGGACGGACTAGACGTTCTTGGGATCCGCATTGTTAATAATAATGCAAGGTTGGAACACTTTGCATGTTAATCTATTTTCATATGTCTATTGACCAATTTGCAGCTTTTCAAGTTTGATTTCTTCCTTCCGTTGCGGTACCCCAATTCCGGCAGACATATCCATTACACAGAACAAGATTAATCGCTATGATAGTATCCTTCACGCCATGGCAACATGTCATTCCTTGCGAGTGATTGATGGTGAATTACTAGGAGATCCACTCGATGTCAAAATGTTTGAGTTCACCGGCTGGTCTTTTGAAGAGGGAGGAAGTCATGTGGAACAGCCAAATTCTGAGACAATCATACCATCGATTGCACGACCACCTATGCCTAGAGGTACTGCTGCGGATCATCAACAGGAACAAGTTTCACATGTATAGCAATCTCTCATCACGTCGAGGAACCGCTTTTTAAAACAGAGTACTGATATTCACAGGCACATCTGGAGCTTGGGATATTGCGCAACTTTGAATTCATTTCGGAATTACGTCGTGCAAGTGTTGTTGTACGCCGATTCGGTGATTCTGGAGCGAGTACTTATGTCAAAGGCGCCCCAGAAAGTGTGAAGGCCATTTGTCTCCCAGAAAGCTGTTAGTGCCCCTACTTCTCTCCAAGTTAGCACTCCTAACAGCAATCTAAAGTGCCCCGTGAATATGACGAGCTCCTAAATTATTATACTCATAAAGGCTATCGCGTCATTGCCTGTGCTGCCAAGTATGAGCCGAAGTTGAGCTGGATGAAAATTCAGAAGATCACTCGTCAGAATGCTGAGTGTGACCTGGAATTTCTCGGGTTCATCATATTCGAAAATAAGCTTAAGCCAAAGACTGCTGGGACTATTGCTGAACTTGCTGAAGCAGGCATACGCAATGTCATGTGTACAGGCGATAACATACTCACAGCAGTCAGTGTTGCTCGTGAATGTGGGTTGATCAGTAGCAATGAACACTGCTTTATTCCTTATTTTTTACCAGGTCAATTTATCTGGTCTCCTACTCTACATAGGAAAACCTAACTAACACAACAACCAGGGCATGCGCATGATTCAGGTACTTCGCTGTTTTGGGAAAGCGTTGATGATCCAGCAATCACTCTTGACCCAACTACGCTCATGGTATGAATCGAAACTTGTCTGGATTCGTCGCCCTTGCTGATCTGAACAGCCCCACGCGAATGAAGCAAGTATTGACCTTTCTGTGCCTGGCAATGTTTCCAGTCTTCATAACTACACCCTTGCTGTGACTGGCGAGGTTTTCCGATGGGTAGTTGACTTCGGTAGCGAGACAATTCTGGACAGAGTACGTGTATACAACAAACTACTTGTGCCGGCATCAACCTCTTTTATAATACAGGTCTAACAGCTTATAGGTGCTCGTGCGTAGCAGTGTATTTGCCAGAATGTCACCGGATGAGAAGCATGAACTTGTCGAGAAGTTACAGTCTCTCGACTACTGCTGTGGCTTCTGTGGCGACGGTGCAAATGATTGCGGCGCATTAAAAGCTGCTGACGTTGGTATTTCATTGTCTGATGCTGAAGCCTCTGTTGCAGCTCCGTTCACCAGTCGCCAGTTCGATATCTCATGCGTACCCACACTAATTAGGTGCGAGATATTGTACCTGCTGGCAAGTGATCTCATTGCTTATCTGTTTGCAGGGAAGGTCGAGGTGCCTTGGTCACAAGCTTCTGTTGTTTCAAGTATATGAGTCTTTACTCGGCCATACAGTTTGCAACAGTAAGCCTACTGTATGCGTCTGCGTCAAATTTGGGTGATTTCCAGGTATACAAATTACGCCATGAGAATTCGCGAAGCATTGACACTGACTTCATTGAGTTTCTCTTTATCGACCTATTTCTGATCTTGCCGATTGCAATCTTCAGTAAGTACATTCCCAAACAGTACATGATAATGACCTCTGCCACTCTGCACCATCTCGCATTGGATCTGTTCAGGGCTACATACTGATGTTCAATTCAAGTGGGATGGACCAGTCCTCACCCTACACTATCCCGCAAACGCCCCACCGCCGATCTTGTCTCACGTAAAGTCTTAATCCCACTGCTGGGCCAGATCACTCTTTGTGTGGTTACGCAGATTATAATCTACAAATATGTCCAGCGACAACCCTGGTACGGTCTCGTAACTCGTGTTTTGAACTAATTGAATCTAGAAATGACATGCTGATTTACTAGGCAGGTTTGAACCTCCGAGCGCAGATTTGAATGATAATATTCAAAATTCGGCAAATACTATCCTTTTCCTGGTTTCCAGCTTCCAGTACATATTCTCGAGCGTTGTGCTCAGCGCCGGACCACCTTTTCGCAAGCCAATGATCTCGAACAGTCAGTACCATCAAAGCTTGGTCAAATGTCAATCATAAAAACTGACAGCAGTTAGAACCATTTTTGTTCATGGTATTATTGGACCTGCTGTTTTCATGCTACATGCTGTTTAGACCCACGCAGTGGCTCAGGCGTGTCATGCAGTTGACCTACCTCCCAGACTACTTTGCTTGGCAATTACTGGCAATTGTTGCCGTAAGCTTCCTAATCTGTTCGATGGCAGAAAGAAGGATTCTCCCTTCCTTTGCTCGTAGTGTGGGAAGATTACGTCGAAAGCTGGGCCCAGGGCAATCCAAGAAACGCCGTCGGTACAAAGTGCTACTCGAGGAAATGCAGAATTGAATCCGAGTATCTGGGCATTGATCCGTGCTAATGGATATATAGCTTATGCCATTATCATGAACGGGAGGTTAGACTTGAGACGAGGTTAGACTTGAGACCACAGATGGAATTTGACTAGACATTGCTTGGGATTTCCAGGCTATTTTCTTTAGGGCGACATCAGGAGACATCTAATCCATTATATATGTATTGAGTTCCAACGAAATGACGCACTCGAGACCATTCCGCATTCAATGATCCCAGGGGTGCTTCCAGCCCAACAGAGCGGCACCATCTTTTTTGGCTCGGTACATTAACTGTATAGTTGAGAACAGCAGCCATCAGTATCACTATCAGAAAGAGATTCGCTGTTGACATACGAAGAACCACATGCTGGCCCCCAATGCCGTAGCAGTAAAGCGGTACAAAGGCCGCGCGGGATGAATGTGGATTGGATGAGTTGATGCCATGTCTGTCGTTCCAATTTTAGTATATCAATATATAGTCGAGGACGTACACAAGGACAACATACTTTTCGGATGTGTAGGACTAATGCATGAAAGACAGAAAGCCTCATGACCTGGAACACAGGCAAGAGTGTGAGTTTGCTCCGAGAATGCCTCGATTGTAACGGGAACGCCCAAGCGTCATGTGACCCGGTGAATACGTATAAGCTTCTGCTTGCCAGACCTCTCGGACAAGGTCCAGTACTGCAGGCTGATGGGAAACACATTTGTGCTTGACAATGCTCAATGATGAAACTTTCACCAGTCATACTTTGAAGGTAACCGGTTTCTTGAATGACGTCTTACAGTCTGTGCTGCTCGCCTGCTGAATCCAGATTCAAATTTGGAATCTAGCCGGCTTCAAAGTCCATTTGCGTGCTTCGATACAACACACATCCTTCGTATCAAACTGATACCACATATCTTTACAAGGCTTCCCGCTCTTGCATGCAACTTGTATTTTAGTTGATTTCCCGGCAGACCGAGAGATTTTGTCGAGATTTTCCAGCAGTGTCTTCGGGGTTCCTCTTTTCGCTATACATCAGGTATCGGTTGTCCAGAATGGTCGGAACGTCGCTCGAGAGAGACAAGAACGGGGATTCACGGTTTCGTGGATGTACAAATATACGAGACTTCGAGTTCCTGGGCAAACTAGGTGAAGGCACTTTCGGGTAAGTACTGGAAGCAACATCTCTTAAAGCGTCTTGCATATTAAGCTAGGAATAGGGAGGTATATAAAGCCAGGTCGAAGAGAGATAATACCATTGTTGCGCTAAAAAAGATTCTGATGCATAATGAGAGGGATGGAGTAAGGGAAAGACTTCCCCATGCGATATAACCCGGCTCACTCACCCTTGCAAAGTTCCCAATTACGGCTCTCCGTGAGATCAAGCTGCTCAAAATGCTATCACATATCAATATTTTGCATCTTAGGGAAATGGCAGTGGAACGCAGCAAAGGTAAGCCAAAATGAACTTTAGAAAGTATCCTTACGCTGACTTATCGGCAGGGGAAGGACGGAAAAAGCCAAGCATGTACATGGTCACCCCATATATGGAACATGACCTTTCGGGGCTGCTTGAGAATCCAGCTGTTCGGTTCAGCGAAGCTCAGATCAAATGCTATATGCTGCAACTTCTTGAGGGTCTCAAATACTTGCACGCGGTATCACTCACCCGTGAGGAGCTCAAAAGTAATGACTCTAACGTGATTCAGAACTCTATCCTACACCGCGACATGAAAGGTTAGACGAGCTATTCCACCAAGATTCTAAGGTTATCTAAATAATCTGCAGCGGCCAATCTCCTTATCAGCAATAAAGGCATTCTCCAGATCGCTGATTTCGGTCTGGCTCGCCCATATGAGGAGCCACCTCCTCAACCCGGGAAAGGTGGCGGCGAAGCTAAAAGAGATTACACCACCCTCGTTGTGACTCGATGGTACCGCCCTCCAGAGCTTCTTCTTCAACTGCGTCGTTACACCACGGCAATCGATATGTGGGGGGTCGGGTAAGTTCCGCATACTTGCTGCGATGGGTCACACATCGTTCTGACGTTTTTGCTCCAGTTGTGTTTTCGGCGAAATGTTCAAAGGGAAACCTATCCTCGCTGGCAACAGTGATCTCAATCAAGCCCAGCTCATCTTCAACCTAGTCGGCTCACCTACTGAAGCAACGATGCCTGGGTGGTCTTTGCTCCCCGGATGTGAAGGTGTGAAGAGCTTTGGAAACCGGCCCGGGAGGTTGTCCGAGGCGTTTAGAGAGTATGGGTCCCTCTTTTTCCAAATAACTCGATGATCGGTGCGATGTTCTGATTTCCATAGGCAAAGCTCTAATGCGGTCTCCCTGTTGGGAGAGCTCCTGAGACTTGATTGGAAAAGAAGAATTAATGCTATTGACGCATTGAAGCATCCATACTTTTCCGACCCACCACTCCCTGCACTTCCAGGTGAGCTACCATCATTCGAGGATTCTCATGAACTTGACAGGAGAAGATTCCGAGGGCACAGAGCGCCAATGCCTCCTGCACCTGCTGGAGGGTCCATAGCAATGGCCACAAATGGAAGCTGGACCACAGCCTCCGGTAACATACCGCCTGGTGCAGAAAACAAGAGTAGTCGGCTTCCTAGTATTGTGCGCTCCAACAGGCCACTTCCTGGTGCGGGTCCTGGACATTCTCAAGCTCGTTCATTTGACAACCGACTGGCCGAATCGCACAGCTTGCGAACAAGGCCCGGCGAAGAGTCGCAATCTGGTTCTTGGCGTAGGGGCGGCCTACCCCCGAAACCTCCTGCATCAGCACACCAATGGCCCTCTGGTAATCTGAACAGAATCGGACGCGAGAGGGACTATCATCGTTCATGTGGACGGTCTGAGGCTCATGTGGACTCTTATAATTCTCATGCTAGCACAAACTCGGTGGACCATCACCAGGGCAGGGATAGCAATCTTAGCCATAATACTGGTAGGCATGATTACCCTGAAAGCCAATATACTAGGCATGATTATACGCGTGAGAATATATTACGAAGAAGGAGTCGGAGTCCCGTCGCGAGAGATGGTGCTCGTGATACAGATAGAACATCTTTTCGCAGGTGATTCAACTAATCTCAGTATGTATACCTATCAGATGAGTTGGTCTACGTATTATAGGCACTTTGCTTAATCTACCATGGGTTATAAGACACTGAGGCTAGCATTTATAGGCTTTCCTTATGATTTTCGAGTGTGATATACAGAATTGTGAGGCCGTGTTGAACATTTTCGCCAAAACTGGCAGGGGCAGGAAACTAAGCTCAGTCCACAATCACCTACGGCGAGCCGCCTTCAAGTCGTAGCTTCCAAGTGCCAAGTGAATGCGAGCTGGTGGTCTGCAGAAGTTATAAAGTTATGATAATCTTCACCTTCGGTCATGTGATGTTGATAATGTTGAAATAAGAAACACACCGTAATAGAGATATCTATCAGCTCCACAAGTACGCTGATAAATTTCGCAATAAACGGATTTAGTATAATATGCGAGTCATGATCCGAGCTAAACAAGCCGAGAGTTAACGAAGCAGCTCCCAGCTGGGGTAGTGGAGTAAAGTAGTACATACAACCCAAGCTTTCAAGTCTCTCGTACAAATCCTTGATTGTGGAGTTGTCGACGTCGCTGATATCAGCCATCAAATAGGCCACCTGCATTCAGTCAGTTGAGGGACCTGCTGCCGTAACGGCAGGATTGAACGTACATCACCTCTGCTGTCAGTCATCTGTTTATCAACGTTATGATCCCCAAGGATTTCATTAACTGTCGGATGTCAACAATCTTTATCATCAGAAAGTCAGGCATGAATTGCGATCTCCTACCTTTCCGCAGTACACCAGGAACATTTTGGTGGATGAAAATGACCTATTCGAGATGAATTAGAGCGAGAATAAAGCATGGTTGCATGTTAGACTGATTAACTTACCCGAGCATGGTTTGATTCATCCATCGTCAAAGACCGAAGAGCAACTTCGGGGAGGTTGACGGCGCCCAGTGTTGTACCTTCGTTCACATACCTCACCAAAGCCTCCGCAACCTCCACGCCGATTGCACGTTGTGCTTCCTCCGTGCTGCCTCCAATATGCGGGGTCAATATCAAGTTCTTCAGGCTACGAAGATCTGTTCCCCACGTGTTGAGCTCATTGTTGAAGTAGTCGCCATTACCAGCCGGCTCGTTAGGGTAGACGTCAAGTGCGGCGCCTGCAACTTTACCAGATCGCATAGCATGGATGAGTGCCGGAATATCGACGACACTGCCGCGACTGGCATTGATGAGATAGCTGCCGGTCTTCATTTGCTCGAACTGCTGAGCTCCAATCATATTCTTAGTTTCCGGTAGTTCAGGAACATGGCAAGTGATAAAATCGGCTTGTGAAAGGAGTCCTTCGAGGGTCGGCACTTGTTGGGCTGTGCCCAATGCCATCAGGTTCACGACATCGTAGAAAATAACTGACATCCCCATGGCCTCGGCTAAAACTGAAAGCTGAGCGCCAATGTGGCCGTAACCGATGATTCCTCCTACAAGTTAGCTAAGCTCTGTTAAGATGATACGAATAATCATACCGAGCGTTTTCCCACGGATTTCCCAACATTTGTTGCTCACTTTATTCCAAGTGCCATTGTGCATCTCATTTGAACGATCCCCAAGTTGACGGGCAAGAACAATGATCTCAGCAATGACCAGCTCAGCAACACTTCTCGAGTTACTGAAAGGAGAGTTGAAGACGGCAATCCCGTGTTCTGCTGCGTATTGAAGATCAACCTGGTTGGTTCCGATACAGAAACAGCCAATGACGATGAGGTTCCGGGCTTCCTTCAGAACGCGAGCGCTCAGTTTCGTCTTGGACCGAATACCGATCACATGTACATCTCTTGAAATTCCATGAAAGTTAGATATTTCACGAAAGAACGACGCAGAACTGCCGTGGAAGACAAACCGGATTTTTTGAATAAGTTGGTCTTCTGGGAGTGAAGATTTCAGGAACTCCACTTGATAACCCTGTTTCGTGAGAATGTCTCTGCCTGTCTGGTTGACATTTTCCAAAAGCAATACTTTGATATCCTCGGTGGCAAATGGCTTTAGATGTTTAGCGTTAGCAAGAGGGATGGTGCGATTGCCTAGAGCTGACCCTCCATTGCTGGACGGTGCAGACTGGAATGAGGCCGTAGGGGAAGTGGGCAGATTGATGTCCCTTGCAGAGGCTGACATTGTTGGTTATAGTTTTGTGTGTCAATGGAAAGTAGCCGCGAAACTTATGAGGTGGGAGTATGACAAGATGATGGCTTGGAAGTATAAGCAGGAGGAAGAACTAATTAACTTTTCTTTTTTCTTAAGTCCTCCGGAACCGGACTGCTAGAGCAATGTTCCACATATGCGATTGAACGTTTGAGTCATCACTGCAGACAAGAGGTGCGTATTGGAGGGGCAAGAGCGGGGCCGATCCTTCCTGCAGGCTGCTTCAGCTACCACCAGTCCACCACCCCTACCCCGTAGAATACGCTTCCGCACCACTTGTACTAGTAAAAAAAGGTGTGTTCACCACCTCGTACTGATGAGGGATTGCACGCACGTCTAATCACATGGTATTTTACGTACGATAGCAAACTCAAGACCCATAGGTGGCTTATGACCGCGGGGCCTATTACTGTGGGAAAGAAGCTAGCATAACATTATTTAGGCAGGTTAGACAGAATGCAGAAACTTCACGATTGAAAATAGTACGAATTCTATGAGCCAGATTTGCTGCCAGATGTGAGACCCATGTGCTTCATATCTATACCAGGAAGGCAATCGACTGCGGTGCCACTCGCGCTGTGGGAACAGAGGATCGGTTTAAATCTAGAATATCCACGTGATGCAGATAGGACCACTCAGACATGGAGATTTTGCAGCTTCTTGGTAGCATCGTCCGCGCTATTTGCACTCTTAGGGGCCTTAGCCTTCGACTTCTGGGAGGTACTGTCCTTAGGAAGCTCCTTCGTGAAGGGAAGGAATTCTGGCATGCCTGGGATGTACTTTCTGAGAGGTACCGGGACAATGATGCCCTACACGAAGTTAGCTAAGAGGCCACTAGCTGATTGAGCAGCTCGAAACGTACATCTTCAGTCTGGTAATTCTCGAGAACACAGCAGAGTGTCCGTTCAGTGGCGCACAGGGTTGCATTCAAAGCATGAACATAAGACTTTTTGACATCTGTGGCTTTCTTAATGCCATAACGGATCTCGAGGGCCCTCGACTGGTAGTCCGTGCAATTGGAGCAGGAAACCAGTTCCTTGTACTCCCCTTGGAAGGGGAACCAGGCTTCCAGGTCATACTTCTTTGCAGCAGCATTGTTCAATGCGCCGGAGACAATCGCTACTACCTGATACGGTAGACCAAGGGACTGATAAAATTCTTCTGATGTAGCCATCATCTCCTCAAAGGCTTGCCAAGAGTCTTCTGGTTTGGTTAGAACAAATTGTTCGATCTGCGCCAAATTTAGTGCTGATCAATCCTCGATGCCGTTCACAATATTCCTACCTTCTCGAACTGGTGAACTCGAAAGATACCCCACGCATCTTTGCCATGCGCACCTGCCTCCTTGCGGTAACACGTACTATATCCCGCATACCTGATACCTATTAGCGCCACACAAGATAAATGCTATCGCAGTCCTCACTTGATCGGCAGGTCTTTGTCTTGAAGCCACTCCCCGTCATGCAAAGCTGACAGAGGTTGCTCTGAAGTAGCAATGAGATACTTATCAGTGGACTTGTCTTCACTTTCTGTGACTTTGTAAAGTTCCTCATCAAATTGCTCAAGCTGCGCGGTCTTCGCCATCATATCCTTCAGCATGAACTGGGGAGGTTGATTGGGTTTGTATCCCTTTCCCCAGAGAAACTCAAGTCCATAATTGACGAGCGCAAGGTTTAGAAAAAGACCGTATCCTGTCAAGCAATACCCACGGTGACCGACCACCTTGACACCACGCTCGGGGTCGAAACCATCAAGACGTGTAAGCACCTCATGATGAGACAGGCAATCGCGCTTTTCAACCTTGACATTCTCTGGGACCCACGTTCTGACCACGACATTGTTATCCTAATAACCGAGTCAGCCTTACTCATCTCAATACATCGACAGGTAAACAGAACATACCTCATTGTTACTAATGGGGACTGATTCATGCACGATGTTGCCAATTGTCCGAATTTTCTGATCCCGGTGTAATTCTTTCTTGACCGCAAGTTCTTCAGCATCTTTTTTGCGTTGCTCCAAACTCGCCTTTTGTTCCATTAATGAGCTTGCATCTTCCTTATTCTGTAAGATAGTGTGCATCGGTTAGTTTATGTTGGAAACTGAAAAATACAAGGGGGAACTGGCTAATCAGCCGAACCTTCTTCAATTTCCCAATCTCTTTCTGAAGTGCATTAAGCTGGGAGTTAATCTGCATTACTTCATAGCGCGCTGTGGAAGAGAATCATGTTAGCTAGGATTCTGAACACGAATAGTCGTGAAAACCTATTTCGTCATACCAGTTCGTGCCTCTTCGTATAACCCGAGGACCTCATCGACGGCGTTTTCAGGTGCATATCTCTTGCGCTGGCTGTTCCTAATTGCGTTTGGATTACCACCGCGCTCGGTGATAAAATCGGCGAGGTCCAGCATGTTGAGCGGCGTTCGAATTTTATATTCGGAAGGAAGAGTTTAAGTCTGGTCTGTTCAAGTAAAGTGGTGGACCACTGACAAAGAGGGGGGAAGGAGGGGTATGCGCGAAAGGCCAAACTTTCTTGCCGCGTAGGATGAGGGGCAAAATTCTACTCCGTAGGTGGCCTGACTATTCGGGTATAGCATCAAAACCTCTGCCAGTCATTAAGCGGAGTTCATCCAACTAGACCAACCATGATGTTTTTGATGACTGCCACATGTTCAGCCGCCAATGAAAAGTCGAATTGGGATTGAAGTTTATGCTGAACTTATCATGGGTAGATCGTTATGCAATTTGTTCAATCTCAATTTTGTTGTTAATTCCTTTCCATTCCAACAGAGCCCGACCAGCATGTTTGGGGGG